TCGAGGCCTTTCAAAGTTCACCGGAATGGACGTGGGCATCAAACTTGGTCCTTTGTTACCGGATCGCGAAGGACGAGCTTGGAGTCGTCCTGGAATCAAAGAATTAAGAAACATGTATCGAAAGTATATATTTTAATTTATGATAAAAATGCATCGTTTACTATACGATTATTATCGGACGCTCCATTTGGTATAAAAAAATTTTCGTTCGGCTGTTTGATCATGGTAGCAAAACGTGTTAGGGAAATTCGTCCTTTTGTTTCCGAAAAGGCGGGACGTTTACGGCGGAAGGCGTCATTAAGGGAGTTTTAGAGTTTTCACGGATTTCGGGGGAAGTCGCAGGGTCCACCCTGGAGAAAGGCCTCGGCAATAAACGAGGGGTTGGAGAAAGAAGACAATGGCTGATCCCGAAGAGGTGCGTCATTTCGCAGGTAAGGGACACCTGGAAACGCGACAGGTCAAAGTTGGCGCTAACGACTCCATTCTGTCGGCATTCTATTTTGCGGGCAAGTCTTCGTCGAAGGGTTGCTCGTAAAGTGTCCACCCCGAAGACGGGAGCTTCCCCGAAGAAGAAAGCACCTCCTGCTATCTTGGGGAATCTCTGTTAAAAAAAGGGGGAAGAGAGAAAAAAAAGAGAGAGAGGCGATGCGCCGACGCGATCGGGAAGTAGCAAGACCCTGAAGAATCGCACGAGTGCTAACGAGATTCTCATTGTCCTTCCTGGTTCGGTCGCAGGACCTTTCAGGACCCGATTGGCATCGAGAGAAAACATAAATTTGACCGTCGATGCGATTGACGACTCTTCGAAGGCCTCCGCCCCCCTGGAAGCAACCTGAAGAAAATTTAAAAGACGAGTACAAGAGAAAGTCCCTTCTCTTCAGGGTCTGCCAGGACGAAGGATCGGAAACGTCTCCATTTCGGTCTCCTTTGCGTCCTTTTTTTGAGTATCTCCGATCTCCCCGTGACAATGGGGGTGGAAAAAAATAATTTTAAACCGATTTTCTGGAGATAACTTTATACAGGAGAGGGAGGCGGGAGGTTAGAAATCCACTTTCTCGGTTTAATCTGATTAATTAAAATTAATTCATTTAGAGGCAATTTCCAGGGAATTATTCTCTGGCTCGGCGATAAGTGGAAAATCGGGGAGTATCGGAATCACGCAATGAAAGTAAAAAAGCGATCTCTTCAGCCCCGCGTGCTCGCTTCCGGTTGCATAAGAGGCGCCTGGTCCGATCTCCTCGCGTCCTCTCGCTCGCACTCGCGGCTCGCCGCATGGTGACCTCTCTGTCTCTCCAATGGCCCACGTCGGACGCGCCGGCAGGCCCGACAAAAGGTTCCCACTTTTCGGAAAGGTTTCGTCGTGCGGGTTCCCGGTTGCTTTTTTTTTCTCTCCCCCGGAGTAATGGGCGGCATAAAAACCGCCGCAGCTTGTCGATGGACAACCGGCGCGGTTTTTGTATAATTCTATCGAGGCAGATCGCCGCGCAGGAAGCCTAGCTTCCTGTCCTAACCGCCCTTTTGGTCCTCGAGCACGTGGCCGAGTTCCACGATTATTTGTCCTTTTTTCTCCTCCCTCGTTTCTAATTTCCTGCGAGAGGCTTCGAGCTCCCTTTCGAGAAAATTCCAGGACGTCGAGATAGAAACGCATAAAAAATCGAGATCGCTCCCGGTGAACGCTTTAAGGATGTCGGCCGTTCCAAGATGGCGGCCGAAGGTGGACATTTCCTGAAGCGGCCGAGAAGGCGGCAGCCTCGTGCAGTACTCGAAGCTGAGTAAGGAAGGAGTTAAGCCGTGCCCTAAGTGGGCCGTAAACCGGAAGGATCCTACCGAGTACTCGAGTTAAAGTTAATTACTCCTGGATTTAATGACGAACCACGACAATGAAGACGGAACTTTCCCACAGAGTGTCGTACCTTTCCACCCCCTGCGCTTCGAAAGACCCGCCATCGGCATGTTCGAGAAACGCACCTCCGTACCTACATGACGGAGACGTTTTGGTACTTCCGAGTGATTAAAATCCTGATAAAACCACGTTTGGATGACCACGAGAAATGTGGGACAATTCCGAGATACAGACTGATATTAATCATAAGGACTTATGAAATTGGCATCCCATGCTTGAATAAAACATCCAAGAGAAATGTTAGAAAATTGGAATACCTTTTTAACAACTTGGGAGAGCCAAGAGAAGACAGTCCGAACTGACCGTGAGAACCCGGCTATTAATGGGAGAAAATGAGAGGAAGTCCCTCTCGGAGGGATGAGGCCAAATTTTGGGATTACGACCACAAATGCGACCTGCAGCAGGGTGGGTCCAGGTGCAGCAGGTGGGATCCTGCAACAGGGTGCAGCGAAAGTGTTGGACCCATATTGACTGCATCCTCGATAGGGGGACCAGGAAGTACAATTTGGAACGTCATTGATAACCTTGCAGACAGGTGCTGGTGACAAGGGGGAGCATCCCGAAGGGTACCACGTGCCAGGATAAAGGGGAACAAGTGTCCTGGGACCATTCCGTTGACCGAAGTGTACCGGATGCGAGTGGCAGGGATCCAGGGAAAAAAGGATCCATTTTCGATAGGGTATCAAAAGGGTGCAACTTCGGCCCTCGGCCGCAATTAGTCACCGTCAGGACCTATTATTCGCCAGGAGCAAGGCACGGGATGGCCCCTCGAAATATAATCCCCATTGTCCAGCATCCCCATCATCCATTTTCTTCGATGATCCCAGGACGTCGGCCCGATTCGCTCGAACCTCGTTGGGGGGCTAGTCTCTCGAAGGATCCCGAAAGGACCTCTCTGGGAACTCCTCGGAGAGGACTCGCGGTCTTCGGGATGCCGATCATCAGCGAAACGACCCCAGATTTCGGGGTCCTCGCGTGACGTCGTCGGTTCCCAGCCGGAAACTCGATTTTCGGGTAAGCAAGGTAGCCAGGAGAGTTCCTCGAAGGATCAGTCAAAGGGTTGGCGGATGGAAATCCTGTGGTCGGCCGCCGAGAAGGTCCGGCTCCCTCCGTAAGCGGATTACCGGAGATTTGACCATTGGCCGGTGGTCGGGGGCACTTTTGGCCATTGACCATGGCCTTAGTCGGGCGCAGGGCGCTACCCTCTCTGTGAACCCTTTTCCGCACTCCGTTGCCGGCCGAGATTACAGTCCCCTTGCGCCATAAACTTTTACTGCTGCTTTCTGGTCAGTGCGGTTTTTTCGGGGCTTTCGTCGCCGCGCCGAAGGAAAGGGCCACGTGGACAAGGACCCCTCTTCTCGTCCTTGTCTTGCCCAGCCGACGCCCTTTTTAACGATTCTCCTCCTGGGACGAAACTCCCGGTGGTCTTCGAGAGAATTTACCGCTCGCGGCTTCGGTCCTGAAATCGAAAATCCAGGAGAAAGTGAACCCGAATCGCGTCAGGATTTTATTATATCTCTCAAAGTAGAATCATTTTTTTATTCTCCTTTTGTTCTAACGGAGCGTGGAGGGCGAGGGTTCAAATCCCAGTCGGATTGAATTTTAACCGAATCTCATTTTTATCGGGTTTCAATAATTTTCTAGGTTTCTTGATAAGATTGCGTAAGGGGTAGTCGAGCTCGTTTTGGAATGGAGGAAGATTTTTTCTTGGATTTTTTATTTAATGGCAAGAGGGACCATTCGGATGGTGACGGTTCCAGTAAAGACTAAAGAGCCCTGCAGCTACCGCACGACTTAACTTTCCGTTTAAAACCCTTTTTGTCGAAAACTCGCCGATTAAGGGTCCCAAGGAGGAACCACTCGGTGGTCTCTCCGGTACTTTAGCGGTTGCAGCTTCCGTCCCGGTAGCGAGAGATGCGGACTCGGTTCCCACTCCATGGGGAGGGAAAAATGCCGTTTCTTCGACTAAACCCGATCGAAACTCAATTGGCACCGTTAATCTTAATAACGAATTCCGTTCGATTAAACGTTTCCTACCACCATTGTTTAATTCGTTAACTAATAACCCCGATATCTTAATCCCCACGTAAACCGGGATTTTCTTTTAGATTAAAAGAGCGGTTCTCTAAAACAATAAAGATGTCTGAAAATTCCTAGACGCGATTGCATCTAAGTTTCCATTTCTCGATGGAAAAAACGTTGTCCAGAGTTATTGCTCGTTGGAATTTCAATGCCGTTTAATCATCGCGGAGGTATTTATTAATGGTATCAGCTCCCTTTCGTTCCAGTCAAGCGGAGATAACGGCGACTGTGACGTTATCTTTTAAGTCCCGGCTGAAACTACGCACAGACGTTGCTTTGAGGTGCAGTTGTAGGTTATGTAGATCTTTCCTCCATAGGCGTAATTCCGAAGGTTGTACCTGCAGACGTTACTTTCAAATTCAGTTAGAGGTTTCTCCGCCCGATGGCGCCGCTCGAGACTTCCAAGCTCCGCAATTATCGACGCGTCTTATTTCTCGCTAGATAGCGTGACATGAAAACGCCGCATTTTACTTTGATGCACCTGCAATTAAAAAGTAGGACTCACCGATAAATCTTTTCAAACGATCCTGGAATATGGGTAAAAATGTTTTCCCCGAAAATGTGCATTCCAACCCTGAAGAAAGTCGGGCTACATTTTGCCTCTTCGATTCAAAGATGGCGTCGCTTGTCTTCGTCCACGGAATACACTTTCTCGAGGACGTCACGTGACGCCAGGAATACAAGCGAGTAAATTAAGTTTCGTGGAAATGCTTTTATTAACAAGATACGGGAAAACGACAATAAATTAAGGACAATGGCTGAGTATAAATAATCAAAGGAGGCGGCTTCCACCGTCCGCCATGTCGCAGTCCAAGAGCCTTCGAGGACTCGAAACCAGGATCTAACTTCCGGCCGGAAGTCGGGTTCTCTTCTTGCGGAGGTCCTGCAGGTGTAGCGGGGTTATTTGGTGCGCGTCTTTGGGCGAGGCCTCGAAGAAGATGGCCGACGATCTCCAGCTGAACCGACTTAACTTCCAATCCGGAACCAGCGATACGTCGATCCAAGGACATCCGGTTTAATAGTTCGTCGAGCTAGAGGAGCCTGCGGACGAAGAGGACGAAGAAGACGAAGACGGGTTGCTGTACGAGTTGGAGTTGCTGCCGGAGTAGTAGCTGTACGCCAAGTTTTGGGCATCGGCGCCATTGGACGGGGTCCAGACCCGAGAATAAGGCCCATTTCCATCCCACGTGTTGGCCGGGTCGTAACTCGAAGTCGTCGACAATGGTGGAGCCCCGTACGCAGAAGACGCGGCCTCCATTGACATTCCTGGAAGAGGACGCCATTATGGTACCGCACGTTCTGCCATTACCGTCGCGCAAACTGTCGCCATTACTCCGAGTAGCACCTACTTAACCTTGTAAATGAAGTCAATTATTAATAATCATCCATTATTTATATAATCTCACCCATGGGAGGCATCATGCCGCCCTTCTTGAAGAACTGCACCGCGATGAAGCCGACGACGATGAGGATCGCCAATTTGGAGAGCACGAGAGCCTTCAAGGCCTTGATGCCGATTATGGCGACGAAGATGGGCATCAGGGCTTTCAGCTTCAACTTGAGGAGCAGGAGGAACGGCAGGAGGAGCTTCTTCTTCAGCAAGCCCCTGGCCTGGCTGGTGGCGACGTCGTCCTTGAACTCCAGGTCCAGGCCCAGGAGGCTCCTGCTAGGTCTATACTTCAAGCTCGCCTCCACGAGCGGAAGATCCAGGCTGTAGTCGAAGCTCTTCAGGTACTTAACCGTCCTGGAAATGAGGGCCTCGTCGACGGTGTCCAAGGACCTGGCCTCGGTGGACGTGCCCAGTCTCTCGTCCAGGTACCCCAGGACCTCCTGCTTCAGACACGACGTCCAGGACTCGGCCCCGAAGCAGTGGTTCAAGGACCTCGTCAGAAGGTCCTGGCTGGCCGTTGCCATCGCCAGGATCGACAGGAGCAGCACTATGGAGGATCTCATCCTTTGTTTACGGGGGTTCCTCGGGGGTCAGGGTCCTTTTCCTTACTTCTTCGCGACTTCCGGTCTCCCGATTTCCGTTTCGTCCTCGACAATGTACCGAGGATTCGCTTAGCGATCGATCGGTCGATCGATGACACACGCGATCGGCGATCGAACTGCGAGTGACGGAGGAGTGGCCAGCCCCTTTTATTTAATTTGCCCCCCGCGAATGTGTGTTATCCGGTCGGACATGAGGCGAATGGGTGATCGCAGGGAAATTATTTAGATTCCGAGGGACGAGTCGCGCGCCCTGGCATGGGAAGCGGAACCGAGACAACAGTGGCACGCTTCCGAGCAGATTCCTTTTCCAGGATGTGCCTGAATTTGTCCCCAGGATCGCGTGGGATTAAAATTTAAACTTTATTACGCGGAGAATAGGCATTCTGAGAGGTGATGCATAATGCGAGGAATGGCGGCGCGGTGCCCTTTTTAACCCGGTTCTACGCGCGTACGTGCGGGGAAAATTGAAAGGACTAACAGAGAAAATAATTTCTCGCTTCGGAAGTTCCCGAAGAAATTTTTTCTTTGCAACGAATTTTTTCTTACGGATAATTCCGCGCTTAAATCGACCTGCCAGAAGATGGGAAGAAATGATAATTGGAGAATGTTTAACGAATGTAATGTTAAATCGGGTTTAAAATGCTCGCTGGACTTTCGGATCTATTTTTTCTTGTTGTTGTAGAAACGAAGCTTTTACTCGTGGCAAACTTTCTGCACGGAGAAGGAACGTCGATAGATCGATATCGATACATTTGGGAAGTAGAGCGACGCGTGCCATGGAAGCGAATTTAGGCACTCTTCGGGGAGATAAGATCCTGATTTGCTTCGGTGACTCCTAAACGGATTATTTTCGCGTTTTTATTAGCTAATCCTGAATCTCCTCCTCCCTTCTACCCAGTTAAAAATGTTCATAAAATGCATACACCTTTTGTACGTAAGGCTGTAGTAAAATAATAGCTTTCATGTCCTCAAAGTGACTTACTATACATTAATGATAATCTTGGAAATAAATTTGCAATTTTGTAACGTCGTATTAGAATTCTATGAGATTTTGTAGAAAAATGCGTACGCTTCCACATTTTACAAATTTGTTACAAGTATTTTATAAAATTATAATATTCTTTTTTAACAGTGTATTCCTGCCGGAAGTAATTAATCCCAAGACCATAAACCATCATGGCGTCGGGGACATAACCGTACCATTTCGCCCACCATAATGATTTCAGATCGCGTAACCGTTGCGCACAAATTGAGTTCCTGGGTGTCACTCGGCGACTATTATTAAGCGACATTAGAATATTGTCAACGAACAATTACCGTTACCAACGGCTTGGTCCATAATCACCCCAAGACACATTTTCGTGGACTCATGCACCGACGTTGACGCCGCCATTTTGACCGCAGCAATCTCTCTCCCCGTTTCCCCCTGTCGAGGGAAACAATTACTGTTACCTCCAGCTGGTACTTCACGATAGAAATTATGCTTTCGCGTGGATGCTAATGCAAATAATTTGTATTCACACCTGTCGCGTGGCCCGTGTCAGAATGTTCACGGCGGTTTCACATATGTACATGCGGACGCGTGACAATTTCTTGAGCAGTCCATTTCGTCCATTCCGCCATTTTGAATTTAACATATATAACATATATCTTGTCCAATTACATTTGTATTTATCGGATTTATGTAGATTGGGCGTATCCAGGTCGTGCGATATGCCGATGCAGGTCGATGATATCGATCACGATGTTACAGTAGGTATCACCGTCGATCTTTTTGTCTTCGAGATCAATCTTAACATTCTCATCTTCTGGAGATACTAAGTGCACGTAGAGTCGGCTCTAGGCACTTGTTAAGAAGAAATTACGGGCTGGAAAATTACATGTCATCAGAATCGCTGCTCGTGAACGTCGTTTCGCGTTCACGCGCGATGATGATCCGTTCGATTCCTGGCATGGAATGGATGATCGATTACTGAACTGCTAATCAAGAAATATCGTTTTCTAAGGGTCTTTATTAAGCTTCTGGGGTGTTTCCAAGGTTTACACAAAGCGGCATGAATGGCATGAATGGCAATTAGAGCCTCGGCATTAATTAATTCAGCATGACTGTGCAGCAAAAAAAAACGTCTATCAGCAACAATTGAACGATGGTGAACAAGGGGAGCGTTGCTTAGCATATCCGGAATTTCAGATGGCTCGTAATTGGGCAAGGCTTAACAACAAGTGATTAAAGATGCAGGAATAATTTATTAAATAGTGTACAAAGGTGGGAAGGTATTTTACAAAAGTTGTTTCTGCGTTTTGGGGCTTTGGTGAGTTCAAGGTTGGACGTAGGCAGAGTAGGCCAGATCCTGAGCGGATTCGGCAGATTGCTGGTCGTTCAAGGACCTATATTGGGCAGCCTGGTACTCCCATGGACCATGGGCAGCAAGAGGAGCAGCATGGCTGTCGGCAGCGATCTTCTTGCAGAGCTGGAAAATCGCCAGACCCACGGAGACGACGAAGCTGAAGAAGGAGAGCTGAAGGGCGTTCCAGGCCTTCAAACCGAGCACGCCAATTGCCAATGGGATCAGAGTCATGGCCTTCAGCAGCACGAAGACCAGGATGGGGATGATGACCTTCTTCAGCTTCGACTTCCGGGCCTCCTCCACGGCGCGACCCTCTCCGAACTTCACGTCGAAGTTCAGCTCGTCGTCCTCGAGGTTGCGCGAGCTCACCTTCACCGAGGAGGAGAAGGGCAGCTTGAAGGTGACGTCGTGGGTCGTCAAGTACGAGCGGATGTTCTCCAAGAAGGAGACTTCGCCACGACCCGATGACTCCTCAGCGGGGTACGAGTTCCTGGTGATCTCCACCGTCTCCGAGACCTTCAAATTGAGGTTTAATAAATACATCCGATTTTTCAGAAGCTGAGACGGTTCCTGGGATCCGGTTCCCCAGTTCGTAGGAAAACAAATTAATTGAACCAAGGAAACGTTTTGTCAATTCATTTTTTTCTTTAAGATGAAGGGGGTGAATTCGGCCTACCTTGAAGTTGTCCTTGCGGAAGATCTGGTCCAGCAGGTTGAGGACCTTGAACTTCATGCAGGATATCTCGTCGTTCTTCTGGGTGCAATCCACCTTCGTCTGGTCCACCATGGCGTCCATGCTGGTTCCCCTCCAGAATTCGTTCTTGGCTGGCTGGGCTATAGCTAGACCCAGAAGGGCGCAACACAGGACTAGCGACTTCATGATTTTCATGGTCTTCGTGCTGAATTATCGGCGACCTTGCTCTTTCCCCTCGAAGAAGACCACGGTTGACACGTCCGCTCGACTGATGACACTCCGCCGTGCATGCTCCTATTTATACGGTACCCTCGTTTGAATCAATGTCCCCCTTGGTCGATACCCCACCACGGGCTTTGGATTTTCTTTTCGTTCAGTATGGTCTTCGATTATCGAGGCCTCGCCGGCGAAACGCGTGCCAAGATTCAATGATGAGCCCGAAGAGCAGCCTATGTGGATTTACGAGAACACCGGACCTGAAATCGACATGCATTGTAATAATTAATTAAATGAAGATCAATGCCCTTAAGGTGATACGATAGGGTCATTCTATGTACAAAATACTCCAATATAATATTTCTTTGGTTAAATAATATTTATTTTCCCAGTGCAGGACGCGGAAGGGATGATGCAGCTTTTTCAAGATGGCCGCCGCTCGACGAGACGCGGCGTAAGTAGCGTTTTCTTTATCGAGTAAATGGAAAACGATACTATGTCTCCGCGGCATAGTGACATTGTCCTCGATTCGATACTTCATTCATGACACGACCGAGACTTTCCATACTCGTAAGTCGCCCGTTAATACACGCTTCTGGGTTAATTCCGACTCCGGCCGCCATTATGAGCGCCGAATCGATAGTCGGTCGGCTGTGAGATATTTGATACCTAAAATTAAAATTTCTTCAATATGGTTCGAATAATTATCTACGGTATAATTGGAGGTGTTAGCTGACTTTGATGTGGAGCTTCCGGTGAATTTATACCCGGTTCACGTGCACGACTTCCCGCGACGGTCACGTGACGTTATCCCCGTTAATATCCCCTTTGTGAATTAATATCTCCCGATACGATTATCCGATTTTCAACTCCCACGTCGGTGGAATAATATTTAAATCGCTTGAATTTACGCGGTACCGAAATCGAAGAAAAAAAAAAATCGATCCCTCGCGTAGCTTGCAAAACGTTCTCTCTGTACTCGGCATACTCTTCACGTACGAGACTTTCCATACTCTCACGCCCCGTCCCATTTTCGCTCTTCGGGATTAATTTTCCGCTGCTCCGTGCCGACATGAATTGTCATAATTTTTGCAATGCACTCTCTAGTACCATCCGGAATGGGCGTAAAAATTCTAGTTAACGCGAGAGGGTTGAAACTTTTTTTCCAAGCCAGAGTTTCGTTTCATCTACCGGAGACGACTCTTCGTTATCCACCCCTGAGCATTTCGATAATTAATGTAATTAATTTCCCTGCGTATGAATTTAATTATTCGCCGAGTTGTAATGGCCAAAGCGCATGTCTAGCGTTCGCTGGAGACAAGATTCGATTTTTAACTTTCTTTCCTGAATTATTTAAAGTCCTCGTCTATTTTTACGTGGCCACTTTCGTGGACACCCTGAAATCGTGCCTTTGGCGAGGATTAATTATACAGTCCACGTATGCGGCTTTCCTTTAGTATTAACGCGAGTCTGGGTTAATTTCACCCCCTTCTTCGGGCACCTCTTCGAGAATCCGATCATCGACACCGCCAAAGAGGCAACAGACCTAGTCTCGCCTCGAATAGTCTCGTTGGTATTCTTCAGCAGTCTTCAAAAGGAGCCCACGTACGAGTTTCTCGCTCGAGGTGAAAATATGCGGCTTGGGGGTAATTTCCCCACCAGGGTGGGGTCGCCATCTTGAAGATCCTCCGACAATGGGCGCAACAATTTGGATTTCGGGGTCGCTCATTTGCATATGCGTTTGGCCCGGCCTAGTGCGTGAGAACGCGCCTTTGACTTCCTCTTCGTTCCCTTCAAGAGATGCCTTCATAAAATTAATATCGTATTCATTTTAATTAACTTTTCTAAATAATCATTTTTTTGCACTTTTTATTTATAGGGGGTTGAACGTGGTACACCTTGATTTTTATTTTTGAAGACGAAGCTGTTCAAGAGTTAGGGGCCTCGTCAGAGGTTTTTGTTTAGTCTTCGAAGGAACATTTGACAAGAATCGCGATGACTTCGAGAGACACCAGGCGAAAGTGAAGGCGAGACGTCCATTTTCGAGTCGATGAAAAACCGAGGTTCCGGGGTAGGTCATGGTCATCTTCATGGGTCCAAAGAAAGCGTCATGGTTCGAAGCCTTTCACGCAATATTTAATGGCGGCCCTGCTTCGGCACGCGACAAGAAGAGGACGCCATCTTGGAAGTCTACGATCGAAGATCAACCTGAAAATTAGCTGATTTCTTCGCGGAAACAAATATGGCCCCTTCGACCAATTTCTCGAAATGTCATTCTGAAAAAATTTCATCTCGAAGTTGAAAAATCAACAACTGGGACAAGAAAATCCTGCGGTCGAATACGTCCAAAAAATGTCACGAAGAGTAAGCAAAATTCGTTTATGTCAACGATACAATTTTTCTTCTCGACGGGATACTTGTTTCTTGTAATTGTATATGATTCAGGCAACGATCTATTTTTTTTTCGAAGTGATTACCCGAAGAAAGTGACGCGGTTCTCCGAGTTTGATTCGAATCGCATTTAATGGCCGCTCTTCGGCACGCGACAAGAAGAGGAGCAGCTTCTTCATCGTCTCGAAGGCTTGCACTTATCGGAAGGTATTAAATCCAGGTGTGTAAGAAACGAAGAGTCTTTATTGCGCATAAATTAGCGAAGGGAATGGCGATTGGGTAAATAAATAGAAAAGTGGAGTCCGGAAGTGTGGGATGATGAGTGGAGGTCTTCGGGTTCACTTCCGGTAAGCCCGGTAAGGACCCTGAGGGGCGGTGTCCCAGTGAGGGGGGTGTTCCACAGGTGGGTGCCCGTAGTGGACCACCTCGTAGGCCACCTTTGGTTTTGTCAGCTTGAAGATCATCATCGCACCGCTGAGGACCATCGAGAGCAGTCCCAGGGTCAATGCTTTCCACGTCTTCAGGGCGATCAAGGCCAGCGCCAGCGGCACCAAGGCCGTGGCCTTGAACTTGAGGCCCAGCAGGAAGGGGATCATCACCTTCTTCACGAACCCGCGACCTGGAATAAGGATAATTCACCTGCAGGTAATACACTCCCTTTCTACAATTTATATTATTTATTAAGGTGGGGCGAAACCCTCGCGACCAGTCCATTGGAATAAAAAAAGGTCGTATCGTTTCGGGGTATTTACCTTGACCACTACTGGGGTCAGCCAGGGGCACACTCAGGCTTTGTGGTACCGATTCGACCAAGGCTCGTGGTACCACGTTGGACCCCAAAATGGCGTCCGGAAGTTTGGCTTCCAGACGATGACTGCACAGGTAGGCGTCTAGTTTTTCCAGCATCAGTGACCGCAGCAACTCTCTTCGAGATGGGTCGGCGAATTCGTACTGGGAATTGTACTCTTCGGGGGTGTCCTCGGGCATCTCTCGAGACCTCACCAGGGTCAGGTCCTCCGTCAAGGACACTTTGTCCTGCTTAACGGCGTCGCTTAGGTAGGAAAGCACCTTGGGCTTCACGCAGGATAACATCGACTGGCTATCCGCGCATCTGGAAAAAAATTATTACACGATTAAAGAAAAAAATTGAAAATAATTATAAAACGTTATCGCAGTAATTGGAATTTTTAATTATAAAGATGATTTGTGTCTTTTTAGGTTACCTGTAGTACACGTTCTGCAGGAATTCGGCGGTCGTGCCGATGCTCTGCGAACGCGCCAGGCTGACCATCAGGGCCATCGAAATCACCGCGAGAGCCCTCATGGCGGGTCGGAGGAAAATCGATCTATCGATCACGAGGACAAACACCGAATGAAACCCACGAACAAACCTCGGCGGTTTTATAGGCGATCGAAGCCTGGACGTCTCTTGAATTTCAATCGGCGACGTGCGGACTCGTGGAAGAAGAAAGCACGCTTTTTCTAGGGTGGACGCGCGCTTGCTCGCCGGGTTTCGTTTTCGATCGCCGAAATTTCATTCCCGACATTTTCCAAGGAACTTTCTCTGGGAGCAAACCCTGGAAAGCGAAGGTTTAATCCCGGATTCATCGGATTAAATGTAATATATCTACGTAGACGGTCGGAATATTTTCTTGCAGAATTATTTGTTGAAATAAGTCATTTCATTTCAGGGAGAAGATGCGTCGCGGGAAAAGAAAGATGGCGGCGCCAGTTTTCGGGCTGGGATATTAAAGAGACTTTTTACAGCGCGGGTGACCGCGATATCGCGCCATGTGTCTTAAGTTCTACTAACCCAGGAATGCTAAGTACACGTTGTACAAGACGCGCGTAATTTTTTTGCGAGTCATAACCGTAACATATTTCTGCTCCGCTGGCCGCCAAGGGTGGAAGCTGTGGCTAATTGGAATCGCAATTACTAGAAAGTAAGAAGATTTTCTACCGAATGATAAATTGCACCGATGATTTTGATTATTCTTTAAGTACACATCCGCATAGAGGATCAGACAAATTTCTTCCGCTTTGAACTTGTAGCCGAAGTGCACAGTAATTCGATTTCTCTCTTTATTTGACGACGTGATTAAAAGTTCGAAGTTGAACATGGAAGATGCTAATTGGCCTCGATCGTGACTATGTTCAGGTCAATTCTAGGTATGGAGCCATTTATGACGATGTACTAATTATCAACGCAATTCATCATGACTTTTCATTGAGTATACATTAATTTTCATGAGTCAAAAATAATACTTACCTTGTCTATAAATTGTGCTGAAAAAAAAAATGACGGTCACCTCGATGTCTTCATGGCTGTAAAATTAGCACACGATGGTAATGGAGGATAATAAAGGCAATAATTCTTCTAACCACTTTATTTTACAGGACATAACAAAATAAGACTGCCAGAACTCCGCGGAAAGGGTCGGAAAACTGCTTCCGTTTTTTCCGGCAATTGTTGCTGGTCATAAAAAATCCTCATCCTCTCGAGGAAGGAACGAGTCTTGGGTATGGCACCCGGAGGCCTAATAAGTACGTTAGTATCTGAAAATGAATATTCATGACCAATCGCGTAACCGAGTAAACCTAATCATCGTTAATCGCGGTCTTTGAACGAAGAGATTATAAAGGTCTCATCTCATTTTAATAAATATCCCCTCCCTCCCAATTCTCTAGGCTTATCTAAACATCAGGTTGCGCAAAAGTACTGTTTACAAGTGTCTTAACATAAGTAATAAAGAAGTCCAACATTAGTTTTGCGGCAACCTAGAGCCGAGGACAATCGAGGGCGCGTTCGACCCTCGGCCGCCATCTTGAGCTTTCTGAAATCTACATTTTTACAGTTCTACGATACCCTGGTTAACTTAGCAGCTCTAACGGGCTCTAAGGAGCTCTTTGACGGAACTTAATTGCTTAATTAATTTACAGACTAATAGCCACGTGACCATGAAAAGCCAGGAAGAGCGGAAGAATCCGACTCTTCGTCTCCTGGGCGTCCAACATGACAGCGCCCACGTGACCGGCGGCCGGTGTGCTCCATTCTCTTCGGGGAATGTCTTCGGGAAGTGGAGGCCCTCACTCTGTGTTAATGTGACATGGATACGATCGCAGACAGTCGCCGCCATCTTGACCCAATCGTGCTGCACCTAGGTACCGATGAAACCGGTGACTGGACGCGCTCCCGGCCACGCCACGCTTCAATTCTTGCGGATCCCTGGAACGAAACAAGATGGCCGTTAGTGGTCGCCTCCTCCGAATCTTCACGCTTTGCGGGGCATGAAAAGCCCGATCAAGGCTGGAACGATTCAAACTAGAGATTCGAGCACAGCAAAGGCATTCTTGCACCCTCGAAACCGTCACAGGGTGCAACGATCGGGATTTTCAAACAGGATAACCTTATTCTACCGCAGCGTCGCACGGTAGTGGACTCGGGTACCATCACCTCCCACTATGGAAATTTGGCAATATTAACCCATTTGCATCCCCAAGTGGAATAATTCGCACGTGATGATTGGTAATTATCAGCAACGGTTTAATAATCCTGGAATTACGGTTCGCTGAAAACGTATAAGAGGCATTAATTTCTCAACGTCAAATTGCACCCGCTGCGGCTGGAGGTGGGATCGGTAAGGACCGGTTACGCGAATTCCGTCTCAAATTGAAGTCGAACTGAAACTCTGGTCGGACCTGTTGCAGATTCCGTTAGGATCCCGGCGGTTCCCAATTCAGGCTGAATTAAGGGGTAACGAGAGGAGATTACTCGAAGGTCCTTACACCAAGAGGTACCTGGCTTACCTTCTCCCCAATTAATCAATGACGAAGGTGACCGTTCTACCTTTCCCCTACCCCCCGGAAGTAACGTTGGGAACCCTGCGACATCCGGAAAAAAAGGAGGAAGAAACCGGGCCCGAAGTAAGTGCTCTAAGTACTACCATGGCGGAGGTGCGACAATTCAGACCAGAACAGAGGAAGCTCTGTCGGGGAAGTCGCTAACGACTGGGGCCAACCTGACCCGGATCGGACGCCAAAGGAGGTCGTCGTCCACCTTTCTCCGGCCTGGTGGTCAGCTCCCTACCTGGACAACTCGTTGGAGACGAGATTGCTGTGCGGCGAGTAGAGCGCAGGGTTCTTGTACATGCTGCAGACCAGCCGTTCCCTGCAGGACTCGTCGACGAACCTCAGCTGGGTGAAGATCTCTTCGAGCCTGGCCATGATGGGCCCGTAGAAGTCGTCATCGAAGGTCTTCTTCAAGATGGCAGCAGGTTGGGGAACCTGGGCGGCCATGGGCCTCTGGAGCTGCGGCGAAGCCGCGTAGGGACTCTTCAGGGTGCTTTTCAATGGTAAATCCATGGCTAACGGAGCCGTGGGGTGTGGACCTGAGGTCCTGCGACTCAGGGGACCGTTCTCCGCGTAGCCTGGGTACACGTTCTGGGTGTGGGGTCCCAAAGGAGGACCCGAAGAAGACTTCTCTGGGTACACCGAGACCACTGGTCTCGCGTGGACTGCGTACTGGGGCAGACCATAAGGTCCCGGATAGGAAACTCCTGAAACTCCTGGTGGAGTCGCGGGATATGGCGCCGGTCGACGATCCGGCTCTTCCGGGGGGTCCTCGTAAGGCTCGATACCCCATTCCTTCAGCTCCTCCATGTCTTTGCGGTACTGGATGTGAGGATGGGCGTAGTCGTATCCTTCGAACTCCTCTTCCTTATGGTGGTGGTGATGATCGTAGTATGCTGGAACCGGGACCGGAACCGGCACGTGGTGATGATGATGAGCGATCTGGAAATTTATGCAGATTTCGTACATGTTGCGATTTTACTTCTACCGTCGATTTCATTTACAGGATTTTGACATATTCCTTACCGGATCTTTAAGAGAACGTACCTGGTGGTGGTGGTGATGGAGTTTGGCGCCTTGCGAGCTGTGGTAACTGGAGCAGAGTTTGAAGACGTGGGCGAAAGCCGGCACCAAGAAGAGCAGGAGCTTCAGGAAGAGCTTCTTCGCGGTGCCGATCCCGAAGAGGAACGGAATGACGAACATGAACTTGAGCTTGATCAGCTTGATGACTAGCAGCAGGGACAGGAAGCTCATCAGCAACTTATTCTGGATGAACTTCCCTGAAAGAAAAGGCAAGAATTATATTAGGTTGAGGAATACAAAAATTCTTGAATATCGAGACTCTGAAAAGGGTACCCTTGACGTACTTATTTTCTTGAACAGAATCCTTCCCTGCCTCTCCATGCCCCGCTGTCCAAAATCGACCCTGAGGAGGGCTCCGTTTTCGTCGACCTCTCTAGGGCTGACCTTAACAGTAGCGCCCTCGAAGAAGAACTCTGGAAGCTGAAGTTCGTAATCTCGAGTCGCCAGAAATTTCACGGTTTTCTCTCGAAGAGCCGTGGTGATCTCTTCGAGAGGAGTCGCCGGTTCTTCGGGGTCCCATCCGGACTCTTCGGGATCCTTTTCAAGGTTCCTCGACTTTTTCTCCCGACCATCCTCGGTAGCATACTCCACGAGGTTCTCGTCCACGTTCTCCGAGTCCTTGACGTCCTTCTTCTTCCCACAGGACGCATAATCCAGGTTGTTCCTGGTCAGGACGAGGCCATCGAAGACGGTGATGTTGTCGCGCTCGGAGAAGGTGTCGTCAAGATAGGAATACGCGTTCTTCTGGATGCAGGAGAAGGTCGTCTTCTTCGAGCAGTCCCTCATCAGGCCCTGCCAGAGCTCGTTCCCGGTGGAGACGTTGCCGAAAAAGTCGCCAACGTGGAAGAACCTGGCGTAGGACTCCAATTTCTCCAAGCCGGCCATCTTGGACCTCGTCAGGCCGACGAGGAGACCCAGAAGAAGCACCCTCGCCCACTGCGGCATCTTTACGAGCAGCTTCGGGGACCTTCCGCACCTGTTTAGCTGCAATCCTCACGAAACATTCGCCTTAGCCGCTAAACAAGCTTTGAGCGTCGCTAACGCTGATGAGTGCCTTCAAAAGGACGCGACCAACGGCTTCCAGCTCTTTACCGTTCCGTTTAATTTAGGATCCAGTTTTAACGCCTCTCCGCCTTTTGTGGATATCTCTTGCTGACCCCACATCCACTATTTTTTTTTTTCACCGTTTACTTCCCTCGGTACACTCCACTTTCCCCGCCAATTTATTCCCGGCTTAGTTCCTCCCAATCCGTTTACCCGACCTCGTTTCTTCGAGTCTTGCTCTTCGACCTCTTCGGCTCCTTCCGCGGCTAAATATTCATTTGCGATGCCGAGTCCCGTTCTCCAATTCGCTTTGTATTCTTTTCGCCCTCCTCATAGCTCTCTTCCCCTTCCCTGGTATTCGTCCACTAGCTCCTTCGTTTTTCGAACCATCCAGTACATACATACATCAACCCACTTTTCCACGTTTGCCTATCCTAGTCACGTCCCCTCGTTTCTTTTTTTGCCTCTTCCACCGATGTTCCTTTATTTCTTCTCTCCTGACCTCCGATATCTTCAAGGAAGAGGTCGACGTACTTCGGCTCCCTTTTCTGCTTTCTGTCCTCCCTTTATATCGCCTAGATTTCTCCCCTTTCTTTAGCCCCTCTTCGGCGTCCTCTTCGTCCTCCTTCAACCCCAGTTTGGTTCTTCCGCTTCCGCTTCCTCTTTTAATTTCTCTCCCGCTCTTCGGGGTCCTCGCCGACTTCTCGATTTCCTCAGACTCTTCGGGATCCTCTTTGGCCCTTTTATCGGCTTCTCCTTCCTCTCGTTCTACCTCGTCCCGTTCTCTAGACTCGTATCCCCTCCCTTCTCGGTCTCGAGGTCTCTTCTCGACCTCGAAGGTCTCCTCATCATCCTCCACCTGCTGGCGGCGTCTCTTGTCGGCGTCGCGACGCTCCACCGGCGACGGCTCCTGCGCTCGATCCTCACCTGGCGATCTCCGGCCTGACACTACCTGGCCGCCTCTCGCTCTCGTCTTCCTCGCCAGAAGTCTAGATTCACCTGAGCGTCAAGTGTGTCAAAGGCCCTCCTACTCCTGGCGCCGCTCCGAGGAAGGTCATTATCTTCTTCCCTACCCCAGACGTCGGCGTCGGCCCCACGTTACGTGAACGGGCTGCCCAAACACGTGGGCTTTTCACCTAACCTCACTTTTTACCTCCTTTCCAGACGTTCTCCCGGATTCTAGAACGCCGCCATTTTGCGTATGTGCAGTCGGAAGATCGAAATGGACCCAAAATTGGCTATCCATGATAAAAATGTCTTTCAACCAAAGAAATATTTTCTTCCATCCGGAGAATGTCTATTTCACTCCAATAATCATTCTATGAATGAAAAATATATTCCTTTGGTGCTATTCCAAAAAATATTTTTCTGGTCCGAGGACATCTCTTTCTTAGGGAATGGATCCGGAACGAAACACGAGTTTGGATTATGTTAAGTGATAATTTGTAACCGGTCAGTCATGTCAGGTGAAGATGATGCATGATCGTTCCTGGCTTTGTCATAAAGAGTCGAAAAGTCTCTTCGCTTCAGAGTGGACGTCGGGTTCCTCCAGGCTGTTGTGGACTCCTCTTTGACTGGATTTATCGTTGCAGGATGTAATAAGAGAAAGCACGCGTTTTGTTTGTAGTGTAACACGGGTGAGGAATCTGCTGGAATGTTATGATGCATGTTATGAGATGTATCTATGACAGGAACCGCATGGTCGAGGTGATGATGAACCATGACCTATATTACGGTTCTTAACCGATCTCGCAGGTAACCGGCGTTTAGTTAATCGGATTAGATCACCGGTTAACCGCCTGTTTGTTCAATTATGGGAATGGAAGGATTATCCGAACAAAACGAGGCCCCTTTTTACTCCCATCCCCGTTTCGAAAAAGTAGCCACATCACGTACCGTCCTGCTCATTTATTCTGGGACATTCTGCGAAATTTCTAAATTTCGTAAAAAACGAAAAGGTGGAATTAACGGTCGTTGCGCCGATCGCGCACAATTAATAAATTGGTATATTAGGAAATGAATGAAAATGCAGCGGAACGTCTTAGCGCCATCTTGTAAAGAGACGGTGGCCCAAATCATATGAACGGTGGGGTAAAAAATGAAAAAGAAAACAATGCACCAAGGCGCCAAAGGCATTCCGGAGAAAGTGGGGCGATATTTCGTCGACTAGGCCATTGGACTCCTGATCGCAGGTCATGAAACATATTTTCGAGCTTGCAGGAAAAATTTCATCTCGCCGCGAGTAGGACTCCATAGGTCTCGACCTGACTCAACAGAGGAGCGAAGGGACTAGGGGAAAAGATTAGGCCTACGTCTCTTTTAATCTGCTTTTTTATTTCGATAGATCCCTTCTTCTCGAATGAACGGAACTGGTCCGCCGGGCCAACCGGTCAACGAAGAGGCGCGAGCCTGAATTCCATTGACCTAGAAGTTGTAGGTTGGTAGGTTGAGGCGTGACCGGATCGCCGCCGAATTATAAACGGGTTATCGTCCGCCTCGAATTTCCCGTGAACAGGGGTCTAGAAAAAAGAAAAGCCCACTCCAATACCAAAATCTTAACGATGCAGGGTGCACCGATAAAAATCCACGGAAACCTACATACCTCCCGACACACCTTTCAACTGAACTCCTACGTAGAAAAACGTAAGTTGGATAACCTAAAAATTAGAAAATCTACCAATACCTTTCATATCACCTTAAGGACGGTTCCTGATTATTCGTTGGCAGGTGTAAAAAAGTCCGGAAACCTGGGATTATTTTTTCTCATAATTCCTTCGCTGAGACCGGGGAAGGATAAACCGCGGAAATCCGCGAGCCGTGGCCTAACGGACGCGACCGAGGAAAGTGAACCGCTTCCGGAATATCGATCTTTCTGGAGCGCCGGGCGCTTTTTTTTCGCTCGAGACTTTCCCCGGTTTTCCGATCGCCGATTGGCCGATCTCTGGGTTGACTAACGGTCGACGCCCGACAAAGCGCGGCCGCGAAAAAACTCCCGAGCACCGATTGGTCGACGCGAATCGCTACCTGCGCGCGCACGCCGGAACTACGATGTGGGTCGGGATGATCGCGTTCTTCCATAGGACCTCCATAATCATATTTCGAGGTTTGGGGAGAAGTTTTATTAATATTTTCACGTTTTATATATTTATACATAGAACGACCCCTTCGTATCACCTTAAATATGTAGACGATTTTTTGCAGGCTTTATCCGCGATGATCGATCTTCTGATAACGCGATCGATCCGCGGTACTGCACGTCCGGGCTGCATCTGGGTCGACCAGGGTATGTGCATGTGCCGGTGAAGGTGCATTGGGATTTTATCGTAAATTAAGATGCGAGTGCGTAGTCGGAACCGTTACTTACCGCGAATTCGCGCTCCTGCCGGATCTCTTTTTGGCGTGACACCACCTAGCGGGACGACATGACGTTAACGAGACGGTACTTCCGGCTTCGAGGTGAGAAAAACGCTTTCCCATTTTCCATGATAAATATGCATGACTTGGTATATTCTCCCTTTGGCGGTAATTCCTCGGAGGGATAAGGGTGGATGCGCGTAACGATGAGTGTCGTGATTATAAGACATTAATTTCCAGGTGGCGCTTCTCCTCTAGCGACACTAGCGCCACGACCGGTAATCGCGTCCTGTTTTATCTAGAAATGATAGCACTCGATTTGTGATAAAAATTGGATTTTGTAAAAAAAGGATTTTTTTTCTGCACGTGAATGATAATCTTTCCCTCCCTCCTGTAATGGTACCTACCCCTGTTTCCCTCCCTCCGTCCTGTACCCCGGTGGTACTGGTTCCCCTTCCCGCTCAGGGAAGGAACTCGCGGTGCCATCTTCCGGGGAACTAGCAAATCCATTCGCTTTCATGGTTTTACCGGCTAAGTACATCGTATAGAATTGTAGATCGCGATACCCATCGGATAGTCCAAGTATTGTCTGCAAGATGGCGCCGCGTGACCTATTTCAGGCAGCTCAGAAACGGACGATCAGGAAATGGAATTTCAATAAATCCGTAATCAGTCGCGGACGTATGTATGTACGTTGCCACGCTGATGGAATGATTTGCGGAAAGTTAGCCGTTGCCCCGTTACTCTTCAGGATGTACCGAGTTTCTAGTTATTTCCGTCGCTAATTATTCGCATGCTAGAGAACACATTAGACTTGGTACATTTGGTATTTTATTTCCTAGAAATACTGGGCGGTTGGTGTTCAAACTCCGTAAAGAGAAATATTCTTAAGATTTATGAGCTGGGGAAAGGGTGCCGCCATCTTGGATCCCAGGTCTTCGGCGAGACTTTTCGCCAGATTTCGGTTCCTCTGCTCGTTTTTCGGGCGAATATCATAAAGAGGTTGCAAAACGCTCGTTTCGGTCAGTGTATCTCGATCAACCGCGCTGACATTAACCGGAAGTGTCGCAGAATTTCCGGAGATCGATGCGTTATCGGTGGATACGTAGTTCTCGAAAAGCGAGCTCTCGTCAACTCGCGGATATCCCGGAAGGTTCAAAATAGCCCCAGGCTCGTTTTCGCTGAAGTTGGCAGGGAGTCTGGAAATTCTAAAGTCTCGGCTGCTGTTGAACGACGTGAGATTTGAGATCCACGCCGTTCTTCCGGAAGTCGCCATCTTGTTTTGGTCGAGAAAGTTCCGAGTAGCAGTTCCAGGGTAGCTAATTCCAAACTGAGGTGAGCTCGAGGGCGACGGAAGTTTGTGGAAACTGCGACCCCAACCTCCACCACTGTCGTAACCACCACCTCCTGAAGGAGGTCCGTAACTACTCGGTGGAGGTGCCCCGTAGCTATCTGAAGGTGGACAGCAACCTCCTCCTCCTCCACCACCTCCACCTCCACCTCCACCACCTCCGGCAGCCTTCGTCACCAGGACGATCTCCTTCAATGGAACTGAAAACAGTCGAAAGTGTACTCGACGTCTTTGACTACAACCGAGAGACGTTAGAAAAAGAAAAAAAATGAAAAATGTTCTCCATAATCCTTCACTTAGAATCTGCTTATCTCCAAGACCCACCCCCGCCTCCTCCACCTCCACCTCCACCTTGCCATGGTCCACCTCCACCTCCACCTTGCCAAGGACCTCCTCCACCTCCTCCACCTCCTCCTTTGCCCTTGCTGAACACCGACGCCATGGCCATCGCGATCGACATCCCCGACATCATCATGCTCTTCATGGCCACCAGCAGGACGACCACTGAAATGGGGAAAAAAATTATAAACTGACCTACAACCAGCAAAACTCGAATAACTTTAAAGGTAGGAGTCCTACCCATCAATTTCGCCTTGCCCATCATCAGCATCATCATCATCATCTTCTTGCACTTGCCGCCGCCGCCGCCTCCACCTTTCTTCGTTCTTCCTGAAGAAGGGCATGAAATTCGATAAAGCGACTGCTTATATAAATTTTCTTGGGATAATTTGCACCCAGTTGAACTCACCTTCGATTTGGCTTTCATCGTAGGTGATGTCGATCCTGTTGTTCTGCCTTCCATTGAGTTTCGGCAAGGTGATCCTCAAGGCGAACGAGTCGAAGAAGTCATCGATACTGGTCTCGATCAGCTCTGCGAATGACTCGGAGTCCAGTTTCCGGTTCGTCGAGGAGTGGTCCAGCGACTTCGTCCTCACCAGCTTCACTCTTCCCCCTAGGATCCTGATTTCATCTAGATGCACGACGTCGTTCAGGTACGCCGCAACGTTCTTCTGCACGCACGTCAGAGAAAGGCCCATAATGCATCTTCCGATGTCGCTGGTGGGAAAAGTTGGGTAATGCTCGCTTCTGGAATCGTCATTCGAGTAGTTCTCGGCAGGTACCACCCTGACGTCGACGTGGACTCCGTTTTTCTTGTAGCCGAAGATCGGCCTCTCGGTCCTGCCCTGCTCCTCGTAAGGTTCGATATCCGTCTCGTAGTCCTTAAGGTGATATGAAAGTGGTATTTGAGATTAAACCTTTCCCCAAGAAGGTCCCTACACTAATGAAATTAATTTTTTTATGAAATATCGCAAATATGACCGCAAACCAATTTTTTAACATCGGAATTTCACGGGTGTAGGGATATTCCTTAAGACCGCCATATTTACGTGGTGAAGCTTCAAACGTTCGGAGAAAAGTTTTTTATCAGGGGGATTCTTTTGACGACACTTTTATATCACCTTAATATCGTTTCCAGATGCAGCCACCGACGCGACACTCGCCAGAAGGAAAATCGCGGAGACCTTCGCGGCCATCTTGGATTTTTCTCCGGCCGAAGTTCCGGAGAAGATTGGCACATCTACTGCTGCGAAGCGAACATAACTTCGCTTTTATATCCCGTCGATTTATGTCACCGCGGGATAATTCGGGATTTTTAAAGTCGCTGTCACGATTGTTATTGACTCTTGTCTCGGGTCGGGATAATGACAAGCTGAAGAGTTAGCTTAACCGCGAGAATTGTCGAACAGTACGGCCTGGATTCCCCAAGATATCGGATCCTCCCTTCCTCCCAGGAAATGGGTATAAAAACACAAACAACACCCAAAACTGTCTAATACAAACTCGTAAAAAAATATCGTTTATTGGAGCGCATAATAAAATAAATAAAAAATAATACGTCGGTCCGCAGTGCTTCAAGGTGTGTCTCGATGCTGCATCAGGTTGGACATCTTCTGGGAAGAGAGGAGAAGAAGAGGATCAGGGATGCAGATGAAGGTCGAAGGTATAAATACGGGGAGAGGGATGAAGGGATGATAAGCCATGTACAAGGGAGTTAGAGATTAGAATTTCTGGACGATGAAGGGATGAAGACGCGACAATGGGATATGTCAAGGGGGTGCGTAACACCTTGAGGTCACGGGGAATTTTGGCAGTCAGTAGGTGGACTTCCTTCTTATAGGAAGGTTCTTCCATCTTGTAAATGTAGGTTTTGGGGTTCGAAGGGTCTCAGTGCATCCGAAGCGATCGGCGATCCCTGACGTTGCCGTACTTCATCGTCGCCTGCTGAAGAGTGTCCTGGACGGCGTCGAAGGACCTTCCATATCCAGAATGTCCATATCCGTGTCCATGGTGCTCTTCGGAACTGTGAGTGTGCGAAGTGGAGTAGACGGGCTTGCTGACGATCTCGTAAGTGGTTTTCTTCTCCTGACCACCGGCCAAAGATTTGAGACCAACAATGGCGGACAGCATCAACGCCATCAGACCAGTCATCAAGGCTTTTCCGGCTAGAAGAGCCAAAGCTCCAAAACCAAGTGCACCGAGGGTCCCCTTCATCATCATCAGACCCGCCATCATGGTCCCCATGCCGCCCTTGTCTTTCTTACGACCTGAAAAAGGAAAATCCCAATTGAACCCCGTCAACAAAAAAAAAAATACAAGATCGAAAATAACCCCCTCGACCTAGTTGATGGTTCCATACGGGGAACGTGATGAGTTCCCATTAATTTATCATTATCAGGGAAAGTGATATCAGGGGGCAAAATGCAACGGAAACGAAGACCACTACTGATGCTCGAATGTTGATGCATTTCGTGGTCACTAGTTCCCATAAACCTAGTTGCAGGGTCCGTGGCACGGCAATCTAGAGCCGCAGCAGCAACCGCCCATTACACCATAATAGTTCTCGTTATCACTCCGGAGATTGCGGTTACTGTTATAATTGAAGGATCATACAACCAGCCGGAGGGAGGGAAACTGTTGCAGCTAAAATTCAGTCCCGTTGGCGACGAGCACCCTGTTGACGGTGAGTCATGACCTATCAAAAGCTAAGATCACGACCCCTAATGAGAGATCATCAAAGATCCCAAATAATAAGATGGTTCTTATCGCGAGCCTCGGATCATTTACCCCATTAATGACAAGATCATCTCACCAGTCTCGAGATTTTGGGCACCGCCGAATCCCAGCTGGGCAAGAGCTTCCTCGTTGAAGGTCCTGGCAGCCTCGAAGGTCCTGGGGTCAAACAGCTTGATAGAAATGGCATGACTGTTGAGGTACCTGCCGACCTTGTGGACGATGTAGGCGTCCAACCTCTTGTCCACGTCGTTCGGGAAGTCCCTGGCCAGATTGGCGACAACCTCCGAAGCGGACAGGTCCTTGGAGCCATTTTCCTTGACCACGGAAACTCCTGGCAGGATCCCCAGGTTCTCCGTCTCCGACAGCTTGTCCAGGAAGGACACCACGTCCAGCTTCAGGCAGGTGGCACTGTAGGACTTGGTGCAGTCCTTGTTGATAGGTGGTGGCACAGTTTCCGGGGTGTCCTCCAGGGATTGACCCACGTCCCTCGCCTCGATCTCCGCCCTGGAGACCAGAATTTGAAGAGCCAGCAACAAGGCCGGGAGCACGGCACTCCGGAACCCCTTCATCCTGGATCCTTGGGATAGTTTTCCTTCTGACGGCAACCTCGCCCAGCCTCTGCCTCCTGGAGGTCGTTGCTGGGTACCTTGAGGACGACGACGGCGACCGGACGCGGGCTGGGAACTGGACCTGTCCTGAGATAGTTCCAGTATATATACCGAGGAACAGTGGAGTCCTTTTTCCTTTTTTTCCTTTCGACGATCATACATTCTCCGGAGAGTCCGGGTCCGAGAGGAGGGCTTCTCTTCACGCCTTCGTTCGCCGCTCTAGCTGGAGGCGCGGGAGGTGACGGGCGTCAAATAGAGCGGAGAACTCGAATCTCTGTCAAATTTAGAAAAACTCGGACCGAGAGGAGGGAGGATGCTCTGGTATTGTCCAGCATCCATGGGAGACTTCCACGATGCCGATCAGCGAATGGGTGGACGCTCAAGGCGGATTTCTCGACCTTGAAGAAGGACCAACGAATGATCAACCATCATTGTTCGCGTTCGAAATCTATCATTAAAATTCGGTAGAAGGCCCGAACAACCAGAAGTAGCAATTCTTTAATAAGTTAGGATCCCTCTCGATCAACTTTGCCGGAGTCTCCTGGCATGATCCCTCGGTGGGCTCCAAAAATTGTGCACACTAATAAGTGTCCCAGCAAGTGGACCACCATCCACCAAAGTCTGAAAGCGGGATCAACACTTATCTGGTCTTCTCTAAGCTAACCTCTTCAAGATGCGCTCTCCGCAAATCGCCGGATAAATTGATTCATCATCGTCCACTGATTGCCACAATTTGCAGAGACTCAATTCCAGAAATGCTGCACCAGGCACCGTGACCTTGAAGCTCGTCCACCATCCGCTGGACCCTAGGAAAAAACGGAGGACAGAACTTCCCCTGGTGTGAGATCCCAGTCACCATTCCAGTCTGCAGAAACTGCCGATTCGTGACCAGTGAAATCTGAACCAGTGATTTCGCGAGCAGGATGAAATGCAGCTGATCTTCCCGACCTCGGCGAGAAGATCACCTTTTTCCCGGGTAACTTCTTCTTTTCGTCTCCCGTCCTCGACCCCTGGCTCTCTTCTTCGATCACTTTCATCCGCATCTCGTCAGTAGCGGAAATCAGGATAGAGAAATGCCGTTTTTCCCGAGATCAAGGATCTCTGCTGACTGGTCCAGATGGATCTGCACGTTAAATCGACCCACTTTTCAAGGTGTATCGGATTTTCGCGCGCCACGCTCGAGCTGGCTCGTGAAAGTGTGTGGCCAATTTTCGTGGTGCACGCCAAGATCCATTGTCCCACTGACAATATACTCCTGGGAAAGGTGGTGCCGGATTATTGGCAGAAAGCGTCGCATATCCGTTTCAAATATCGCTGCACGCATGAAGTAGCGTAATGAGGTACAACGCCATGCATTGAAATCGCCTCCACTTTAGGGGTCCTAGATCTTACGACTTTTCCGAATCTAGTCCCGAGAGCACATCCTTGATAATTCCCTCGCTGATTTTAAGTTTACAACGCGCTAATGGTTTATGTTCAAGGGGCGAAGGAGATGGTAGCTTCGGAGGATTCGTGCATAAACAAAGGAGTCTATCAAAGAGACGGGCAAGAAGCGTCGCCTGGTTTCCTTTCTAGGGAATGACCCATTTGATGCCTCGTTCTCTCTTTTTCTATCTCCTACGAGCGGTTTACTCCTTTGCATGCCTTTCCTGAATAATCGAGGAGAGCTGCCTCGTATACGAGGCCTCGTACCCCTTTTTTCCATCTCCGGTAGCGCCCAGGTGGACGAGGGGCAGGTACGGTACCGGCAGGTGAAGTCGAGCCAAGTGAAGCGAAGGATCATCGCGGTCTTCTTTTGCACCGCAAACTGGGCCGGTGTCTAAGACCTATTCCGAACTGCTAGCCGACCAAGAAGGCTTCGCGAACGAGGCTCGAATTGCACCTATTCTCGCCGAGCTGGAACCAGAGAATGGGAAGAGTGGTACACCTCGATGTGCGAGATGCAACAGGTGATACTCAACTTATCTCTGGTGGTTGATTAAAAGTTTACGCATTGGTCAAAATGGTATTTTAGTACTATAGTGTTTAGACCTCGATTAGACTACACCCTATCTTGATGGTTCAGAATGGAACGATTAAATCGGATGCTGCAGTCTTTCTGTAAAACGGGATAGAGTAAAAGTGAGCTGTTACGTGCAATGACCTAAACTGGAATCGTGAGAGCGGTCGGCAACGAAAGTGCCCGAAATTACTGACCGGGAACGAAGAGAACCAAGAGATCGGGACCATCGGTGTGAGAATCTCACGCATTGCTTGCACGCATGCATTATTAATGCACCATGCGTAACGTCATCGTACACCCGCCAGACTGCAAGAGGCAAGAGATCTTCCTGCTCTCATCTCGGGTAAATGACTGCTCTGGGTACAGAGACCTGGTAATGAATTCCGGATTGCGCATCCGGCATTCATGCCCGTGACCGTGCAACTTTAATAATAGCTTGTAGGCGTGCACACGCGTGCATACATTAGTCGTAATACTTATTGTTGGAATGCTCATTGAAGGGGAAACTGGACTGGAATTGCAAAACCAGGGCATTACGCGTTCTATTTATTTCTCAGGTATTTTAATGATTTAATACAGGTTTATATATTTTTCGTACTCTATTTTCTCTTAATTAAATAATTCATCTTGATGTTTGCTTGCTTCCGAAAACCTTGACCTTCAATGGCGTCCTAGGGTGTACCCTAGAACCGCGAACATCACCCTCGCGACGTAGAGTAGCATTATCCTGTTTTGTCATCGGTTTCTAATTATTAATAATCCTTCCAATATTCAGTATTTTTTTGTAGTTCACTCTCGCGTTTATTTTGTATTCTTCTGCCTATTCCTTCCCTTTGATTGAACAACCGTGCGTGAGTGGTGCGTGTGCCACGAGTGTATCACGGCAGTGACCGCCATCGTCCCTCGGATAACAGTTTCCTGGAAGGTAATTCGAGATAAATTCTTACCTTGGCTTGGAAGTTCCGTGCGGCGCCGACAGATGGCGCCACTTTCGCCAACTACGATTCGAGAATTAAAAGTAAAGCAAAGTTTAAATTTTGTAATGGAATTTTAGAATATTTTTAACAGAGGATATACAATATTTGGTTACAAAATTGTATATTTTCAGTCTGCTTGCGATCATTCGTCTCGAAATCGCCCAGTTAAGTAAACTGCGAGCTAACCTCCGCAGAGTATTTAATAATTAGATTAAGCTTAACCCGTTTAATGCCGGACGCGATATACCGTCGTTTCACAAATGCTAACGACTTCGGCCGGCACTAAATAGGTTAAACAATACCTTCGCATGATTGACATCGTCGATTAATCCACGTACGATCGTCCCTACCAGAAAATTAAGAAAACCCTAAATTTACTATCTTTACAGTTCTACATTTCGCAGAACATCTTTAAATACTTAGACGGGTACTAACGATAACCTGGAAGAGTCGTCTTCTAAAACATAAGCCATGTCGGTTCGTGCATATTTTTGGTCTCCTGGTCGTTGTTAGATAACCTAATACTGAAGCGTGTACAAGTTGTGATATATATTACAGAAAGTACTTGTACCTCGAAACTCTGAGTTTCACTTAGAACTCAAGTTCCGTGCGCTTCGGCGGACGGCAGTGCAATGGAGGCGCCGCGGCCGCTCGGGCTTTTATAGGCCCCGACTCGCGCCTGATAGGCTGCCGTCACAACCGATCCCGCTACTTTTCCCTCCACCCGGAGTGGCGCCCCACGCGGGTTGACGACCTACTAACCTTCTTCGGGGTGCTCGACCGCCAGGGGAACGCGGAAGGCCAATCAGGAGTCGTTGCACTCCCCCTACCTTGACCGTCGAAGAACGCGAACGGCGCGACCTACTGACCTTCATTCCTCCTCCCCACTTTCCTGCAACCTCCGCCTCCCATCTAGTTCCCTCCACCAGTTCCACCTCTCCAATCGAGCCAGCCGGCTTCTTGGGAAGTCTTCGAGCGGAAATCCAGCCAACTGGGTCGACGATCCGCTTTTTCATGAATTCCCAAGGGCCAGAGGGAGACTTTCTAACTATACCTCTGGTTTTACTCTTACTATACTAAAACCCTAAATACCTAATGGACTTACATAATCTAAAAATCAGCGACTTCGTTATATGGTATGGTTTTTACTGCTTATCTAATGAAATAAAACGACGGTTTAAAAAACAGAACAACTTTATTAAACTTAATAGTTCTACCTCATAAATAAATAAATATAGCGCGGTGACGGGTAGGATTTTTAAGGGATATCCTGGTAAGGATATTGATCAGGATACTCGGGCCAGCCTCTGTAGGGCTGATTCACTTCTTCTTGGGATCTGTGCCAATGGTCGTGATGGATATCATGTGGTTTTACGATTCCATAACTGACTCTCGCTGGGTATGAAGGTGGAGGTGTAAGGAGAGCTTTTAGGGCCACTGCTCCTGAGAGAAGAAGAGCCGTAAGCCCTGCTCCGAGTCCTTTGATACCGATAAGACCAATCAGGGTGATCACTATAGGCAAAACGATCAATGCCTTCAACTTCAGGGCCAACAGCACCGGCAGAATAATTCTCTTCAGCTTGGTGCGAGCTGAAACCGAACGAAAGTCCAGAAATGCATAAAAAAGATCACATTTATTTACCTATATTTATTGACCCTTCAAAAATCACATTTGTCATTTTTTTTATACCCTGATTTTTTCTGAGGGTACAAAATCGTGGATTCATCTTGAAATTTGGGAAAAACGTTCGGCGGAAGTGCATGCATTTTGTGAATATGTTTAACAGCGATATGTCGTGGTGAATGATTTTTCTTAACAACCGTCTACGTGTGTTTTAAGCCGCTCTTGGAAAGCCTACTTTCTTCGAGCGAAGGCACTCTCTTCAAGGTCCTTTCCCCCAGCCTGGTGTCCTAGAAACCCGGAACCTTTGGAATCCACCACTTACCCCCGTAGACGTCCATCGACCATGGTCCGATTCCTATGGTCCCCTTCCAGCGATTTTCCATGAGCAACCCAAAGACCCCATCCGAAATTCATTTCTAGGGCATGTCGTCCTACCCTTAACCATCGTTTCCGAATTTTTGTTTAAGCATTGTCGATAAAGTATGAGACGGGGCAATTAATTTCGTTACAGTTTCATCGCCGGGGAATTTAGAAATCGCTTTATGGTGGATCTGGGAGGAGTGGCGGCTCCAGGGGAAAACGAGGGTAATGGGGAGGCCCCATAAAACGAGACACACTTTCTGGCCAATGGCCGGTCACATTCGTGACACACTTTGCTGTCATTGGTTGAGAAATTAGAAGGGAATATCGTTATAAGATGATCTACCGGACGTGCTCTTCACGTTCGAGGTCCAGACGCTGAAGAGCACGGCCAGGAGGCTGATGGATGCGTCTCGAAATTTGAGATGCGTTTCAGAAGTCGGATCCAACATTTTTTTCTCCACTAATTCCCCCTTCTTGTACTTTCAACAATTTTTATTTATGCTTAAGCATATAAATGATTAAAGAACGTCTTTTGACACTAAAAGTAAGATGCCTGTAAGAGCAAAAGTACTCCGAAAAATTAGACTTCTTTCTATAAATTTTTTCTGCGAATGTTTATCCGTAAACGTGGGTATGTTAATTTTTTAAATTCGGTTGGATTTTTTTTTAAACATGGTTAATTGAATTTTTCTCGATATTCTCTCACCTTCAGAAGCGCCTCTCGCGAGTCCTCCGAGTTCGACCTCGAAGTCCTTTTCTCCGAGGGCCCTGCCTAAGAGATCGGCAGAGGACCCATCATCGGGAAGACTGACTCGAATCCTGCGACTCCTGAAGAAGTCCTCGACCTTTCTGATCAAAGGATCCTTTTCAGGATCAGCAATTTCCCCGTCACTCTTGACAGGAACCTTCTCCAAAGTGACCATGTCGCCGAAAATGCCGATGGAGTCTTTGGCATTGACCTCCTCCAGCGATCTCGCCAGTTGACTTTCGAACCTTGCCAGAGCATCTTCTTGCGGGGTCAGGGGGGTCACTGAACCTGCCTTGACCAAGGTTATGGCCAGGGCGAAGGTGAACACGGTCCAAGTCATGGCTCTCCTGGATCCAGGCAACAAACTTGCCCAAGAGTGACGGTTTTTGACTGCTTTTGCCCGCGGCGGAATTTTTTCTTTTATATCGGTCTTGACATGTCAATGGTGGGGGTCCGGATGAACCATTTGGCACGGACAACGTGCCATGGGCGACGCCATGAATTTTGATTTCCGCCGTTCCCCGACTTCGGTGCAGGTCGCGATGCACCACGTGGGCGCCGCCATTTTGGATCCTGCGAAACGTACTCTAATTTCTCGTTTGCACCTCCCTAAAATTATTATTCTTCACGGCGTACATCGTAACGAGATATATTAACAGTGCAAGAAAAATTTCTCCCGGAAATACATCAGATTTGAGATTTACGAGTTTCTTTACGTGACAGAGGCATAATGGGGAATTTTCTTCCGCAGCTTTCGCAGGATCGGAAGAAGAGGACCTGGGACGCCGTTGACGACCTCGAGTAAATTTAACTTGTCAAACCGATATCTGCGACGGACTACTTTCGCGGTTTCTAACCGTTCGTCATGGATTTAACGACGACGAGTCGTGGATCTCGTCGATGCATCCGCCATCTTTATTTTCCTAGACGTATCTGGCTGGCGTGGAAAATCACGTGAAACGTCTTAAATAATCGGAAAATCTAACCGTCCAAGTAAGGAATTATGGTGAAAATCAATAAGAATTTTTTTCATCGAATAAGTATCAAGGTATCATAATTAATATCGCTTTTCCGTGAATTTTTCCTCAAACTTTTCTCGCCACTTTGTTGCGTTCCGTCCGGGAATTAGTTTTCCGCGTATGTCGCGACACGGTATGGAATGCAAAACTCTTGTGGCCCGAATCTCTCGAGTATCGAGGGTGACGAGAGTGCAACAAAGACGGAAAACGCGTGTACGTAAACCGCGATTGTGTACGCACGTACCTTCGCGCCTGAATATCTGCATATATTTCGAGTACGCACGTATGTACGTACATGGGCGCATACATGGGCATACGTAAGTAGGCACACGTTCAGGTGGAATCGTTTATGAGGTCCCATTTCGGTCGCCATTATTATTGCGGTCGTCTTCGTGGCCATCAAAGTCTCCCGTCTGGTGAAATTGTTAAAAACAATCCACCTAAAATACTTTTAATCCTTCTACATTAATTAATCCGTCTAGTTTAGTCGACTGTATCTCTTCAGTATAGAAACACCGGCTGGGGAGGGAACTTTACAACCGGCTGTTTTGCCGTCATAAAATGACGCCGATCTGGATGTTTGCAGGTTTTATTTCCAGAAAACGGATCGCCGGTTACGCGAGGATGAAATCACGGAGAAAACCGGGAATCCATCGAAAGGAAGTTTCTACCGGAAGTGGATCTTGCGTCATGACAATAACTCGGATCCAGTCGATGTCTTTGCGATATGCTCGAAATTAATTCCCGAAATCGCTAGGAAAAGTTTCTGATCTCGAAATGTACATAAATGTTTTTTTTTAGGCGCGTCAAAAAATTCGACCGAGTTCCGCGCCAAGTACATTTCCCGTACTGACTTTCTCCAGCGTTTTCCCGTGACAATTGGAGACGATCACGAAATCGTGAGCAAATAATTTATTACATATTATAGATTATAAATAAGTACAAAGGTATAAATAAGGCCTATTCTAGCAGTCGTTTTGCCGGAAGAGGTCCTCCTCAAGGTCCGCTTCCGTTCGTCAATTGTTCTGGACCTCGGCTCTTCGAGGCCGAAGAGCCGCGTCAATTTGCCTCGCTTCCTGGGGGAATCTGCGCATTGTAGGCCAGGGATTGTGCGTGGGCCTTGATGTCGGCATCGTCGAAGCTTCTCCTGTAGTATCCCGAAGACTGGGGAGACGCAGAGTTGGCTGCCCATCCTTGACCAGCAGGAGACTCGATCCAGGAACCAACGGGTTGAGCGGGTTTCCCGAAAATGGCACCCCCGGATGCGGCTGCACCACTTCCGAAGAGCTTCTGGAAGGCCAGGATCCCGGCGATGAGGAGGGCGATCTTGCCCACGAAGAGGGCCTTCAGGGTCAGAAGAGCCAGTCCTCCCAGGACGATCGGCACCAGGGCGAATATCTTCACGCCGGCTGCTGCGACCAGGGGCAGGATCATCTTCTTGATCTTTCCGCGTCCTGGAATTTTGCAAAGGGTATTTTTCATTCGCTTCCTAAAATTTATAACTTCGTATATAATTCACTGGTATCATTCTACGGGTTGAAATTTTCGAAAGCATATTATGCTCGCTTAGATTTTTAATTGAAAAATACATTTACCCCTCTGCTCACATTTTCGGGGGAATTAAATATATCAGCGGTACTGTTAATTTCACTTTTTGCCTCGCTAGAGTGACTATGCTAATCCCGAGGAACCTCCTCGCGGAGAAAGCGAAATCCTGCTGCAGATCCTGCTTAATCTGGGCGTGATTCAACTCGGGTGAAAGGTGAAAGGCAACTCGAGATGTGCTAACGCGTGGACTTGGAGAACAAAGTTACGCAATTGGTTAATTTCACTTGAAAACTTGAAAAATGTCGCGCTGCGATTTTATAAATAAAAAAATGTCCTGCAATTTCCCTGGCAAATCATTTCTAAAGATATTCCAAGCGATATAATATTTTTTAATTTCATATCCGCGCTTTAATATTTAGATATCAGAAAAAATCAGGCGTCGGACTCACCCTCGACAAGGGCTCTGGAAATGGAACCTTCGGGGACGTTCAGTTTAAGACTGTGGCTCTTCAAGAACGCCAGGGCAGATTCGTAGATCATGGAAGCCAATTTCAAGGTCCTATCGGAAGCATCCCGAGGCAGCTCGTTCATCACTTCCGTTTCCGTCTTCAGGGACTTCCCGTTGCGCTCCACTGAAAAGTATAAATTATAAATTTTTTAAGTCATTGGATTCGTCCAGCAGAATTTAATGCGGCTACCACCAATTTGCACCGTTTATTTAATGCCAGAAGGTGAATCCTTGAAAATTTCAGGTCGCACAATTTTTAAAGTAGAGAAAAAAATTCGAAGGAAATATTTCCAGGCACGGAAAAATGCGGAGACTCACGAGGTGCTTCCCTGACGAAAGTGACGCCATCGAGGATCTGGATGTCCTTCGACCTGGACGCCCTGTCCAGGACGACTGCAGTTTTCACGGCGATGCAGCTGAATATCGAATTCTCCTGTTCCAGGCAGTCCAATTTCCCAGGTTCCATGGAAGATCCTTCGGGAGCAGGGACGGCAAGCGCGGACGCGAGCAGCATCCCGAAAACGGCGAGTCGGAACATCTCGAAAGTTTCACTGGGCTGGACCACGAAGAAGTCGAGATGGGATCCTCGAGGACGAAGACTAGGAAGTGGACTAAGCGCGGGTTAAATTTTCGGAGGTAAGTGCGAGTTGACCCTGCTTTGCTTCAATCTTTATAGGAGACTCGCAACCCCCTCCAGCCCCGACACTCGCCACACCTCCGGATGTGTCGGAGATGCCAGAGGACGGCACCTCCCCGGGGAACTTTCCTCGGTAATTTTTTAAACAAACCACGAGCCTAGAGCGACGCCCCCTCCTGGACACGTGGACGCAGAGGACACGCCAGGGACCAGACGAGACTCGATTTGGGTCATCCAGGGCTCCAGGAGCATTCTTCGGGAGTTGGTGCCAATGACCACGAGTCCCATGAAGACAGGTAAAACGATTCGATATCAGAGGAGGGATAACTATTTATGCGCGTAGATTCTAAAATTTATATAAACAAATTTTTTTCAGCATTTTATTTGGCGCGGAACGCAAACTCCCTGTTGCAGGGTTCTTTACGTCGTTCAACCAGCGAAGTCGGAAGTCGTTCCTGCTCGCATTCGCTAGCTTTACTTTCTCCCTCATTTTGGAGTAATTAGAAGCATGGATTCCATCGTTTCCATATTCCACATTCTCTGTCTGCCTCCGAAGATCTTTTCGACCCTGAAGACAGATTTCTGCATCCTGCTCGACGGGGAACGTCACGTCGAGCTGGTGTATGAATTGTGTGGCAGTCCCGCACGACGGCTGCAGTTTCACGTATTCTCAGGTGGAAAAGTGCATTTTAGCTCGCGGCCATCTCCGACCGCACCTGTTGCGGTCGTCGAAGTGATTTCTGGCCGTCGAGATGAAACTATGACGAAGGAGTTATCTGTTAACCCCCCAGCTAATAACCCGCTCGAAATGTCCGCCCCTTGCTCCAAATTCCGCGGAATTTTTTTTTTCCCGAATTTTAGGCCACTTTGGGATAATATTGAGGTTATGTCGCGTGGATTTGATTTTTCATGCGCGAGTCCTGCAAGTCGCGGGTCATCTTTTTAGGTCGGAGGGGTTGAGATGTGGAATGCTTCCAGATGGAATTCTTCGTGTCTATTTGGAGTAAATTTCGGCTGCAGGGAGTGGAGTGCATCGGGCCGTTTGCCTTGACCCAGAGAACGCAACCGGTAACGCATTAACCTCCGCATTACATCGGTGAACAGGTTTCTTTACGTAACCACGTGGCTGCGTTTCCACGCGGGACGAACGTCCACGTGTTTCCTCGGATTTTTCCCCACGTCCTTTTTCTCGTTATAAAAAATATCAAAAAGATGTGACGTACTCATATTACCATAAATTCCACTCTGCCTTTATTTACAGACTTTTTAAACGAGTCTCTTGTAAATTCCTACTGATTTTTTGCTACCTAAAAATGTTACTTTAAAAAGTGAAATTCGATAACGTTCATGAGGAATTCCCTCGGGCACTTTTTGATCCCTCGCTTTAAAATCAGGGAAACGTTTTAATTGATGAACCCATTAGGAAGAATATTAAAAAATGTTTCTGATTTGTCGCCGAAGAGAAAATTTGTCAATAATTTTGGACACCTCTGACAGATTTTCCCTTTTTTGTGTCCCACTTCCGGATGACTCGAGCGTCATTGGCATGTCATCTGCATTGGTTTCCCGGATGCAAAATGGCGATTCGTCATCGGGGTCAGTCGCGATTTAAAGCACGCGACCGATTTTCGAGCAGCCATTTCAAGGTGCAACTTCTTCGGTCCCATTGTATTCCACGGTCGGATGTGTTTTAAATATTTACCAGGGATGACAGTAACGGTACGATTTCCAAAGAGACGTTTTCCTTTCTTCTTTTTTCTCTGCCGGAAGTCGAAAAATCCGGCGACCGTCTTACGGAAGAGGAACATCCGTGGTATTATGGCGACGTGCGCCTTTAACCAGACGACGTGGAAAGTGTCCCGAAAATGTCGCGTTTGTTTGTCGAGGGAGAAATCCGTGAGTAAAGAGGAGAAACTCTCGGAAGAGAAGTACAAGTTAGATAAAGAGAACGAAATCACTTCGAATTTATTTCTCGAGTTAAGAGAATTCCTGTAAAGGAAAGCATTACATTCCTGGGAAAAAGTGCAATAAATTCCTGGAAAAGTGTACCTCGAAAGGTTTTCCTGAAGACTGTCACGTATTTTTAGACAATACTTTTATAAACGTCGAGTTGACGGAGATGGGTACATTCAATGTCTTCCATAAATTATTATTAAATCTCCCAGGAATTTTCGCTGTCCACTTTTTAAATTATTAACAAGATAATGCAGTCTTCAGGGACCTTTTCCCGAGGTATTTCGAGTCCTGACCTTAATACCTCGAAGGTAGGGTCGACGACCTTTTCATGGTCTTCAGGTTCTTCCTATCTCGGGTTTATCTCTCCCTCTTCGACTCTCGAGACGAGTTTTCCCCTCTACGTCCCTCGCCTTTTTCCCACGAGTGAGACAATTGACAGTACCCATATTTATTATATTTTCCCTTCGGGGTTAAATTTATAGTTACCCGATAAACCCGGATAAAGAGATTCCTTTTTATTCTCTCCATCTTCACATGGGAGAAAGTTTCCGCGTCATCCCAGAGTTGGTTCTTACGTAAGCAACGAGTCAATGAAACGCACATTACAAACCGGACCCAAGTCCATTGAAAAGCTAATTCCAATTCCTTTTTTTGAACCGACGTGGTGAATGCATTATTCATCGAGATTTTGTGATTTTTTAAAACCACCGATCAATAATTTAATCAAGTAAAAATTCTGATTTTGCGTTCAAACGGAAACTTATCCGCTAGAGAATATTCAATATTTTTCTTCATACGTATGATAGAACAAGAGGAAGTGGGTTAAATAATTTCTCAGGTCGTGCATAGTTTATCCAGTTTTTTTATTATTTATTTCCGTCTACGCCGGTCTCTGTAAAAATTGTAAGGCCTGTCGTCTCCGAGTTCATCCTTGGAGCCAAAGGAGTCCTGTCTTCGGTACTTGCCAATGGGCACATTTACGACATCGTAATTAGAACCGGAAGAGGAGCTTTGAGCAACTTTTTTCAGACCTACGATTGCTGCCAGGATCAGACTCATCAGACTCAAGACGACAGCTTTGCCGCTCAAGACTGCCAAGGCTTTCAGAGCGATCGGCAACAAGATGGACTTGATCAGCAGGAAACCGACTATCAGCGGTAGTACGTACTTGTTGTACTTGCCCTTCTTCTTTTTCCGACCTGAAGAGTACCACACATTTAATTATCCATCCTCGAGCCAGGTGATCAAAGATGGAGACGTAAAAAAAAAAAATTCTGTACACTGATTATTTCTCCGCGTGACATTTCATTTGGGTGCTGATCGCCATCTCGACTTGCATCTTTGAAATGAAATGTCAGGCTGGGAGATGTAAGAAAAAATTGCCAAAATTGAAGGAACAATTTTTTAGAACTCACCTTCCACGGGGATGGAGGTTTCCACGGAAGACCTGAGATAATCCAAACCTGCGAGGACCACATCCCTAAATTGACTCGAGTCCTTGAATCCTTTGTCTTCGAAGTGGACGTTGGCCTTCGAGTTCGAGTTCTTATCAGAGGCCGCGATAACTGGCGCCAAGATGCCGAGACACGTCACGTAAATCAGGATCATCTTCGAGAAGATGGATGTTCCCTGGATCCTTTCTTCTTGAAACGGAAGGTCCTTTGTCAGTGCCTTTGAATTCGAACGTCCCTCTTTTCAAGGATCAACAGGACCTGTCCAGCTTCCGGAAGTTGATCAGTAAATCATAGCTCACCCATGGCAATGGCTGAAGGTATTAAAAAATTAGTGTTTATGACAGCGAGGAAAATGTTACATTTTTTAATCAATTTTCCTATTGCACTGAAATTTAAGGTCTTGAAAAATTGCAATTTATCATGGAGAGGGAAACTTTACCTTCGAATCTATTTTTTCTGATAAAAGTCTCGGTACTCTTCCTCTTCAAGGTCCCACGTGGCGAAGCCGTCCATCTGCAGACCGGATGTAAACTGGCATTGTTCCTTCTCGATGATTAGTTTATATAGACCTTGAAGAAGGAGTTCTAGCGGTTTTGGTACCGGGGCATGACGAGCCATCATCCCCGTTCTTCCGGTACATCTTCCCTCCCATTGGAAGACGCCATCTTGGCGTCCCGGCAGAAATTTCGGGAAATTAAAGTCCAGCCAGGCGCAAACTCATTGTTAGCTCGGTCGACTAAATTGTTGACTTCATGGTTGGTTCGGTTTCTCCGATGGCGACGCATATCGGCACATCGAGGAGCAGAAATCCTCCTAGTCTCTAAAATGACCGTCTTTGAAAATGGACCCCCCATAAATCCCCGACCGAATTCAAACATTTTATCAACCCCACGAAATATTAATTATTTTAATATTTACCCGCTTCTCTGTCGCGTGATCCTGACAGCAATTTTTCTCAATCTTCGCAACCAGTTACCATGGGAAACCTGGATAGCGTGAGGAAGATTATCGAACAGACAGCATGTCATTTTCAACGGGAAGTCCAATGGTTCGTTCGCTCTTTCGCCATATCTTGTTTAATTGTTTTTTATTAACAATACGTGCGGTCGATCATGATGTATCGCTCCATGATCCAGTTTTTTGTCTCTGCGTATCGAGGAGCTCATCGAGGCCATTTTTGCAGAGTTGTCATTACTTGGCATCTATCATCAAAAAGGATGGCCATTATTCTAGCGGTGAACAGAGGAACGCCGAAACACGATACGGTATCGGCGGCGAAAACCGTAACGAAGAAGGAACGAGTCAACCATTTCTGGGTTAAACTTATCTTCACTTCTTCCTACTGTCGGCACTAATCGTCCTGCAGAAGAGGAAGCAGCGAAATTGGCTGCAACTTTTAAGGGCACCAACACTGCAGCGCCTGAATTCAATTGTTGGTCACCTGGGTTGTCGGACTTAACACGCGAAAGAGCCAGCTAATCGACCGCAATTGCTCTGGAACTTCGTATCATACTTCATTGCACAGTCTACAAAATGTAGGATATTCGTTAAATATATAGAAAATATAGCAGAAACATGTTGCGCTTCTAGGGTATATTCGAATCGATGCCAGAAGAAGTCGAAACTCAAGTGAAGCATCCCACACATCGCACTTTCCCGGTCAGTCGAGCACAATTCGAGCGTATCCTCGTCCTTGTTTCCTGATAAAAAATAATGCCAAGAACGAAGAGTCCAGGAGAAAACCCGCCATTCATCGAAATAAGGACCATCGGCCCAAATGTCCTCGAAGCGTGGAACCCGGTACCACGTCGACCACATCTTCAGGGACCTCTTCGTGTTCAGTCCCGATCTAAGTACTCTTGGCGAGCACTGTACATCATGACGGTACTCGCACGACACGCACATACCCCATAGAACCAATTTTTCACGGACTGTCGATCTTCCCGGCAACTGAAGCGTGTCCTGGTACCGCAGGGGATATTCCTGCTAGGATCGGTCGCGTATGGTAGTCCAAGAACCGGATCAGTTAGAAACCGGCAGCCATCCACATCGCGCTTCTTCGGGTACCGGGGTCTTCATCAGGGCCCCGAAAGATCCCCAGGACATCAAAAGGACCTGGACCAGGTCTTCGGAGGCCGATTTCACGGATATCGAAAAGAGACTACCTGGACAACCAGAAGATGAGTCCTACCTGGGTCTTCGTCCTGTCGGAGGTCGGCGTAGATCTTGCTCGACGCTGTCCCTGGTGAACGCCTCGAGGAGTCGAAAGGAGGAGTCCTCTTCAGGGGAAAGATGAGGCCGAGAGTGAATCTAGTCGTATCTTTTCTATTCCTCTGGTGCATGGTGGAGCTGCCTGCTGCAAGGCGTCCTGATGTGGTTCCTGGTTTTTCGGGAACTGGACATTTCATCGCCAGGACACCCGATTTCCATAAAAGACTCCTGAGTCGCGACAGGACTTTCGAGGGGAATTGGATCCTGAAAAATTCCGACTCGAAAAAAGGAAAAATCAACGCTCTTCAGGTTCGAGAGACCTCGAGGATGCTGACTGGACCATCCTGTGACAAGGGGTCGGGGAACTACCCCTGGTCGAGAGGTAAAGTGATTTCTTTTTTCAAGCCGCTTTTTAAGAAATGTCTGGTTTACCTGGTCATAGTTATCTAATTAAATTAAATCCGGTAATTAACCCTGTGAATGCAGGACTGTCGAGGTGGAAGAGGGACCGGATGCACAAGATGGCCATGCCGTTGTTGATGGCCTACAAGCTGAAATTCGTCGCTCTGATCCCGACTCTGATTTTTGGATTCATCCTCCTAATTTCGACGACCACGCTTGCAGGATTTTTCTTTGCCCTTTTCGCCGCCGTTCTCGGACTGAAGGTTCACTGACTCGAGCCGCCATTTTGGATTCTCTGGAGAACACGGTGGCCTCAAAGAAGTGGTTCCTCGACTCCCGATTTTCGATAAATCGGAGGTTTAAACTAAATACTTTTTATTTTCTTCATTTCGGTGCATCAAAAGACTCGTTCGAGGTGAATGGACAACAAATTAGTTTGTAAACGTGATATAAATATTTGTTTATTCAAGACAACGTGCTGTGAAGGAAGATTGCGGATGGAATTGAAATTTCTTGTTCGACTCGTCTCGAGTTTTTGGGAACGCTGGTCTTATTCAATTGTTAAATTACAGGTAAACGTTTATCTGGTCCCGCTGTTTGACGAACGGTGATACTATTGAAACGTTATTCGCTAGTTGTTAGTAAATAAATTAATTGTAAGTACAAGACGTCGCTTTAGTCGACCTGACGTAGTCCCCGGAGGCGTCATCGAGGACCAACACCTGACGTCATTAAAAACAGGTTAATATGCATTCAGTCTCGTCTCGTCTGACTGCAATTTTTTTTTTCGCCGAAGAGAAAAATTTCCTTCTCTCTTCAATCCATTGACACGGTACTAGAAACAATTTCGCAACTTCATCGATCGCAAGGAGCATATGGTAAGCCTGCTGCTTCGCAGCTGTTGCTGAGAATTTCTAGCCTAACCTCTACTTAGTTGCACGCAGAAGAGTTGCAACAGTAATGCATTATTACGACGTTACTGTTGCCGTGAAAGTGACCCAGTGAATATTTCAGAACAAAAAATCAAGAGATAAACGGTCAGGATGTCATCCTCGACAACGTCTAGAAGAGACGGTCGTAAAGAAAGGTCTTGAAACTCCAACAATGAGGACGATCGCTCAGTGATATCAATTTTCATTTAATTTTGACCACCATTGTAATAAAGTAAACTGGAAAATAAAATGAAAATGCTATCGGTAAGCGATTGCCTTCATCAAGGAAATTTGGTAGTTTCCAAAATCCAAGAATAGCGATGACCAAAATCGGCGTTGGTCTTGGTCCTGCCTGGTCAGGTCTTCTTTCAGATTATGTAAATATAATCAGGACCTGGGAAGAGATGCACTGCACTATTTGCAAGCGCAAGACCGATTTTGCTCATCACTACCCGTGAGTAGGACCATGTTATCAGCCAGTGTTATCACTAGGTTAGGAGCTATTGTTGCTGTTGTCTCAGTTCGGCGCTTCTTGCGCTGTACGCGAGGTTTTGGGCGTACTCCTGATTATCCTGGGTGGCCATCCCAGGAAGAGAAGAGTCCAGGGACTTCTTGAAGCTCCTGTCCCATCCTCCACTACTCTGCTGCCAGCCATGATGGGAATCATGGCCACTCTGCTTCTGGCTGAGCAGCTTCTTCAGGCCGATGATGAGCGACAGCACCAGAGCGATCTTGCTGATGATAAGCGCCTTCCCAGCCAGCAAGAACAGCACGCCAATAGCGATGGGGATCATCGCGGCCATCTTCATGGCGATCCCCATCATCATCATGCCCATCATCTTCTTCATCTTGCCCCGGCCCTCCTCAACGCTGCGCTTCAGCTCCCCAGAAGTCATCTTGGGCAAGCTGATCTGAACGTTGAAGCCATTCAGGAGGGACGCGACCCTGTCGAAGAGGACCTCGTTGAGAAGATCGTCCCTGGAGGCGCCCCCGGTCCTGCCCAAGACCTCCAAATCTGCCATTTTGGGGACCCCAGCATCCCCAGGCGCCTCCACCCTGACCAGCTCCATGTTCTCCGAGATGGGCAGCACCTCGATCCTGCCCAGCCTCTCAAAGAACGCGATAGCCTTTTTCTTCAGACACGGCGACACCGCCGAGTTGCGCAGCTGGCACTCTTCGTACACCCTGAAGAGCGTGCGGTACCCACGGTCGAAGAGAGTCACCCCGTCATCAGCGTTGCAGTGCTGGACCCCCAGCATCCCCAGGACCAGGAGGACCACGCACTTCATCCTTGGCAGCATCTTCCAGGTACAAACTTGGAACTTTGTGGGGAACCGTATCTTTGCGTTTGGGACGTGATGTCCGATCGCAGCTTCCAGGTGACCCTTACCCGACACGAAGAGACCCGGAGCGCACCGGGAACCCTGGATTTCCACGCTAGACTGGCGTCAGGTCCTGGACTCCTCTGGATATATACCGACGGCTTTCAGTGCCAGTGGTTGGATAAACAGGGTGAACAACTATGCTCCCACGTCGGTCGTGGACGTGTACATAGAGGAGGTGGTGATGGTGGTGCTCGGTAAAGAGGTCTGCTGACAGCGAGACTGTAGGACAGCTGCGATGGGATGAGCTCCGCGTGCGCTCGTGCTACTGGCGACCGACCTTGTGACCCCACTGACACACAGACCCACTCGGTGAGATCGGCACGGCCACGAAGCCTTTATTTCACGCTGGATAAAGAATCCCGGGAGAACGCGCCGGATGTGGGCTAAGACCCCGTAGAGGAGTGCCTACCGGCGCTGGGTTATGGGTTGGGGTCAGCGCCGAATGATCTTGTCGCGGCACTCATTCCGCCAGATTTTGCGCTTAATGAGAGGCGACGCCACCTTCTGCGACCATTTGCAGGTCGAGAGTGATTAATCAGGACGGAGGATAACTGGAATGAGAGAAGAAGATGAGCTCTTGGTGACTTTAACTTCCTGGGATGATTTAGATTGGGTGCCGATGATCTTGTCGCGGTCCTCTTTCCAGGTTTTGCGCTTAATGAGAGGCGACGCCACCTTCTGCTACCATTCGCAGGTCGAGAGTGATGAATCAGGGCATCAAAATTTCCTCGGCATTTTTTTAAGGCCTTCGTCCTAAGATGGTTAAACCTCAAACGATTCGGTACATCCAGTTTGTAGAAAAGTTTAATTAACACCTTAATTAGAGGTGCCGCTATCTTTTGAAATAATTTGCGGATGGAGCGGGATGATTCCTGATTTTTAAGTGATTTAAATAGGAGAAGATAAATTAAAACACAGGGGTAATAAAACGTGCACTCAGCTTCGTTCGGTCGAACTAAATTGAAATCGAACGCCAGGGAGGAAGTAGTTAAACAGTCCAAAGAGAGCGACACAAACTACCTTCCCTGAAATCGAAACACTTTCCGGAAATTAGCGCTTGTTAGCATTCGCGAAAGCAGTTTATTTGCCTCGTGCAAATAAGAGAGTCATCTGCAGCACTCTGGAGTTAACTGCAAACTCGACGTAGCAGCTCCAATTTCTGACATAACCTCCACGTCCTGTAAATCCAACATTTAAATCATCGTAAAATAATTCCAAATGTTTCGGGCAAGAATCTATGTCGGTCAACTATTTTCTTTTTTCTCAGGATGGAGGTAAGGTTTATTCAGGTACGGAATTGGGACAATTTCGTACCGAGGCCTCGAGGATGCGCCACCATTGTAGATTCATCGTCGATCGAAAGCCGGTCGCGAATTGCACGAGAGTAGCGAAATCTGAGGAACTCGCTTTAAGCCCGATTTATGTGGCACGGACCTTGTCGGCGTTATACGTTTATATGTGTATATACCGTAAAGGCCGCGAACGGACACGATCGTTAAGTAGCAACGGCAACATTAGCGTGGTTGCATTAGAAATACGCTAACCTCGATCGAGCGCGGGATTCTGCCACCCCTAGACAGTCCAATGTGTCAATTAACTGGGTTGTAAACTCTAAGCAAGAGATTGAAGTAAAAATCGCCAGGTTTTCTCGTATTAAGGCGGCATTTAAGTGGAAATGCCGTCGGAGGGATCGCCCACGTGCTTTGTGCCGCCCCTCGACGGTCCCACCTCGCAATTTCACTTGGATCTAAAATCGCTACAGGCGGTTGTTCAGATCCAATTGTTTGACTATAGGTTCTGGATAAGTGAATTTAACTAACAGTGTAACGTTTTCTCGTTTTGAGGTGGGATTTGCGGTTTAATAGGCCTGATAGTAGAAATGGTGTTACAGGGGACGGCCATGCGAAGGACGGCAGCGCCACGCTCGATGCTGTTGCCGATTCCCGCGGCCGGGTCACCAGGTCACAGGGGTACCAATCCTGAACGAGACCAGCACCCGCGTAGATTTATCGCGTGTCCCGATCGAGGCGAGCAGAGTTATGGAGAACTCGTGCGAGTTCGAGCGGACTCGGACCGTGGGATCGCCGACTCGGAAAACGAAGATTCACCTGCCCATTAGCGAGCTACGTAGTTATTCATAATTACAGGCGGAACTGCATTGGAATTCGCGATTAAATCTTCCCTCTAGGTGCCTCCAGGAACCCAGTAGCCACGCGCTACCACGGCGGCCATCTTGGATCACGCCAGAATAATTCTAAAAGCGATTGAAATTTTCTACAAAGTGTTCATATACTCTTAAATCTTCTCGTTACTCGGTAACTACACTCAGGAAAAAATTCATTCAGCCAAAGAAATATTGAGTGAAATAATTAATCTTTGATGTAAGGAAATGTATCTTTGGTTCAATGAAATTTTTTTTTTCTGTGTATGATTTGGTGATCGTGAAATTCATTACCGATGCGCGTGCTTTCAAGATAGTCTTCGTGCCTGATGGCGAAGGCCTCCTTTTCTTCCGTATCCCATGGCCATTAAGTAGTAATTACTTAACAAGCGTCAAAGTCGTACACACAGAAAGTCCCATTCACCCGGGGAATTACACTTCATCGTAAGAAGGGTGATACCCATCGGCGTGCTCTTTTTGGTTATGACATCGCCATAATTATGAAATATTTTTAAATCATTGCAATGAAATTACAGAGTAGATCGAAAGTGAGGTTAGGCGGCCATTTTGGTCCCGCTTAGAGCTGCGCAGACGCGGTTCGTTATTGCGCCGTATGGAGGATGAACGCGGCCCAGTGGCACACAAAACACGTACAGATGTCTGTCGAAGGAAAGATTACGCTTTTTAGACCCGGTTTTCTACTTTCCGGCCTCGTCGCGTAAAGGGTCGTGGGAGGTTGGAGATTCCTCCGAGACCGCGAAGAAACATGCCTCGCGAATATCCAGGAACGCCGCATTTTCACCGGCACTCAACCACAAATTAATTAGACAACAAAAGCCTAGTATTCATCATATAATTTTATTAACCACACATTTTTAGAATAACGAATTTTCTACCATTCATTAAAATCATTTCAAAGCATGGGACGCATTTAAAATTGCGTCTCCAGTTCAGTGATGTGTCGGCGCTAATAATTCGGATCGCCGGCGTTGCGTCATGAACAGAAAAAGGAATTACAAAAGGCAGCATAAATCAGGAACTAAATTACAGGGATTACAAGGCGGAACGTGGCCATAACTGCAGTGTAAAGCATTCTAATTCGGCCATATACATAGGAACATGGCGCGAAGAAATAAATCCAAGATGGCGGCGCGTCTGGCGTCTTAAAATCGACAACGGCGGAATCAAGCCGCGGCAATAATTAATCCCCCAACGCACACATATGCGCATTCACGCTCTGTATGTGCCATAATTTGTGTAGTCGGGTGCGATGCTTTAATTGCAAATGGTGGCTTATAAAAGCGTGATAAAAATGGCGAAGCCGCCAGTTAGCCAGGCCTCGCGAAACATGCAGGGACGACTTTTCGTGTTTTCTTTGCTTTCCGGAACTCTCTCCGCGGTCTACGCGAGGACAGGGGTGGGATTAAACGATTTCGAAGTGAATTGCATAAAAAGTCGAATCGATCCATCCCTTTGCGATCGATTAGCGAAGAACCGATCGAAATTCAGAGTCCCTGGTTTGGAAATGTTGGGCAAAAATGTGGAAAACGTGGAGAACGAAAGAAATTGGAAGGGCGACTGGGATACCAAAATGGCGGCCGACGAAGAACTTCTTGAAGAAGGTACTCGCAACCGAACTATTCCTTACGAACTTTGGAAATAATATTTTTCAAGGATGTGGGCGATATTCGTACGTTGAAATTAATGGCTGATTTTTCAGGGCGGAAGAAGGACAAGGGAGGAGGAGGGAAACTGATATTTTTAATGGCTGCGGCGTCTAAAGCCACTCTCATGTATTTCGGTTTACACGTTCTCGCCGCCATTGCTGGAAAAGCTCTCGTCGTCGCCAAAGTCGCCCTTGCGATCGCCACCGCGATCGTCCTGAAGAAAGCTCTGGGTAAAAATTCATTTTAAAAAGCACCTGACATTTTTAACAATTTTTGTACGTGACTTTATGTCAATATTTCCAGCTCACGAGGAAAAGACATCGTACGAGATCATTAAGCATCCTCATCACAGCTTCATCCAAACGCACAGCTCCAGTGTGGATTACGACCACCATGACCATGGGTTTGAAGAAAGCGGACATCGCAGAAGACGTCGACGAACCAGAAGATAGAACTAGACAATTATTATCAGCATCTTAATTTATTCTATCGATACCATCGAAATTAATCCTGACGCCATTATAAGTTCTCATTAAGCCAATATAAGCTACACACCCATAGAAACCTACGTTATTGACCATGAATCAGATAACCCGCCTCATATTTTATATTAATAAGCCTATGTATATCTTAATTTTACGAATGACTGATATAATATTATTTACGAGATATCAGGTTAATCACTGATAATTAAGAAAATAAGGCGTTTAATATTCTTGATAAATGAATGTCATGAGGAAATAAAGTACTGTTTTAATAAGTGTGGCGATTTATATTCCATAACGTCAAATTTCAATTCCTCGTCTTGAAGTAATGATTCCGTTAAGGGTGATACCGTATTCGCGGCACCATAAAAAACAATGGCGTCGTGAATTTCCATCGTGAAAGGCTAGTTTGCAACTCGCACGTATCCAGAGATTTACGGTGCTTCATAATTCCGCGACTGGGTCGTCACGCAATAATGGCGGCTGCGATGTCGGTAAAGAGGCCAAGAATGATGTAGGACGTGCAGAGCGAAGGACGAAGCTCCATGATCTTGCGAGACGAATGGTAAAATGGTAATTCCCGGTAAAAACTCATAACCCATAAAAAACAAAATGGTCACTAACGGCAGTCACCTCTCGAGGGCGAAAAAGTACAACAAACTGACATACAACAAACGACACGTGCGACGTGCTACTTTTATTACACAGGTACAAAGCATGGTGCGACGCGATCGACGGTTGTTCTCAATAAATAATCTTGAAAATAATCAGCTCAGGTCGTCGGAACGGCGTCTAATGACCTCTGCCAGCCTCCTCCTCCTCCTCCATAACCTCCGCCATGATGCTCCGATGCAGTGGCGTAGATAACCTCGTGACCACCTCCACCACCGTGCACAAGCTTCTTCAGTCCGATAATGGCGCTGATCACCAACGCTATTTTCGCCGTCACCAGCGCCGTGCCGGCCAGAAGCGCGATTTTGCCAAAGGCAAGCTGCGCCATCATGCCTGAGGATTAAAGAAAACGTGAGACCGATGCAAAATATCGAGTGGTTTTCGAGAAATCCGGTCGTGAAATCGCGAGGTGGGAGACTTACCCGCCAGCGCGAGGCCGCCCATCATCAGCGCGCCGCCCATGCCCTTGTCCTTCTTCTTGCGGCCTGTTCGGGTAAAAAAAGGACGTTTAGCGTGACGAAACGAAACCACTGGGGTACATATCGTAAAGGGCTATTACCTTCGAAGGTATCTCCAGGGATCGTCAAGCGGATGCTCCTGGAGGCCAGGTACTCGTGGAACTTCCGGTCCAGCTCCTCGTCGATGCTTCTTCCGGTGGCGTTGTCGGGATCCTCGGCAAGGGGCTTCAGCAGCGAATTAGGGTCTCGACCGATGGCCACGAAGTCGTTTATCACGTACACGGAGTCGTCCTTGATGGCAGAATCCAGCACATCCACGGCCCGCTGTTTCAGACAATCGAACGTGTTCTTTTCCTCGGTGCACCTCTCGAAAATCTTGATGTAGTCCATGCGACCGAGAGCTGGTCCCAAAAGACAGACCAGCTGACCCAGGACCAGCAGCTTCCCGAAGTCGCCCAACATCTTGGAGGCTCTTCTTCGGTGGAGATTTCAACGAGTTTGCTCCTCCCCGCTCCGACCTCCAGCTATCCTAACCTCTAATCTAGCCGGGACTGGCGAATCCTTCTAACTAACAGTTCCTCCCGCTGGCTTCGCTCTTATATACATTCGGGGTGCTTCGTTCCCGAAGAGCTCTCCTTCCATTCCCAGCGATGGTTATACGGATACTCCACGATGCACGCGCTGTTTAGCGCCTCGCTGGGAGGCACTTCAACCAAAACAATGTCGCAGCCTGCAGAGGAAGTAGCCTTCTGACCCGTTTGGGAAACGAGCCTTGAAGCACGCCTTGAAGTCCGATTCGACGGGTCAGGGGCCTCGGTCAGCTGCAAGAACCTCCGGCGAGTTCTTCCACCTAAAATGCTCGGCGAAATTGCACGGAGGCTCTTCTTTCCCGGAACCGTTGCCGCCGATGACCGGACCTCGAAGATGAGGAAAAAGTTAACTCGTCCTGTTAAAAGGCCACTTCAATTTTACAACATCTTTTGCCAGTTCCGATTTTCCATTATTATCCGGCGCCATTACTCATTTTGAGGTTACTGGGCGCCGTTTCAATTTGCACGCGCCGCCCCTTAAAGGGAAGCTAAACAGAGGTAAGAAGTGGAACCTTCCTGGAAAGGCCATTACATATGCAAATGACCGAGTCGGGTGTACCTTGCTTGTCCAACGAAGAGCGTAAGAGATGTTACGCGTGTAACGCCAAATAGGTTTTCTAAACGCGTCACACCGGAACAACGCGTCTCTTACACGAAATTTCCTGATTAAAATTAATTCCATATCTTTTTAGGGGTATACCGATCAACGGTGCATTTGATAAGAACTGTCAAACTGAAAAGGTAACTCGGCTTAATTGCATCCGTCGTGCAATTAGCCAGAATGTGTGCTCGTTAAACGCGGCCACGAAACTGGGGCGCAAATCCACGAAGCGTGCCACCGTTTCCCGCGAAATCATCAAATCTGCTCCCAAGATTTCTCACCTCCTTTTTATAAATTAAATGTATTCATCCGGACACATTTGCGGTGGGTATCGATAAGATAAAAGGCAACGTATGAATCGTAGAGTAAAGGATGTATTTTTGTCACACGTTTGTAGAGTAATAAAAAAATTATAACTTCGATACATGTTTCCAAATTATTGAAATGAAATCCACGAGACGTCGTGGAAGGATCTCCAGGAGGGAGGATCTCTTGAAACCGATAGTGAGGATGAACCGAAGAGTGGAGGCGGCCATTTCGTACTTTTTTCTTTCCTGCTCCCACGGAACCAGTCTCGAGAACAGCGAACGGCAGTTCTCGTCGCCATGAATGGGAGTTATTCTTGAATGGAAGGCAGAAAATCACTCGAAATCCTACTCGGAGGGATCGGCACTCTGCCATGCGAAGTTCTTCCCTCTTTCTGCATTTCTGGAATCCTCGTGATCCGCGCCATAAACGTTGACGACGTCCCTTATCACGTGCTGATCGTACGGCGCGAAGTCGGAAGGTTGAACCTCCCTGAAGGGTCGATAATTAAATCCATGATCTGCATACGAAGTCTCGGGAATATTGGACCCGAATCCGAATCCTGGATACCCAGGATGTCCTGGGAAAGTCTGCGGCTGGTGCTGATCTTGCGAGCCCGTGAAAAACGAGCTCCAGCCGAGGAAACCGCTCAACAAAATGGCGACCTTCGCCAGGATCAACGCTTTCTTGGAGACCACCAGGAGCAGGCCGAAAATCAAGGGCACCAAGGACGCCAGGCTGAATTTCACGCCCAGAAGAAGTGGCAGGATCAGGTTCCTCGTCAGCAAACGACCTAGAAAATGGCGGATTTATCTGATGCTCCTTGCGAAAATCCGCTCAAATCTGGAGTCCGCCTTTCGTTCCTCGGACCCTCTTTTTTGCTCTACTTGCCTCCATCTTGGGAAGCGCCTCGCGTTTCTAGATATCTCCCGAGATACTTGCTTTAATTGCCGACTTCCATCCAGAAGTGGAGTCGCGAATGCGTTGTCTAAGTTTTATGGCTGTGCCGCCACCATTTTGCGCGCAGTGGACTTTGAGGAGATTAAAATCATACGTTTTGTTTGCGAATCCTTCATTTTGCCACCTATTTATACGGAAAAATCTACAAATATCTAGAAGGATCTGCACAAGAGCTCGCTACCATTTGAAAGGACTTTCAGGGTCTGAAGATTTCAAGGTCGCCGGCTGCATCGCCACCTGCCAGCAAAGAGCTGAAACTCTTCGCGAGAGTCGCGCTTAGCCTGGACGGGAACCATCTCTTTTACGGTTGGAGTCTAAAGTAACCCTTAAAGATAGACTACTGGTCTTACAAAGACTTTCTCGAAGCGAAACGCGAATTATCATACATCTCTATAAATAGAGGCACGCTAAATTCAGACTCTGATAATTTTGAATAATATTCCAAAATTAAATAAAATGAAATAAAATTATCGTACGTGCGAAAATAATTTTTTCTCACCGTTTCCAGCTCCACGATCAGCAAAAGCAGGACCCCTGTCATTGACGACAAATTCCAGCACTCCATTTCTGTCAAGCGTTGGTCCAACTTGCATCTTCAAGCCTGGATAAATCCCATCAAGGTCCCACTTCAAGCTCCGTCCTTCCATTAACCTTGCGGCGGCTTTGACGACATTTCCAAAGTCCTTGGGATCATAATCGAAGTCTAGAAGATCCCTGGCCTGCCCTGAAGACCTGGACAACCTAATCTCCCCGAAATCCAGCTCAGCCTTCTCGTTCATCGTCTGCAGGACACTGAGAGCTCCTCGATTTGCACACTCGATGGTCCCATAGGACTTTTTCGACAAGCAGGTGCCAAAAGCTTCACTAAAGGTTCTGGGATCTTCTTCAGCGAAGTCTGACCCTGACCTTTGGTCCAGGATCACTGATACTCCGATGCTGAAGAGAGGAAAGAGGTAGAGAAGACGGGGACCAAATCTCATCTCGGAAATGGGGGATGATGACGTTGAAAAATTTCTAGAGAATACTGGAAAATAGTGGAGAATACTTGGGAATACTGGAGAACACCGGAGAACACTGGAGAACACTGTCGATTCGGTACCGCCACCCATATTTATAACCTGAGGGTTCTCACACGAGAGGAAACAATCGGTTTCACTTCGGGGCTCCATGAAAGAGCGAAAGTATATTCCTCCTGTTAGTACAATGGCCCACCGGCTGATAAGTGCGATACACCGGATGCACAAGAGAAGAGTCCGAACTTCCGGTTAGCTAGAACCGTATCGGACTTCTCCATCTTCGTTTTCGCCCGGACGGAAATTCGGACTCATCGGTAATGAAGTAAGACCCTAGTCAAAGGTAAGAAAAAAAATCCGAACAGGAAAAACGAATTTGATTAAAAATTCTGGAGAACCTGGACGGCATTTTCAAGATGAAGGTGAAGGGACGCAGGTTAATGGAGAATGTTTTATTAATAAATAACATAAGTTACATGGCGGTTCCGATCGTAAGATCGGCATAAATTAGGCCCCTCTCGCTGGGACAGTAATGGCTCTTCGGGATCATTGGGTCCATGAAAATTCGACGACTCTTCAGGGTCCATCGATCATCCCGTCCGGCATTTTGGTCCCAGCGACGCTTCCTGGTCCCGACTACAGCGATTTTGGTAACGTTTGGTGCTCTTCCTCGATCGTGACATTCCTCAGGATGGTTCCTTGGACTGCCCTTGATCGAGTCGAATCGAAGGACCCAACGAGAAATGGCGAGTCAGGGATTTCCGGGACGAAGAGGAAGTTCGCTCTTCGGCGCTCTTGACTTCCCGATGGCCCGCCATGTTGGCTGCCCGATTCCTCGAGTCCTCCGCGAAGATTGAAGACTTAGACGCGTTTTGAAATTTTAATTCACGGGCTTGTAGGCGCTGTACGCGAGGTCCGACCCTGAAGACCTGGCCCACCCTGAGTGCTCGTGGTGCTCTTCATGGCCGTATCCGTGAACAGGATGGGCCACCACCTCGTAACTCTGGTGCTTGGATCCAAGCAGCTTCTGCAGGCCGATGATCAAGCTGATGATCAATGCGATCTTGCCGACGATGAGAGCCTTGAAGGCGATCAAGGCCAATGCTCCCAGGGCGATGGGAATCAACGCTGCTGCCTTCAGCTTCAGCAACAACAAGATCGGCAACAAGGACTTCACGATCTTCTTCTTCTTTCGAGCTGAAAGCGAACGTCCATGTCAATTCCAGGTTAACGCTAATTGACATCAATATGTAAACCTAGATTTTTTTTTAATGGGAAAGGTGTTTTATTGCTGGACTAACCCTCTTCGAAGCCTCGTGACACCTCTTCAGGGACGCTGAGCTCTACGGTGTGCGTTGATAAGAATCTACCGGCACGGTCCAGAAGAGCTTCATCTACCGCAGCTTCCCTAGCTTCCGGTTCCTTTGGTAAGGTAGCTTCTATCTCGTTTAACGATCTGCCGCCATTTGCTCGACTGAAACAGGCATCGATGGAAGAAGTTAGACCCTAATGAGCTTTAAAGCTGACCGCGTCGATTGGGAATGATTATCACTGATAAGGCCAACTTTTACACTGTGAAAAAAAATTATTGAACCAAAGAAATATTTTATTAGATCAAAGAATAAACTGAAATAAATGTTCATATTTCCGAAGAATCGAGTTTAGTTTAGTCAAATAATTATTCTCTGAATTTATGAAGTATATCTCTTGTACTGGTCAAAGACATATTTCTCAGGTTCAATGAAAGTTTTTTCTCGGGGTATCACTTTCTGATTTTAATTGTGTCGTTTTCTCACTTAAGGAAGGAAAAATCGAAAAGTGCAGTGGATGTCAAAATGGAGAGAACTTTTCGGCATGAGGCGTCACAACCCTGAAGACACCTTGTCACGTCGAGCACTGTCGGCACTGTCGGCACTGGTGCACTGGTGCATCGATGCACTTTCGATATTCAGGGACCCTGAAGATCCTCTGATCACCGACTTACCCGTCTTTGGCCTTAGCATCATCGGTCATGATGATCCTAACGCCATCGGCAAGCCCGATGTCTGCAGACCTCGCAGCTCTGTCGAAGAAACGAAGAGCTCTGACTTTCAGGCACACCGTGAGGTCCTCTTCTTCGGAGCAAGAAGAGTAAACTTGAAGAGCGTCCTCGAACAAGGAAGTGCTCTCAGGACCCTGAAGAGCAGGGGCACTTCTGGCCACCGCCACGAAGGCTATCAACACCGCCACGAATTTCAACATGTCGAGATTGGTCGAAGTGGAAGCGAAAAGGGGTCTTCGGCTTCTCTTCAGGGTCACTGTCGCGCTATCCTCGGCGAATTTTTTTCCCTCCAACGGCAACGACGATCGTATCGGCACTGCCCGGAAGAATCTCGGGGCTGCCTTTTATCCTCGACGCGAAAGGGGCCCGCGTACGTTTTTGAAATTTTGATGGGCCCCCCTTGGATCCCCGACCCCCACCTCCGGGTATTGGTTCTTCGAGGGGACCACTCGTCTTCTTAAGCACGTCCGTTTTGTGGACACAGCGCCTTGTGTACAGAAGCCTTTAGGTGCCGGCAACGTGAAAGCGTCGGAAGCTCGGCTAAACATCCTGGAAATCCTTCGGGATGAAGTATTAGCCATGCAGACGCGTGCGGAGATTTTAACGCGCGATGCGGCACGCTGCAACGGCGAGGAACTTTCGTCAAAGGAATTCATTTTCCTCGGTTCCGAGATTTTTATTCCGCGGAAATTACCCGGGCACGCGTTTCGTAGAAATTAATCTTAGCGATGCGCGCGGAGACTTCAATGCGCGGCGAGCTGCGACAGCGATGAGCTTTCGTGAAAGGGATTAACTTCCTCCCTCGGGTTCGCCATTTTTATTTTCAATGAATTATCGGAGTTACGTCCTTGGCGATTTTTCCTCAGGTTAGGTAGACGTTTCTACGTGGCTCATAATTTTTGTGTCGATTTTCCCTCGGTACGTTTACGGTAGGAAATTAATATGGAAGGCGGTGCATCGGGCGGTGACCTCAATGGCGGCAGGGCGATGCGCGCGCGGTTCCAGGCGACGATTAATCTTCCTCGAGTTATGTAATGCGGAGTCTGCTGCGCGTCCACTTCAGGCGATTATTACTCAAGATTAATTGTTTCTACCCGGGTATCCTATCGTCACGTGTGTTTTTTACTCAGGTGTCGATTCGACCGTCAACATTGCTCAATAAAATTCCCGACTCGAGACGGGACAATGGCCGGTAACTTCGATGCGCGACAAGCGACGAGTCACCCTCCCGACATTATGCAACAACGAATCTGCATCCATCTCAATGAAGAGCGACAATGACATACGGAAATAATTCTCTTGTAACCTCTGCCAGTCCATTGAAACTCTTGATGAAATTACGCGATCCTGGCAGTTTACTTGAATTCCTCCAATTTTGTGGAGGTAGTCCATCGCCATCTTGGGTCTTCGGGCCGAATTCTATTTTGGATGAAAATCGAGGGAAACTTTTCATGGTATTGGAGCAGACGCTATCGTTTCCGATATTCATAAAATTAACGAATTCCGCCCAAGCTGGACAGTTCGGCGGCATTGGAGGAGCGGTTTAACGGTTTTTCTGGAATGTGCTTGTCGCGAGTCGAGTTGGGATCGCGCCAAGAGCGCGATGGCCGCGCCTTGCGGTGACCCCGAAGCGGCTCGTCGCCTAGAAAAAGAAACTCCAAACCCGAAGAGAACTCCGCCATTCCGCCATTCAATCGGGACGCTCGGGTGGGGCCGCCGACTTTCTCCAGCGAGGACGCCACCGGCGACGCCGAGCGTCCTCTTCATCCCCCATGGAGCCACGTGCGATTCCGAAGAGGAAAGGAGCTTCCTGTCCCTAACCTCAAATGACTCCTAGGAACAGGTTTCCGCATCTGATTTACGCGCCAGCCCGGCTACGAGAGAATTTGGCTCCATTCAAGAACGCGGCGATTCCGGAAAGGAAAGGCTGCGAACGACCCTGAAGACGCATCCTCCATCTTGATTCTTCAATTAGGTTATTAAACATATTGAACGTGACATCTGAGATACTTAGTTCGTCAGCGAATAAGGGTCTGGGTAAAAATCCTAGATTTAAGGGGATGCGAAAATGGCATCTTAGGGTCAATCATATATCCAATTATTTGAGTAATATTTTATTGGCGAATACGACTATTGGCGTCTAAGGACCCTGAAGATGGAGTCTGAGTCTTCGTTTAATTCGTTAGATGTAAAACCTGAAACATTTAGATCGTTAGTGAAAAAATAAAAATGTGGGAAAAAATAAAAATGTACAATATTTATGTATGTAAAATATTTTTATACGGCTTTTTCTCGGTAAACGCAGCCAATGGCGTCGCAAGATGGCGGCCTACGAGGACGCTTGGGAGAGGAGCACTTTCCTCGGCGACGACGCGGGCGAGAGTGAACTCGGGGAAGATCGAGGCCAGGTCAAGGCCCTAGAAGGCGCAGGCTCCAAGCACCAGCCGGGATAACCTTCTTCTCCTTCTTCAGCGTCCACGCCTTGCCTCGAAGTGGGGGAGTGCTCCTGGAAGTCGAAAAGGAATTCCAAAAGTGGGATCGAGCGATTTCCTGGAAGCGAGGACGCGACCACCCCCAGGGGACGCTAATGAGTGCCGCCATTTTGGATCAGCGCCATCCAGGAAGAAAATCTCACTTTACAAAGATATTCTTACTTCGATTTAAATACAGAGAGAAAAAAGGAATCTGGATAAAAAAATGCACCACCGATGCCTAACAAGTGCGCTAAAAATACCTAATCTAGATATGAGGAATACGTGTAAACGGAAATTAATAAATCCGTATTCCTTCTAGATAACCCGCGGTTTAAACCTCGGTTACCCATAAATACTAAAAAGAATCATTACAGGGAAATAAATCTGTGGAAGCTAGAAGCGACGCGCGGTTCGTTGAAAATCACTCGTGAAAGTTCATTTATTCCTGTTTCCGCGCGATCTAAATACCCTTTACTGATTATTAAACGTTTCGGAGTCATCGGCACTTCTGTCCGTTAAACGAGGAGCGTTAGGAGCAGCAAAATGGCTCGGCGCGGATGCTGACTGGCCTGGTCTCGGCCTGGTTTACTTCGAGGTAATGCGTGCCCGGTTCGAGCACGCATCTCCTGCGTGTGCGTATCAAGCTGGCCTGTGGACACGTCCATGAAAGGTTCTCGCTCCTTATGTAGACTCTCTCTCTTCAGGGCCGGCCCGACTGGAAACTCGCATTGGAAATCGTTCCCGTGGCCAACATCGCTTCTTCGGACCGAAATAGACGACAGCAGGTCCCCGGAAGATGAACCGATAAAATTGCCCATGTAAATTTGTCTACTCATTGATAACATCCAAGCACAATAAATTGCAGGAAAATCGTCTCGTAACATCGCATTCGGCATGTAAGATAGATTTAAAAAATCCAATTCAATGGTACGATAATATTTACATTTTTTTTATATGAAACTGTGATTACGAGGTATGCGAAAATGTATGTAAATTTTCATGGATTTTTGCCAGGGTGGACGCGCCCCTTTTTAGGTCCTCTTCAGGTTCTTCTTCGAGGTCGAATCGACTTCAGCTCGTCAGGCTCGAATAATTGGGCCACGCCGGACCAACGGTACGTGGGATCGTAAAACGCGAATCGCAAAACGAGCCCGACAGAAGGCATCGAGGACCCTGAAGAGGATCTCGAATAGGCCGGCGACTTCCAGGAGACTGATTATTTCAAACGAGTCACCCCTTTCCCGGCTAGAATTTCTGCAGATTTGCGAGGAGACCTTGAAAAGAGACCAGGAATGGACCAGGGTTCCAGCTGACCTTGCGATTATAAATCTTCCTTAATTTATTAGGTACCTACTGACATATACATTGCTCGGTATTACGGCTAGACTTACAAGAGTTACAATAAATACTGAGGATGGCCGAGAGCGAGAGGATGAAGAGGTGGAACTTTTTGGGATTCCTTGATGAGAGAGGTCGAAGAAGATGACGAAGAGAGACAGGGCGAAGGTGCCGAAGAAAATGGAAAAAGACTCCTCCTTAATGGGAGACGAAGGGAGAAAGAGGGATGAAGAGACCTCGATGATCCCGAAGAAGGTGGTTTAGTTCGCAGGTTTGTATGCCGAGTAGGCCAGGTCGTGGCTCGACCTGCTCCACCCACTGGGTCCATGTCCTCCGCCGACCTGGACCACCTCGTGGCCACCGTGAGTGTCGCCTCCGGATACCAACTTCTTCAGACCGATTATGGCAGCTAGCACCAAGGCGAGTTTGCTGACGATCAACGCTTTTCCGGCGAGCAGAGCTAAAGCTCCCAACGCCAACGGCACCAAAGTACCACCGATCAGCAGAGGAATGGCGATGAGGCCGCCCATATTTTTCTTCTTCTTGCGACCTGCAAAAGAATTAACATACGGTTAAAAATCAAAGCCAGGCAACTCGTCTCAAAAAATACCTATTCAAATTTAATCGGACGCGGTTGCGTCTGGAGCAAGTACATTGCCTCGAGCGCTGCGTCTCTATACTACAAGCATGAATCTACCTGGGATCTAATTTGGAATCGATTATGCCATTTAGAAGTTGTGCCCGGTTAAAGTGTGAATATTGACGGAATTAGAGTATTAAAAAATTTAAATTCGAGTTTTCTACCTTCTTCGGTGAGACTGCGCTGGAGCTCTTCGACGTTCGGGAGCTTCAGCTTCAGGGTGTGGCTCTGGAAGAAGCTGACGATCTTGTCGAAGATCATCGAGTTCAGGGCGTTTTCTCGATCCTCGAGGGCCCTGGGTAAGGTCGCTTCTATCTCCTCCTCGGATCTTGGAGCTTCCTGGACTTGCGGTACCGGACTTTCGTTGATCAAGGTCACTCCATCGGCTACCGAGACCTGGGCGCTCCTCGACACCCTGTCCATCGTCGACAGCAGCTTTAGCTTCAGACAGAAGCCGAGGTCGGAGGTCGAGCACTCCTTGTACATCTGGTAGACCTGTCGGAGGTCCCCGAAGAGGCCACTGCTCGACGACCTTGGACCCTGCTCTTCTATGGACTTGGCCTTGACCGCCACCATCATCAGGGTCGCCACGAAGAAACACGAGAGGCCTCTCATTTTCGGATACCTTTGAGATCTGGAAACAGAATCTCAAATCTGACACCCTGAAAACAACCCACAAGCTCTTCTTCAACACGCATCGAAATCCCCAATTCCCCGACAAGTACTCATCCCAGCTTAATAATTATTCCACGAATGAACAAAATATTTCTTCGGTTCAGTGAAATTTATTTGGAATGAAATTTAGTTGGAAGTTCTTGAAGACCCCGACAAAGGTTTCGAATTGAATGGAGAAAATGGATAGACGCGGATGCACCTACCTCTACTTCCAGGGATGATTCGATGCGAATCGGCGGAGGTCCTCTTCGGGTTCCTCTTCAGGGTGTTCCTAGGCCGTCGAGCGCCGTCTTTCTCTCCCTCTCCAGAGATGCGTACCTGAGAGCACTACGAGGACTGTACGTAACGGAAGCCCTGCCCTAGCTCTATATATCTGGTCAGGTGTGCACCGTCTGGTACACTAGCACGTCCTGGGGGGAACGAGCCCCCACCCGACCTCGACTGCCGTATTTTCATACCAGCACCACCGGGTCCGCGTCTCGACAACGACGAGCCAACCAACCACCCGAGCGCGAACTCTTCGGCTTCCTCTTCGGCCCCCTCCAGGTCCGGATCTCCCTCTCGGCCGTCACCTCTCCACGCAGGGCCTGAACCTTGAAGAGCAACCTTGGCAATGGGACCAGCCGGTGCAAGAGTGTCGACCGGTCCTGCCGAGAAATCTACTCCTCTTCGAGAACTTCCTGCAGCGTGCGAGAATGACATTCTTCAGGATCTAGGGCCATTAATTCCAGGATCTGGAAAATTCGGCGGCGAAGTGTCCTCTTCGGCATCCTCTTCAAAATCGTCCTATAAGATGAGAGAATGAGCGTTCTCCAGGATCTAGGTCCACTAATTTCAAGATCTGTAAAAGCCTGAAGTGAGGTGTGATCTTCGGCTATCGAGATTAGGCGGTCTTCAAGGTGTGGGCCCATTCCCTAGAAATGAAGAATTTTCAAATTATCTCGTCCTATCACAAGTGGGTCAACGCTGCATCGATGTCGGGACCTACGTAGGGACGGGCCCAGAGTGGGGCCCGAGGCTTTCGGTGGGGCCCTCCCTCGCCTCTTCGGGGCCTCACCTCGGAGACGACCTCGAAGACGGATCTCCCCGACGAGAAACCTTCGGCTTCCAAAGTCGTCTCCGGGCCTCACGCCTACGAGGGCCCAAGTGGGTCAGCAAGTGAAAACCGAGCGCGTTTGGGCCTTAGAGAGGGAGAAGATGGTCCGCGGAGAAGAAAAAAAGGGGCCCTCCGAGCGACAAGTGCAAGGGGAAAGATCGGGGCCTTTTTCCGCGGGCGATCGACCGTCACATCCGGCATGACGAAAAGTCGGGCCCAACTCGGCAGAACTGGAATTCGAGGCCCAATTTCTCGGTCCGCGCGTGAAAAGCGGCGAAAGCCGTCGAGCTTGACAGCTGGCAAGTATAGGGAACGTGGAGAACATGGAGAACGCCAACTTCCGGTTCGCGGACCGAGAAACTTGGGAGCGTCATCGAGCTCTTCGCTCGATTACGTTGCATAGTTCGCATTTAATGATCTGCGGCCTCGATATCGCGGGTTAATGTCGATTCGACAATGAGATGCGATAAATGACGCGTGGACTACATACCTCCACCGGAATTTAGTCATAACGAAAGGGTCTGCGCGATCTAATAAATAAAACTGGAAATTAATAGAGAAGCAGTAACCTGGGTCGCCGCCATCTTGGATAGAGTCAAGACGTTCTAAAACATGCGTTAATTACGCAGTTATACCCGAACGACCGTAAATTCTTTATATTATTTAATGTATATATTAAAATCCGACGCAGGAACGTGTCCTAAACATAACCTAAATTTCTAGAGTTTATAGGAAATTGTATGAAAATTGTATTAAAAAGCAGAACATGTTTGATGCTCTTTCTGGCTGAATCGCGCTTCGCAGTTTAGGTTTGTAATTGGTCGGTGGAAAATGATTTCCTCGGGGTAATGGGACCCTGATGGGCTTTCCCTGCAGGAATCCTTCGCTGCTGACAAATTGACGGGGAAGAATTATCACCTGGAGAGCCGGATGAAGAGACGCTCGTTCGGTCGCTTCTAGGACGCCGAGACGACAAACCGAGTTGTAACTTTCGAATGGAATCGTCCATTGAACGTCGCTGCTTCCATGACAAAGTATACATTTCTTTGGCACCCGTCCGTGACGGATCCTGATGTTGCGTTATTACGTTATGCGCCGAACAGACCGGTTGATATTCCAGGTGAAGAAGGAACCTTTGGACACGCCGCAAAGTGTTTTGCAGACATCAGCGTCGTTTGCACGCCATGGATGACACTTAGGTATTTTACGCCGTCATTGTTTAGCGGGAAGTATCGCTTCTTCTCGAGAGAATTTTCTCGTTTCAGCTCTGATACGGCTAAAGCGAGTTTGCTCCGCCATCTTGGATCGTCGACGCGGGTTTTCTCATTTTTTAGGCCTCCTCCAGGAAGGACGAGTTTCTGGATCATTGGCTGACATCGGGGGATTTAAATGCCCGATTTTGCCGATTCCAGGCGACGGCTTACCCACATTTCACGTCACTTAATAAAGGCCTTTCTCCGCGTTTCCCTTTCGCGATATCCTTCCCACGGTATCTGGTTCAAACTTTTTTCAAAGTCTGCCGTGCGCGCCTTCTGCAATTACGATCACTTGAAAGCTACCGGAACCACGTGGATTTCCTTTCCCACTGTCTCGAATTAAACATTCGCGTTAATGTCTCAGGTCTCTGGTGTTAAATTTCACTAATTCAAAAATTCAACTTATTTTTCAATATATATTTTCAATTAATAATTCACGACAGTATACGGATAAATACATTTATATAAATAATATTCCAGAAATTTGAGGACGAATGGGCAAAGATTAAAATATTTTCTTTTGCAACGGAAGGAATTGTTTCTAAAAAATTCAATGCAAGGGAAATAATTTATGGAATACTCCTGTAATTTATCTAACGTGGAAAAAGGAAAGAATCGGGATAAATACGACAAGGTCGAGGTAGAGAGCGATCTCTTCCGCCATGACAGCCAGTGCGTGCCGTAATGGCGGCCATCGAAGTGGAGGTTATCTCCGCATCCTCGATATTTGGGTAATGAGGTTATAGCCGATCGCCGGTGTCAGTGGGAAACGGTTCCAAGACGGTTCCACCGTCTCTGGAACGAAACGCTCCGCCGGTTCCTGCGCGTCCACTCGGTCGAGAGAAGTTCTCCGAAAGTCCACGTGGAGAACCCGAAGAGCCAATTTGACCTTCATTTGCGTGCAGGAACTACTTTCGCACTTTCCTTTCCCGTGGCGAGCGAGGATCGACCTTCAAACCGCCTCGGATCCTTTTAAAAGACCCTGGAACCTCCGCGCGAGCGAGGCGACTCCCCACCTCGCGGTTGATTTTTCATTTTTTTCCGAATTCTGTCATCGTTCCTTCGTGAAACTTTGAAATTTTCAACTTCAGGGTGGCAAGGTGATGCTTCTGGTGGGTTTCCAGGTCGGGGATGAAGGGAACTTTGGATTTGCTCTTCCAAGGATCGCCGTTACTCCTCTTCTTGGACTCCTTAATGAATGGCCTGCGGTTTAATGGAGTACACTCTTGTCCCGGAAAACGCGATGGCTGTGCAGAATATCCGCTTTAACCGGATCTCCTGTTAGGAGGTGAACATTTCTCGCAGGTGAACACCTCGGAAACCTGTTTAGCCTGCAAGGTGACGGTCGTTGCGTGCCGGTAAGTACACAGACAAGTGCGTGCAGACAAGTACAATGGCGGGTGCCTTCCCTGCGGATATTTTATCACGGGAATGCACTCGTGTACACCTGTACATGCCTACATACGCTGTCGGTGTACTTTCTAGCACGCATGGTCGACATTTCGAAAAGCACACGGATTTCCAAAATGGCGCTACCAGGTGTACAATGGCGAACATGGTGATGCTACTATGTAATACAGAAAAATGTCCATGTCCACTTATAAATTTTAGAACATATTTTATTATTTTCCTATGTACTTAATAATTTATTTATCAATTTTTATACCCTATTGTATAATGTATTTGTGATCTGTACGATTTCTTTTGCCGGTTCGAATTTTTTATGACGATTAAGAATTTTAATACAGGTCCCAAAATGTTAAACTGGTACCGTACATGTTGATGCACTTGCCTAAATGCACCTACCAAAATGGCGGCTCGAACGTTCGGATTATTTAACGATACTTTTTTTATACCAACTCTAAATTTCCGAAATAAAAAAGAGACTACCAAAATTAAACAATCTTCCGATCAATCTTTAAAATAACTGTTGAAATTTTTCTAACTTCCAGGGAACGTTCAAGATGGCGTCGGGTGTAGACTTCTGGGAGCCATAAATTTAAAACAAATCGCGTGATTTCATAAATTGAGTACTATTTGTTTAAATAATTTTCCTTTGAAAGTGTTTTAAAATTCATCATAGGTTTCCTTACCGCTCACGGAGATGTCTTTGCAGGTATGGTGGGGTACAACTCGCGATTGTACTCCGCAATGAGATGATCATTACACTAATTACAATATAATTAACGAGTTACATGATTAAATTAACGTCTAAAAATCAGAACTTCGAGGCCGACCGACGTCGGACACATTTTTCTATGAAAACAACTCGGCGCGCGTCCACAGCGCGCGCCTCCATTTTTATTTTCAGACAACAAAGGTAACAATAAATAATACCGAAGAGGAGACATAGAAACTAATGACTGGGGATGAGATAAATAAGGAAGGGAGATATAAAAGTATAAATTAATAAAGGTTCGCACCGAAGCATAGGCAAGAGTATCGCTCGGTACTGGTGGTCCCGAAAAATTCGCAGGTCGGAGACCCTGAAGAGCCTCCTCTTCAAGGAAAAAAAAAAAATATGGCGGTCCACTCGGCACCGGGGGTCGAGGACGAAAGCAAGAAAAAGAAAGAAACAAGCTGAAGAGGAGCAGAAAAGAAAGAATCGAAGCGGAGAGTGAAGGAATTGCAGAGAGAGCGTCCCAGGATACGCCATCGCCTGGGGGCCCTGAAGAAGTGGATTTTCCTTCACGCGTACTCTTTAAGACTCGAGTTTTAGGTGGTCCAGAGTGTGGACCAGGACTGAGAGTTGAGAAATTCCAGATCGGACGAGATTCCTGGAGTCTGGAAGCCGAAGAACAGAGCAGGCACCGTCTGGACCGGGAGCTCTTCAAGTTCTAGGCCGATTATTTCGCCGGTGCCTCGTTGTGCGGCACGTGGGCATTGTAGGCAAGGTCGTGGGCATCCTGAGGAAGACTTCTGGCCCAGCCACCGCCACTTCCTCCGGAATATCCGCCGCCGTAATCACCGCCACCGCCACCGCCACCTCCGTATCCGCCATGGCCTCCGGCTTCTTCGTGGCTCACAACATGGCTGCTGCTGTGGTGTGGATGTGCTACCACCTCGTACGTCACGTGTTTTTGGTGCGACAGCAACTTCTTCAGGCCGATTATGGCCGAAATCACCAAGGCGATCTTGCCTATGAGGAGGGCTTTACCAGCAATCAGAGCGATCGCTCCCAAGGCCAGGGGAATCAAAGCTGCAGCCTTCAAGGCCACTGCCATCAGCAATGGTCCCAAGATCTTCTGAGCCTTCTCTGAAATCAAAGGACACTTTTAATCCCACCATAAAACATCCAAACATCCATGAAAAATTAATATCCCTACTCTTATTTTATGAAAAGGTGGAAGTAAAATCTCTCAGAGGTGTCGGCTAATATTTATCGTAAGAATGGGCCAAAATGGCGGAAAGTCGTAAAGGACTCATGAAAGTTCAGTTTTGGGTCATTCCCACGCTGGGAATAATTTATACAGCCGCTGGAAGTTTATCACCTTTCCCTTGCTTGATTGGAGCTCCAATCGAGGTCTTCGGTACTTAGTGATTTTTCTACGAAGACTGGGGAAAGCAGAAGCGACGGATAAGGGGAAGCCGAGACCAGGGGAGAAAGGAAGATCCGCTAGAAAGCCGAAAGGAGGAACCGGGCCGAAGGTCAGGCTTTCTGGAAAGTATGTCAAAAATCCTGCGCGACCACCTCGAAGACCCGCTCTCTTCTTCTCCCTCACCTCGAAGAGGTGAGGGTCAAGGGAAGAGGAACCAGTTCCCGAGTGGGTCAACGTCTTTCCCGGGGCCGATGGAGTCCAGACGTCGACCCGCTCGAGTCTGCCTCGCCGACATTTTGTGCACGGTCATGTGTGTTATCTGGATTATGTTTCTTCAGGTACTCCGCAATTTATTTATAACCCGATACTTACTCTTCTTTCCTCTACCCTCGGCCACGCTGTCGCTGATGTCCTCCAGGCTGCGTCCTGCAGACTCGATGGCCCCAAGGATGTCGCTGCCTTTCAGGTCCACCTTCACGGAGTGCGTCTTCAGGAACCGACCCAGTCGGTCGAAGAGAAGAGCGTCGACATCACTGGAGTCTATTGACCTGCGGGAATATTGGGTCACTTGGTTACTCGGGTCGTGGTATCTAATCCTAACTCGAAGAGGTCGTGAAAGTGTACGACGAAGGGGGGGAAACGTGGAAAAACATTTTTTCCCCCCGTTTTGTGGGCCTCGAAGAGGACCAACAAACTGACGCAACGTGGTCGTTACTTGGGTTGAATATTCTGGTATCGTATGCCTCAGTGAATATGCAGTACTTGAAGACACGCAACAATTCATCGGGGCATGCAATGGTCAATCTACCGAGCTACTTTATTACCGAGAACGTAGATTCTAAATATTCTATTCCGCTGTTTCATTTAAATTCTCACGGTCTACCACGCTCGGGTACCCTGAAGAGGGCCACAAAACATCCCGGTACCTATTTGTTCCCTAATATCCAGACTACACGCCCCATGAGCACTAAAATCAAGATTAGGGATACAAATCGTTAAATCCTCAACTAAAACCCTGATGCTGATACGGTCTGCTTCAAGAATCACGTTCCCAAAATAAATACCACCACCCTGAAGAACTCCCGAAAAAATCATTACAACTGACATCCTCCTGAAAATTGATCGTTCCATTGAAATTCACCAACCTGGGAGCGCCTTCTTCGGCGTTGTTGGTCTTGACGACGGTGATGCCCTCGCTGAGGGTGATGTCTTCCTTGTCTCTTAACAATTTATCGACGAAGGCGAAGACCTTGTACTTGATGCAGCTGACGGACTCCTTCTTCAGGCAATCCGAATAAATGGTGGCCATGAGGTCATTGTCTCCAGGGTTCTTCTCGGAAGCCGGGAGAGCAGAGCAAGCCAGCACTGCCACCCACGAGATGACCAGCAACCTCTTCAGCATCTTGTCTTCTGGTTTGGTCAAAGTCTCGCACCTGGTCCCAACTTCCCAGGAGCGGAGTCTGCTGCAACGTCCTTTGGAAGCTTCGGGATCTTCGGGTTCCTGGGTGGCTCTTCAGGGTCCTGCGTTCCCTGACACGCGTGAGATGCGAGAGCTAGACTCGTGTACAGCACTTAAAAGACCTCGCTTTGCTTTTATACCGGAGGGTTCCCAGCTCGTCCAGGGTACCAGACGAAGCCACGGAAACCTACCTCCTTTTGCCCCTACCTCTTCCGAGTGGACGTCGACATCCTCCTCCACCACCTTCGGTCTCCTTCCTCGAGGCTGCTCGCCTCCTCACCTCCTCACCTCCTCTTCTCCGGCTCCATTAAACCCGATGTGGAGCCCACCTGGGTGCCCCTCCGGATTTTGGCAACCTGGAAACCAGATCCAAGATCCCGTCTCCGGATTGCTCCGCCTCTTGGAAACGCTACCTGGTCTTCTTCCCTCCGGATTCAAATTTAAGAACCCGAGGCTAGCCTAGAATGCAGTCAAAATCCCTTCTCTTGGGGCCACCCAGTCCTGTAATCGGGGATTTTTAGGTTAGCTTTTGAGGGAGCGCAGTTCTTAAGTATCCCGCCATGATTTGCGACTTGCAAAAATTCTTTCCGACAAGTCGGATCATTTCTGATTTTCGACTCTTCGTCCTCCTCTTCCTGGTTTCGACCCCTGGGAATGGTGGATGGAACCATTCGTCCGAAAAGGACGGACAAGGGAAATCTCTGGAGAACGGGCAATCATGGGTTGTCCTCAGCCTGGGAGACCTACTTCGGCCGCCATTAAGGATCAAAGGAAGGAGGGCGCTGCCGTTGGAATGGGACAATGATTGCTACATGTGCACCGCTGGACATGCGCACACTGCACGCGGTGCACAAATTGATACGTTTAATCAACCCCATACTGTCGTAAACAATATAATATACCGAGCCTTCGACCCGATCTACACCGAGAAAAAAAATTCCTGGAACCAAAGAAATATTTCATTAATTCAATGAATATTTATTTCCCTCGAATAAATTGTTGCAATTCTATAGAAAGGTTGCATCTTATTTATTCCAGGGTAGTTTAGGGAAATTGTTCCTCGAGCGTGCAGAATATTTCTTTGGTACCGTTTAAAGAAACATTTCTCTGATTTCTCGGTGGAGGTGACGATACCTTGAAGGAACGTCTCCCATCATGGCGACCTAAAACCATCGTCACGTTTTCGATGGTTCGGGAGTTGGAACGATACATGTCGTGACCACTGGAACCAAGGTATCATCAAGATGCCCAACGATCCGACACCGATAGCGTCACTCGCCGATTGGAAAGCCAGGATTGGACCCGCTGAAAGCAGCGATCATCCGATTAATCGCGAATGATTCCCATGGACCCACCAATCCCCGCTCACGTGAGATCTCGTGAGAGTATCGTTACAAGTAGCGGTACCACTCGACTAGGAACGAAAATTTCGAGGCTTATCTATTCTTCGCCGCTTTCGATCCGAAGGCCATGCGCGTCCCCGTGAGCCAATTAACACGGCGGCCATCTTACGAAAATCGATTCTTTCATCAATTTCAGGCGAACTATTTTGAACATTTAAGTCGTTTCACCGAAGACATCGAATATGAAATTATTTTTTTAAGGTAAACCTTGCAAAAATCGACTCTTTCATAAATTTCAGCGAAAATCAAGAGTACCGCGATTTTTGGTATTTTCAAGATGGCGACCTTTGCGATGTGAAATCGGGATTAAGAGGGATAATCGGGACGAAGGATGATTATAAACAATTTTCCCTATCCAGGTGGCTTCTTTTCTTACAGAAGAGGAGGAGAGGAGTCGCGCTGGGTTATCCAAAATGGCGGCGGCGCACCTCGGCCTTGATCGGCAGGCGCAGGTGCCTCATGGACCATCCATGGAGGTCCCTTTCGAAATTTCATCCGACGGCGATGATGGACGAGAGACCGCCGTGTAACCGGGCTACTTACCCATTTACAACAACCGGGTCGACGACGGGCCTTGCCGTCTTGTTGGGCCCAGGGCCTCGGCCGGAAGTCGGCCATTTTTCCGCGGAACCCACGACCTCCGACCCCGGCGAGACATCCAGATCGGGATTCTCCTGGAAAATCCGAAAAAGAGATCGCACGGACCCGAACACCAAATTATGGGAACCTAACGGTTGGAGAACCGATTGTTCGGTGTCTGAAGTTCAAGGCTCTCGCATGGCGAAGATGGCGTCCTGGAAATTAGACGCGATAACTGTAAATTGTGCTTGATGCAGAATTTCATTCATTTAATTATCGAGATTTAAGGTGAGGTGAAAATGGCATCATTTCGGTTTAGAAACTTTTCTCCCAACTGAGGGTAGGGAATTGTTTAAAATTTTACAACGTGAACGTGAAGGCCATTAGGTATGGGGAACAGTTTCATAAACGATTAATCCCTCGGATTCCAGTTTCGCATCGCTTTAAGGGTAACGTACCTTGTTTCCAGGATCAGGACGAGCGGATTTCATGGAGGAGGCTGATTAATGAAGAGATGAGAGGCGGCTTCGAAAGGAAGAGGGGACTTTCATTTGCCACTAATCGAGACGAGGTCACCACCTACGAATAGATATTCAAATGCAAGTCGTTAAGTCTCAGACTGGTTTCTAATTACTGCGATGTCTCCCTCCACGTGCAGTGATGCAAATATTAATAAAGTCTTATTTAACATTTTGTACATGTACCGAAAAAAAAAATATTTTGATAATTCGAAGAATTTGACTGAAATAAATTTTTATTCTCAGTGCATAAATTAGGTTGTCTACGATTCTATGCACCCAATGACGTCTTTTGCAGGAAATATGAACTTCGGTCATGTCACTCCCCAACAATAACTTTGTCCAAGATTTCACCTTCGATAGGACTCTCTGCATTTCTTACTTTCTTCCCTCGGAGAAAAGATTTTCCATGCTTTTTCCCCGTTTCCCTCGTCTATGCCGGTTGAAAGATAAAAGGAGAAAGAACGTCCTTTCTCCAAGGGAGCTTCTTCTTTTGTCTGCACTTGCGACGCGTCGATAAGTCGAGTGCCCTGCAGCCATCGCCTGCTCTCTCGGTACTCTCGGTACTCTTGTTACCGTTGTTACTCTCGTTAGTCTCGTGACTCTCTTTACTCTCGTCTCCCCGGAGAGATGAATCCGTCTCGGCTGCTCTTGATCCGGTCGAGCTCCTTCCGGTCGTCTCGCGACTCTTACGTTCCGCCATTACCCCGAGATGAGCACTTACCATTTTGCCCTTTTTTATCTCTCGCCAGACGGAGAAATCTATCCTTTCCTGCCTGTAAATATCACGAATCATCATCTCCACCTTTCGACATAGTTTGACCTCGCATTTTAATCCCAAATAATACTTATTTCACAATAATTTCATCGCGTAACGGCACCACGGTACTCGAAGGGCGCCATCTTGAATGACAGTTCATCGCCTCACATTTTCTCCATATCTTGGCTTAATCTCTTTCTTTTACACCTGAATATTAAGAATCATCTTTTCATGTCGAAACCGATTTCAACTTCCTAGCTTGACGTCATCCCACCCACGTGGTGCTCGAGAGGCGCCGCCATTTTGGCTCACCCGTCGCCACCTACACGTGCGCGCCGGAACTGTCAAGCCGGATTTCTTTTGCCTGGGGGAATAACTGTATTTGCACGTAAAGCATTACAATAGCATTATTCGCGGTTTATGCGCGATCACGACCTCGAGTCGCATGGATGACAGTGGTTCGCCGAAGTAGAGAGCGCCTCGTAAGGTCAGCCCACCTGTCCCGATTTTGACGAACATTCACGGTCTCCCATGACCATTGCAACCGGATATGCACACGTGCTCTGCACTTTCCCCGTCCGGAAAACGCTCGAGCAAGTCGATGGAAAGTAAATATCCGGACGACATACCCCGATAAGATTTTTTAATTTAGAATAATGGACATTTTTTTCACTCGAGGGGGATTGGTTAAGGCTGTGGGAAGGACATGCAAATTTGACTCAACTCGCAAGAACGGTGTTTTGACTCGATGGGTCCCATGGAATGCGGTCGATATGAAATTTGCATTGAATGTAACAGTATTCGGCGGGGAAAAATGTGCCCGTCCTCGCGAAATAATCCCAGAAGGAATTCGAGTCCTGCCAAGCAAACTGCAAAGTGGGCCGAGGTCCAATGTTTCCTGCGACCTAACCTGCAAATCAACGTCGCTCCTTACCGCGCGTTAAACTCACGTGTCCGGACTTTCCTGATTTCCAGGTACGTCCGGGCTGATTTCTCTGGCAGGCATTTGTCGTATCCTCAATTCAGCGATATAAAATTCCGACCCATTGTGAGCAAGATCGAGGGAACCTAGAAATGCGACGGTTACGGTAAAGAGAGGTTAGTCGTCCTCTGGAGAGCCGTGACCCTGCCTCTCTACGATCGAGATTTATTTCCAAATGTACTTTGCGCGAGACTCTTTCCACGTAATACTTCTATACCTCCGCGATAAAGGATCAGGAAATATCAGGAATTACGTGGGGTTAGGTTATGTCAAGGTGTTGATCGTTCTTTCTTTTCTTACAGGTTTACTGCAATCATAAGTGGTTCCTTTATTCGGAGGTAAACGACACAGTGGACTAGCGTCTCCATTTGATTCTGGGCGTAGATCACTTACGAGTAACGGGGTAATTAAGTATACCGGGAGCCCATTACAAGGGGAATCACTCGTAATGCAGTCCCACTCAGCTCCTCGGCACTTGACTTGAGCTCACATGTATGTACATCCGCTTTCTCCATGCCGCGTTCCTCTGGGACGCGGCCGTATATAAATTAGACAAATAAATATTAATTCCCTCGTGCCAAACCCAGCACGAGGGGCCTGGACTTAATTTAAAAATGGCACCAGCTGGTACCAAGATGGCGGCCCGGTACCTGTTCCACGTTAAACCGACAATTTCTCCCCGGTACCAAGGTGGTACCGCCTTAATACGAGCATTTTCACCTGCCAGCACCGATTTTCAATTTAATCCAATCGGGAAAATCCACCTGGAAGATAGTAGAGTGTTCTCCACTAGCTGGTACCCTGGTACCACCCAGAAATTCGGTACATTTTCAATTACCATCAATATTTTTACTGGTACCAGGGTCCCACGTCCTTGAACGAGTGTCTTCAGATGGTACCACCCAGAAATCAAGCACTTCTTCAGTTAGTGCCGGTAACTCGCGAAAGGTGTACGTTTCTGTTGGTACCACACCTGGTACCGGCGTCCGGCGCCATCCTGGACGTTCAGTCCTCGTCTCGTCTGGGTGTTTTCAGTGGTGGTATCCAGAGTAGGCCTGGCTCTGGGCGGAATACGACCCATGGGGATCGTCCCATCCTGCAGATCCTGAAGAAGACCATCCTCCGGATACTGGAGCGGCCCAACCACCGCCACCACCACCGGACCACCCTCCACTGTAGGGCGTCACGTCGTGTCCACCCTTCGACCACAAGGACTTCAGGCCCAAGAATGCGGAGATGGCAATGGATATCAGTGACGCGATTATCGCCTTCTTTGCCAAAAGCGCGATTCCGAAATAGGCCAAAGTCGCCAAGGCGCCGATCTTCACCTTCGCGGCGATCAGCAGTGGCAGGATCGACTTCAGCAACTTTTTCTTGCCTCGACCTACGGTCATGATAAAGAAGTGTGTTATGAACTTTTGATGATTCGTTCTGATGTTTTATAATTATTAATATTACCTTCCACGACTTCATCCACGGCTTGTCTGATCTCTTGGGGAACGGACTCGGTCAGAGCCCTCGCAGATTCGCCGATCCTCTCGATTGCAGGAGCAAAGTTGATCTGTGGATTTAGAGGAAAGGATTCTATTAATTTATATAATTAGCATTGGGTACACTGAGGAAAAGAAAAAAAAACTCATTGAAAGGTTTCCGGCTCGTGAAGTCGAGGAATGGGACTTTACTTGGAACATTGACTGGACACGCAAATTAAGGTTTTTATGTCAAGTGTGTCTCCGTCACGGCTGGTTAAGTACTTAGTCAAACGAGGAGACACTTAAGTCCTGGGAGTACTCAATTCCGGATAATGCACTCCGACGTCCCATCCGGACTCGCGAAATGCACTTGGCGCGACACGCTGTCGAGTTTCTAGTCTCTGTAATTAACGTCGCTTAGCACTTGCCCCTTTCCATCGCGCCATCCTCAAAGTTAAAAAACCTCCCAAGCCATACCCCCGCAGTAATTAAAATTAAAAACACCGATTTTTAATCCCCACTGAAAATAAAATGCGTTAATAGCGTCAAATAATTCCTGCAAACTCTCGAAATAAAATCATTCAGACTAGACCGTGAATTATTTAAGGTAATGTTAGTGCACAAAATCCGTGCGCAATATTTTTCCCGTGTAAAAGGAAACGTTTTCATTTTACCTTCAGGCTCCGACCAGCCAGGAACTCTCCGGCTTCCTCCCCGACGAAGTTCTCCAGGACGTTTTGCCTCTCCACGACGGAATTTGCGGTTTCGATCTCCTGGTCGTAGATCAGCTGTTTCCCGCTCTTGGCTCCTCTGTCCTCTGCTTTGACGAGACTGACTCCGTTGACTATCTCCAGGGTGTCCTTGCCGAAGAACTCCTTGGCCTTCCTGTAGAGGCTCCTCTGCACGCAGGAAATGCTGTCCTGCTGCAGACACTCGTCCAGGGTCTCCGCAGAGGCGAGGGCCCCGAAAATGGCCAGAACCGCGAGGAAGAGCTTCATGGTGGGTCCGGGAAGTCGTCAGGCCCAAAACGTCAGAGAGAGGTGTGACCCGAATATCAGGAGTCGTCTGGAGAACGTGGTAGCACGCGCGTACCGAAAATTCGTGTGGTCCATCGTAACAGGCTCTTTACCTTATATTCGGCTGCGCCCCTCCTCGGCGACCAGCCCCCACCTGTATTTTTTTCTCTTCTATTTGACCAGCGTATATCGGCCGCACACGAGCAAGCCAATAGAGAGTCGACCCTATCCAAGGCGGTTTCCCTTGTGCCCCCACCTGGGGTCAACCTGCCCCCGATGAACGTTTGCATAGAGGATCCTCCTCGAGATTCCGGGCGAGGCTTGAATGGGCTCCTCTAATGCCAGGTGACACGTGGCGCACCTTGCTGAATGGATTTAAAATCCGTTTTATTTATTTCCCTTCCTTTTTTCCTTAGAGTATCGTGCCCTCACCTGATTCGTTTTCATTTTCTTCTCTCTACATTTGCCCGGGGAATTTTATTAGACCCTGAAGACCCCTGCAAGCCCAGGTGCGGGGACGGGATACGTCCACCTGAGTTCCCACTTTACCCTGGATTTTTCTAAATGTTAGTATCTCTCCTCCGAGTGATTTTCTAGAAAATCCAGGGCGATACCGAAATGCACCTGATCCAGAGCGCGTACACCTGTCGAAGTGTCCCAGGTCAGGTTTGGCACTCTTCCAATGAACCATTACCGAAGCGTGTCGATTTAATTCCAATCACTGCTCGCCTCGTAACCATGAATGGAGTTTCTGATTCAAGGACCAAAAATTCCTCTCCACCCCCCAAAAAATAGTAAATTAATAAAATAGTCGCCGGATGTGATTTTTTTCTTTCTTCCTGCAATCTGGGTACGCAAAGTCGCACGTTTCACGCGATTTACGAGGTCGAGGAGTTTTCTTTGAATTGGGTCGAAGAGTGGATTTCGAAGTCCCGGGGGTCATCTCCGGAGCCGTGAAATTTCATCAGCGATTCTCGGCGTCGGTCGACTCGCTAGACGTCCCGACGCGCCGATTTACGAGCGGAACACCGCCAGGAATATCGGGACGTCGGTTCGTGACACTCTCTCCGTCTCTTTTCTCTTCCCGGGCCCTGAAGGCAGACGGGAAGAGCACGTGTACAGGGGAGACCGACTTTCCATCTTACTCTTACGCACGGGGAGGGGCCCCCTCCCTCTGATAAACGCGAAACCCCCGCGTCGCGGTCTCACCTGAGATCCTGGTAGTGAGTCAAGGTGAAACGCCGGTTTTACTTTTTAGGAGGCGATATCTTAGAAAAAATTCATTTCGAGAAATGACATTTTCCACCCTTCAGGGGTGGATTTTTCCCGTCGCTGATAGCTTGAAAAATTAATTCCCCGAAAAATTTTCTTCGTCCTGGAGATCGTGAAAATGGCTTTTCTTTATTTTTCAAGGCGATGTTGTAAGAAATATTTATTTCGTGGCGTTTTCGAAATAACATCTTTTGGATTTTTGGGCGGTTTAACAGGGAGAGACGAAAATCGCCCTTACCTTGACTGTCGGGGAAAACAGCTGATTTTTCATGGGTTTCAGTAACGAGAAGATGAATGCCAATTTCATTGTCGAAATGATAGGAATTACAGGAATTGCCCGAGGACTCGGTTTCATCAAACCGCCGATCCGAACTTTCACTGCGCAGACTCGACCGAGATAAGGCGTCGGTTTTACTTTTTAGGTGTATATCTAGAAGAGAATCTTCTCTTTACATCTCGAATTAAATATACCTCCATAAAAAAATTTTTTTCATGAAATCTCACATTTTACTCAAATGCCCTATTTATGTAAGTGCGTTCTGGTTATCATTTCCAGGTTCGAAGTTATCGAAATTAATTCTCCGGAATTTTTTGGAAGGAATGAATGGGGCGATAAGGCGTTATCGTGGGATGCACCAACCGAAGGGAAACGAAATGAAAATGATTCGGGGAGCGGAGTCGCAGGGTCAGAGTAGAAAGTGGTCCGAAAAGTGGAACGACGAAGGTCGTATATCCGGGAGGAACGGCGGAAGGGAACGATACCAGTTTCCCTTCCCATTCATGAGATGCTGCCGGATACCTGGATACCTGGTACCAGGACACGGTTCTTCCGTACTCTCACCTGCCGACTCACCTGAGCCCCCGCACTTTGCGGTGCATCCTGAACCAACGCCCCTCTGACCGAAAAAAAAAATAAATAAATCCGATAACCCTTTCGCGGAGGAAAAAACATATCATCCAAGATGCACTTTGCGGTGCATCCTGAAACAACGCCCTTTTTATGGAAAATAAAAATGCTGTTCTTTTTATAGAACAAAAATGGGAGTAATGAGATTTGACGAGTTCAAAGGATCCAAGGAGGTCGGAGGAGACATTATTGGAATTTTATCTAAAAATGTTAAGAATCTCAGTGTCGGATTTTTCGTTAGAAATCGCCTTTGACTTTTTTAGGGGCACCGGAACTCGAGTGACCTAAACCTTCCCGATGGCAGGTTTGAAATGCAAATTCCCCTCCTGTAGTGATAGTAATGAGATTGGAATGTAACGGAGCTCCGAGGATGTCGAAGAGCCGACCGAAGGGAATTAAATCGTCATTCGGAAGAGGAACACGATCGAGAGAGTGACGCGACTCTTGACCCCGACACGTGGGAAGAGTTCCGAATTTTCGATGAATTTGGCTCTACATCTTTCCTCCCTTTTCTAGAAAGACTGCTATTGTTACCTGTAAATCGTGTCGCAGTGAACGGGTTGAGCAATCTACTCGGAAATGTTCGAAAATGGTCAGGAGGTGCGAAGAAAAGACGAAACTGAGGAAAGAGCAGCTCCTTGCAAACGAGATGGCAGACAAGATGGCGGACAGGGTGGAGGAGAGGAAGAAAGGGAAATTTCGGACGTCACCCGAGTTCATTATTTAAAATTGTTAATCGGAGACAAGAAAGTGTAGGCGGTAGAGAAATTCTATCCTTTCTAAGCGACTCCTCGGCGCCATTTTGGTTCTCGCAGAAGGACGCGTCGGTGAACAAAAGGCGAGGGTGAAAACGTGAAAACTTTCGATTCTTCGACACGTCGGCCCAGAAACCGCATTTTAATATTATTTATTCATTCCTGATAACACCTACTCAATGAAAAATTCCCCTCTTTTGCAGTGCATAAACCGCATAAATTCCGAGAGGACATTCTTGCGATCGATGTATGTAAATGTCTTGTAAATTTCATTATTTCATTATTCATTATTCATCGGTGATTTATTTACATTGTTTCGGTGATATGGAAGGTAGCTTGGAATTCTGATTTTCAATTGTTAATTGTTCATTGAATTTGCAGTAGAGTTGCAGTCGTGTGCATTCGATGACGCTTCGGTGAAGTCTGGCACGGGATCGGCGACGATCCGCACGTTTTATGATATTCGAAAGGTAAAAAAGGAAGTGCCCGGAATCCGGGTCAGTAGGTCTCGTTCTCTCTCCGTGTTTTTCTCCTTCCTCCTACCTCTTGGCCACCTCCAATCGCCTTTCTTCGCCGATATCGAGATGACTTCTCTTCATCTCTCCGGTGTCTTTCTTCGCGCGTCCAAAATGGCCGCCGGACGCTAAAGAGATTATGCTTCTGCGTTTCGAGCACAGCTCCCCCATTTATTCATATTCCCCGTCGCAAAAAGAAAATGCCGCCCGTGTAAATTTAATAAATTCTGTGAAATAGAGCTACCTTCCTTATGCATGATTTGATCTTTTTTTTTTCCGTTTCGCAAATAGTACGTGAAATTTTTGCCGCTTGGATTTCAAGATAGCAGGTGAAATTGTATAAACGCGGGACTCGTGGCTGTTATCTTTTTTTCTGTACACGATTTTATAATTGCTATTTCCATTTCGGGAATACCGTATGCACTTTTTTCACTTGGATTTCAAGATGGCGGTCGCACCTGCAGAGACGCGTGCACCAGGTCGCCGACCCACTTTCCTCTTTCGGGCAGTAACCCTCTTTCGCGGCGCGGATGCCTTTCATCTCTGAATTTCAACTGGATTTTCTCACGGGATGTCAAAGGGCTACTTTCCCTTCGGAGCCGATAGGAAACGCACGAAGATTTAAAGTTATCAATGGACCTCTCCGTCCGCGTCCCAAAAACTTTCGCCTCGGATTTCACTCCGAGGAATATTTTACGCGGCGTTATCGACCGTTCTAAATACTCTAAAACTGGGTAACTCACTGGAACGAGACTCCTCGGTTTCTAAAAATGTCGATGTTGATTTATTGGCGATACATACGGCGAGGAGAAGAAGCCAAGTGCGACAATAAATTAAATAAATAATTCGAGAGAGAATGTCTCTTCGTCACGAAAGAGTGGCGCCGCCTGGCGGAAGCGTCACTTTCTACCATCCCGTCCTCACCGGAGCGGCGGTCCTCACTGTCACTGTCACTGTCTTCGTCAATGTCACTACCACGTGTCACCTATGGTGTCTATCTAAATTGCGGCTACCTCCAAGGCCACGATTTAAACCAAGGTCGCGATTAATCCCTCGACTAAAATTCCTCAAAAACGTCTGGACAAAATTTCAGGTCTTCGGGGTGCAAAGGTAGAATCTCGAGGACCATGAAAAATTAAACCGTCTGATTTTGAGGTTAAAAATCGTACCGAGGTTGGACCATGGTTGGACCCGAATTCAAGGTCAAGCCTTAGCGAGGTAGGAGTCCCGGAAGAGGTTAATATGTCCCCGATAGGGAAGGTCGAGAAGATCGTCATCGAGGGCTCTCTTTCTACGGTGGTGGTGACCGGTCTCTTGGGCATAGACCACGTGATGACCGCCGCCATCGCTGTGGCCGGAGGCGAGTTTTTTCACGGCCACGATAAGAGATAACATAAGAGCCAAAGCGGAGACCATGAGAGCCTTCATCGCGAGGAGGCCCAGAGCGCCGAATCCCATGGCGGCCATCATTTTTCCTGCAGAAGGGTACCATATAAAAAAGTGTCATTGGAGCTATATTAATCTTAAAAACCATATTGATTTGCCAAACGAATTCGTCCGCGAACTTATGGAACAAGATAATGTAACCTAGGAAGAGGTGCCTGAGGAATATCCCCATACTCACCCATCATGAGAGCCAGGATCATCATTCCACCGTCGCCCTTCTTGCCTCCTCCGAATCCTCCTCCCCCGCCACTCCCTCTACCTGGAATTACGATTATTACCTAATTATTATTAAGGTTAAAGAAAAAAAATTATCCGAACCGGCGACCCTGAAGAAGCAGAAGGCACCGACCTTGGGCGATGGAAGGCAGACTGTCCCTGATGGCGTTTTCAAGATTATCGGGAACCAGGCTGGGAAGTTTGATCCTGAGTTCCCTGCCCTCCAGGAACTCCAGGAAGGGCCCCACGGTCCCGAAACCCTTGAGGAATCGCGCCTTCCTGGCTTCGCCATCCTGAAGACCGTCCACCAGGCTGACTCCATCCGTGATCTCCAGCACCGGCGACCTGGCGGATTTGTCCAGCAGCTGCTGGACCACTCTCTTGACGATCCTCACTCCGTGACAGGAGACGGACAGGTTCCTGGGGTCGGCAGCTCTGCAGGATCCGTCCCAGAGGTCGCGAAACTCCTCGCAAAGGACCACAGGACCCCCGAGCGTGAACACCAGGACCGTCCACGAGAGCAATCCGAGAGTGTGTTGGTTTTTCGTCACCATGATGAGGTTGTCGATGACCCCACAAGACCTCTGGGCTGGTGCTCGTCTGCTGGCCTCCTGTCGGTCCACAATCAGGGGATTTAAATTTCCGTCCTGACAGGAAAGGATAAAATCCTCGCCATGTCGCGCAGTCAACGTGTATTATAGTAAAATAACCGATCCCAAATAAAGACAACGACTTAATAAACCCACCCACGTGTTTGAAAAACCTCATAAACTATCCCCGTGATACCACTATCTGCCCGAAGAAAATTAAACGCAAGGTTAGTCCATAATTGCAGGAAAGAGACGCGGCGCTAGGGTCGTGATCTTGTCGGAGACGCAACCGCGAAGGATCTTAATCTCTAAATTTACATCCGACTCCTGTTTGACACATCCCACACCCACACGGTATTTTCTACGCTCGGAAATAAAACCCATTGAACCAAAGAAGTATTTCGAAAAATCGCAGGATAATTATTTCACTCCAATAAACAAACATAAATTGCATAATCCCGAAGTTGCATCCAATTTATCCGGGTTTATTCGAGTAATGTATTTCTCTGCTTTCGTGAATCTTTTTCTCTCGATGTACCGAATCCCTAATCCACTGTCGTCGCTTTGAGACGATGCACTCCTATTTTTTATCGATCCCCTTTTGGGCCCTCCCTGGATTCCGGGCCCGATATCGAACAATGCACTGCGATCGCGATTTGGAGCAGACTTATCCGAACCTGCGGAACGTGTTGCAAAGGTCCGAGTGGTATCTCGTCCTCGCCAGGAAGCGCGCTTTATATACATAGAACCGCGGTGATTGTACAACGAAAAAAGCGACTCTCGGCCATCCCTCGCTTTTTCGTCGCTCTTCGGGGCTCGTTCGGGCGTCTTCTTGTTCTCGTTGCCGCGCTTTCCAGAGCGTTACGACTCTTCCCCCGCCGGCCGGCAGTTTAGAGTGCGATCTTGCATGCCGTCGATCGTACCCGGGCCCCCTTTGGAATGCCTTATGGGCCCTATTGCGAGGAATAGATCTCGAAGACGCTCTAGAGGTGCGATTTTCTCCTCAGCGGAGATCCTCGCTTAGTGGAGCGCGGTGAACGGATCGTTTCGATTTGGATCCGAGCGTGCTCGTCACGGGACGCACCTCGGATTCGAGAAGAGGGGACGAGACGCCATTTTGGTACCACCGATTTCATTTCTCCGATTCTGGTTTGGCGCCAATTAAAATGGCTATAGTGCACATTCGAACCCTCTTTTTTGATAAAATTTCACCTAGAAAAGATTTTTCAACGGGCTTCGGCTAAATTTCAAGGGTGTTCATTTTTTATCATTTTTTTTAGTGGACCTTCCTCGGCGAAATTTTATGGGATCTTCTTTAACGGGATTTTTCCCCAGAGAGATTTTCCAGGTTTGCGACGTTAATGTCTTAGGCTGCAATTGTTAATCCAGGTAACGGGGTTTGGCGTAGGCTGGAGGTTAGGCAGGATTCCGCATTAACGTTTCATTACCTCCAGCCATTTTCCAGGGTCCGCTGGTCATGGAGATAATTCATTCTCCGATCTCACGGCCTTGGATATCAAGAGCTGGAATGCAGCTCTTCTTTGTCATTTTTCCTGCTCCACATTGTTCTACTCCGCCGCTTCGGCAAACAGTAGCGCCGCCATTTTGGAGCCGCCGGAGGGCGTCGAAGATTTTCCAGCGACGCTCCATGACGTCGGCTTCTTTGTCTTAAAATACATGCCACGGTTTTTAACGGGATCCCGGGCGGCCCGAAGACGGACAGGTGGAATTCCGCATCAGCGATTTATTACCTGCCATTTTCCTGGCTCCGGTGGATATATGGAAATAAATCGTCCTCGAATATCACGGATATTAAAAATAGGAATTCCGTTCTTCCTTGCCGTTTCTCTGCTCCACATTGTTCCACTCCTCTAACTATAGCCGCCATTTTGGTCCACCTGCTCGCCCCGTTCCGCCGCCATCTTGTTTCTGCAAATCGTCGCCGTAATATATGTATATGTCCGCGTTTGATTGATGGAAAATCGTGTAAAATTTTCCGAGGTGACGTTCCTGGTAAATAAATAACGCACTTTCGGATCTCGTTTTTTCCTAATCGTCGGTCTATCAACGCCATCTTGGATTGTGCATTCGCGAGGCAAATCACGAGTTTCGTTCCTGACGAGAGTGTCCGATCGGAAGCTGCCCTATAAAAATCGTCACCATCCTCGGACGTGAGACAATTACCAAAGAAAGAGCCTAACGGGGAGGAAAGGAGAAAGAGATGTACAGAATCTAGTTCATCTCCGTAAACCTTTCTCTTCTGTCCCACTTCTCTCGCCAAGTGAGCTGCACATATATACACGCGTACTGCACATATATACACCAGACCAGGGTATAACTAGGGATCCCTCGATACCGATCGACGAATCGATCCTCCTCGGGCCGATCGATCTCTCCTCTGCATTGAGAAAAAACAATTCATTTGACCGGGGAAATATTTTCATTCGAAGAATAATTATTTCCCCCCAAATAAACCGAAATAAATTGCATTATTCCGAAGTTGCATGCGATTTAATACAGTTTTAGTCAAATATCTATCCTTTGAATTAACGAAATATTTCTTTGGTTCGTTGATTTTTTTTTTCTCATCGTCGTAATTAGTCAACGTTACACGGAAATGATGCAAATGCTCTTATCATGGTCAGTGGAACCTCGCAACCTGTAACAGTACATGATAATGTTCCTTTCGCAAAGTAGCGCTGAGAACCGCTTTATAAAACCACGTGTGAGCATCTCATGAATAGTAATTATCGCAGCAACAATTAGATCGTAAACGGCTGCTTTTCCATTGTCGCGCCGTGGAAGTAGATAAATGGGTCCGGGATTGTTGCATGAGAGTCTCGGATCACTTCAGGATCTCGCGATATAATTAACTTTTTTCACCTGCATTTCGATTGCACCTGCAGGCATCGAGATAACTAAGTCAGAATTAAAAATGGAATTTTTCAGTTTAAAATGGATCTTTTGACATCTAGAGGCGGAGAAAGCCGAACGAGATCGGGGACGATCATCTCAGGATTCGAGTGGAGGTCATCACAAAACTTTCGGATTAAAAGAGTGGAAAAATGTCAACACATGATTTGGCAAATAAAAGATGTCCCGAAAAGTTCCTTCGGAAATTCTGGCAATTAAAACATGAATTACAGGATCTAACAACTGTGCCTTAAAAATAATGGATCAACGAGGAACTCTAACAGCTCGAATTTAAATAATGATAAGGAATGACGGTGTGGAAATTACAGGGCGGTCTAAACGGTTCATTTCAAGCATTGTGGATCCGAAGAAATGTACACGTAATTACCTAGTACCTAGTTTCGAAAACAAGAGTACCTCTCTAGCTCTATGATAGTAATTAGGCGTAAATTGCTAGAAATACTCCTTACGGAAACAGTCGGCGAGTAAATTAGTCCGATTATCATTCTTATAGTTGTTTGGCGAAGAGGCAGCCAATTTGAATCGAGCGCGCGTCCCTTGCGCCGCCATCTTGGATCCGGCGCGCGTCCCTCGAAAAGGAAGAGGCCGGAGAGAAAGCGAAGAGATCGAATTATGAAGAACAATCTGAAGAGAAAAGCCAAAGCGTTTATGTAGGTTATAAAGTCACAGCCCCGAGGAATGCCGGGGTGTGTTAATACCGGATGCGATCACGAATTGCGGGGGTCAGAGAGCGGCCATTTTTCCCGTCTATTGCGGAGGGCTCCTTGACGCGAAAACGACGTGATAACATCTACGGCTCTTTATACCTCTAGAAAGTGTGTCGCCTATTAAATAAAATTACGCATTCCGCCATTCCTATCGACATGCTGTATTCTATTAACCGTCGACTATAATTGCGCTCATGAATATTTGGATAGATGTATCCAAAGGAGGGATTTAAATACGAAGAGAAGATTTTTTCCTGCGAATGTCAAAATACACATCCACTGTATATTCAAAGAAAAATTATGTGAAATATGAAAAGGAGTCCCTGAGATTCCTCTCGATGAAGACGAAGCGACCTTGGGTCGTTTAATATTAAATTCATACTTTCCCATAACGAAATAATCCACAGACTCGCAGTAAATATTTCCAGTGCATATAAAAATAATAAATTTGTAGGTCGAGTCCGGGATGTTAGTTTCAATCGTCACAATAATTGGCGTTAATCGTGCCGTTTTCTCCGTAGCGAATGTAGTTTAATCCGAGATAAATTAGAAATCTGCGTGTCTAGGTCGCCTAGAAGAGCCTCCACGCAAGTTGTAGGTCGCCAGTAATCGAGAAGGTAGAGAACCGGATTAATTATGCGAGCACCACAAACAAGTCCTTCCGTTCCACAGGTGAACTCGACATAACTGTAATTAAATTTCTCCCGTGGAATTTCTTCACAAAAGTCCAAGAGAATTCGATCAGCCTCGAATTAAAAGCGCCATTAAACTACTCTACATCAGGTTCCATTTCCCCCTCTCCGAGGAAACGCACGAGTATGCTTATAAAAACAAACAATAAATATTTATTCTCACAAGGACAACAACAACATCGCCGACAGTAACAGTACATTAGCACTCTATCTCTGCCAGAAGAAAATAAGTTAATTAAATAATTAATAAAGGGACCTCCGCAAAGTCAGCTGATCGGCGTCCACGTGTGCGTCCAAGTCATGGTCCAAGTCTCAAGTTCAGTCCCAAAAGTCTAAAATCGTCAGAAACAAAGTCATAGTCCCGTTTCGTGAATCTCAGTCTCAAGATTCAAGTCCTAAGTCCAGGAATAAAGTCTAGAGTCGCAAAAAGTCGCCCCGTCCCGCCAGCGACGCCTGGTCCCGCTTCGGTCGCGGTTCCAGGGTGAGCAGGGCCTCCTACAAAAAAACTGCTTCCAACAAAAGTTCTCCAGTATCTTGCGAGGAACAACGTTTGTTGGGAGCATTTTTCTCCCAGAGGCACGGGGTGGCCGGAAGCGCAGATTGAGTGCGTCGCGCGTGGAGCTCTTTAGGGTCGGTCCAGGTCCTCCGTCTACAGTCCAGTTGCATCGAGGTCGGTAAAAGTAGGTGATGAGGTGCGTGTCACGCGTCTGTCGGTCTCGTATCCAAGCACCTCTTCCGGGTCTCGGTCCATCGTGAAGGCGGAGTAGATTAGGAATGTATAGGGTGCCTAATCTAGGGCTAAACGTCTAAACCTTAGAGGCCTAACGGCAAGATCGCGCGCGAGCTCGAGCAGTATTTTGGACCTGGGTCTCTTCAGGGTGGTGGACCCTCCTTCTACCTCGACCCAGAGGGTCCCCGAAGAGACTCCAAACCCGAAACGCCAGGTTTCAGGAGGGGACCACCGACCCCGACTGTCCTGGCCCCCGGAATCCAAGTCCCGCCACCCGAAGAGCGCTCTTCAGGGTCGAGTCACTTCACGTGGGCGGAATAGGCTAGGTCATGGGCATCCGGTTGACCAGGAACCGGCGCAGGCCCATGGAAGCTTCTAGCCCATCCACTGGAATAGCTGTCACCATGACCATGGTCCGAGCTGTAGGTGTGGCTGGACGAGTGATGAGGATGTGCCACCACCTCGTACGTCACGTGCTTCTGGTGGCTGAAGAGCTTCTTCAATCCGATGATACCGGCCAGCAGCAAAGCGATCTTCGACAGCAGAAGGGCTTTGCCCACTAATAAGGCGAGTCCCTTGAAGGCAAGACCTCCTATGAGACCGATCTTCAGCACCGCCGCTGCCAGAAGAGCTCCCATGTTACCGCCCTTCTTCCCACGACCTGAAACGACACCTGCTTTAGATGTCTTAATTCACCGTGGCGGCTTCCATTCATTCCCGAAGAGTTAATAAAAACTCTTCCGGGTGAATGTCGATCTCCGTCCCGCGTGGGAGATCGGGATCATCCGGAGAAGAGAGTTACAACTCGGTCGTAAATTCATGAAGAAGCAAGAGTGAAATTGCGAAGTAGCGCGCGTTCGACCTCGCTCTTCAACTACTCCTTCCGCAACCTCATCGGAGTCCCATAAGGGGATGCGAAAAGGTTCACGAACGATCAACCCCTCGGATGCCCCTTTCACCCTCCCTTAAAATGACGTGAAAGTGTCGTGAAGAAATTTCCTCCGGTTTCTCCAGTTTCTAATACGTGTCCAAACGATTGGGAATTAATATTTGCAGATTCTAAAAAATGCGTGGAAAGGTCAAGGTGGGATTTCTTCTCACCATCCTGAACGGCAGCACTGTCGGCTCGCTCGATCGAAAGGCCAAGGTTAAGGGACCCGGTCTCGTCTTCAGAGGCTGATACCACGACGTCGTCTTCGGGGAGGATTCTCCATTTCACGCTCCTGGACTTGACGAAGGCATAGACCTTGTTGACGATCAGGTCCAGGACCTCGGAGTCGTCGTCTTTGCTCCTGCCGGTCTGGAAGGACACCTCCTCGGTCACCTGGCTCGTCTTCCTGATCTCGATGTCGTCGGTCAGCTCGATCGACGCCTTCTTCAGCAGCTTGTTCATGTACGTCACCAGCTTCAGCATCACGCAGCTGCTGATGTCGTTCTGCGAGCACTTGGAATTCAGTTTGCGGAGCAATTCCTCCTCGTACTTGGCGCGATCGGTCAGGGTGACGGATTGCTGCTCAAGGACGCCGATCTTGTCGATCTTCTCCAGGGGACTCGCCAGACATGCCCCAAGGAAGCCGAAGGCCACCAACGCGAATGCCACCTTCATCTTGAACCTGAAGAAAGATTACGCAATTAAGCGAAACCCAGGAAACTACCCTTAAGGTGATGGTGCACCCTAAAAAAGGGTAAATATGTCGAAAAATCCAGGAACGCCTATTTACGAAATTTCATCAAGCCTCCCCATTCGCGTAGTGAAATTTCGATCCACCTATTGTTCCACGTATTTCCTATTCCCCTAGTACCATCTGTCAAGTGTCCAGAGCAAACAGAATTAAATTGGAAAATTCACCCCCCCGATGAGGGTTAAAAATTGATAAAAATCCAGGAACCTCTATCTCGAAGTCGCGAGTGGGTACGCACCTGGAGGAGGTTCTTCGGGAAGTCTCGGGTGTCCTGGAAGACTTTGGCTGGGCTGGTCAAGGTCTAAGGCCCAGAGAAGCGGCCCGGTGGTCCCGATGGGTCGTGGGTCTCTGGTAGCGCGTCTCGCCCCGGCCCGTTTATATAGTAAGATGTCGGATAGAAGATAGGATCCAGAACCGGCGGCACCTCCTGTTAGGAAGGTGGTGGGATGCCGCTGGGACCGAGGAAGAAGAGAGTTACCGACCCGATCCAGAGGTGAGGATGTTCCTCGGCTCGACTCGGCGGAAACTGGTTCCCGTCCCATGGTGGCGTGGCCCGGAGAGGCCGCGATCGAGGCGTCCTTCTACACGCGCACACGCGTGCCTCCCCTGGCGGAACCGACGGGCCCGACCCACCGGGAGAACCGTGTCACGGATGTGGAGCACGCACGCCATCCCGTATCTCCGTGTGTATCCACCATATACGACCGAGTAACCATTAATCGCCCAGACCGGAATTGCCGGCTTTCGAGGATGCCCTACCCCTGGAGAACGGAAGTTCCAGTCGACAAGGACGTGGATTGGTGCATGGGGGTTGGAAGTACCACCAAGGGGGTTGATCGGTGCGAGGTTGTCGAATGGTGGTCCTTGGATTCGATGATGAGGCTGGAAGTCGCAAGCACGTAGGTGGTGGCATGGATGTCCACTGGTGGTCCTTGGGATCGGAAGTCGGAAGTCGCAAAGAGCAAGGACGAAGGTGGTTGCCCTGGTGGCCCTTGATCGATACCCATTGCACCAAAAATCCCAGCAGCAAGGACGTAGGGGATCACCAAACGTATCCTGAAGAGGACCCTGAAAGCCGAACAACGCCGCCTCGCTAGAGAAAGGACGCAACGAAAAGTAAAAGTGGCAGGATTCAAAGGAAAGTCCAATAACCGACTCGCCCCCAAATTCGTGCTAAAAAATAAAACCGGAAATAAATCACTCCTGAAGTGCAATTTTTTCTTTTTATTTCTATGCGTTCCAACACCTCGTTAAATATTTCTAGTAATTACCGAGTGCGTGCAGAGCTCCTGGTAGCGTTAAGGAAAAGGAGGAACAGGCGAAAAGGGAAATGTCGGCTTATTTGCATGCACCGACGCTTCCAGCCTGAAGAGGCATCAATGGAGACGGAGTCTCCATTAAACAACGCGCGTGACGCCATTACTGCCGAGACTCGAAGAGGTTCCTTGAAGAACGGCTCGAAGACCTCGTTTCGAGTGATTTGCTGGGAAATCCTGAAACAGAAAATACCCGCAATAAATACCGAACGTGTGTATGTACTCTATGTGATTTAACCTCCACTCTTTTTATTTAATAATGCTTATTTTATACCCTGCCCTCCGATTTCCAGCTCGCAAGAAACGCGCCTTCCGCGGCCGTTAATAAGAACGCGCTCCAGTCCTGCAGAAATATGTGAAAAGCGAGAATCTTAACTTATTTACATCCGGCGAGGCATTTAGACCGAGAAGCTCGATATCAACGACTCGGATTCCGTTAAGGAGGACACCTGACTTTATTAACGACAGTCGAGACACACATTTATTTATCTAGCGTGGCATCTTTCGCGTTCAACGGCCATCATTTCAACTCCGAGAGAAAACTATAAATTCATTCTAATAAATTCTCATCGTTCCGAACAAACGTCGCATCCAATTTCAGTGAAATAAGAATTATTTGAGCTATCGGCGTCGTCCAATTTCGTCCCCCGGTGAAACTTTAAATTAAATTCATCAAGAGCCGCTTTTACTTAAACTAAGTACGGTAGTTACTTACGCAAATTAATATTCTGCAAATGGCCGACGATATTTGTCCGCTGCGTTATTAGGCGTAATTATGCAGCGAGGTTTATTACACCGCAGAAGAAACGGAGAGTACCCGAGAAGACGGCATCTGCAAAATGGCGGACGCGTCAAATGGCGCATCGCGGAGTGTAAGTACTGTTTAGAAATATTTAGAACCTTCGAAAAAAAATTCCCTGGCGTGAGGAAATTTATACTTACGTTAACATTCATAGTTTAGGGTATTTTGAAAGTGTTTTCGCGAGAATCGAGGGAGGAACTTGGCCGGATCCGTGCCAAGGAAAGCGAAAGCTTTTATTGGTCGATTGTGATGCAAAAGAGATGTTAGGCTAGACCGTAAACCAGAAACTCGGGCAGATGGAAATCCAAGGATCACTTAATATTAGATATTCCATTCTTCGAGTTTCCGTAAAATAAAAGACCGCGTTTTCGGCCAATTTTGGTCACCTCCAGCGTCGCGCCGAAAGTTGTTCTCAGCCACCTCGCCGATTTAAAATTGCATAATTAATTAACTGGAGTTTCTTTCCGCCCCTTTTTTAAATCCACGCTCCGTGTAATCGTGGAAGCAGTCGACGTAACGTGCCGTGAAGTCTGAATTAAGTCAAGGTGCAAGGACCATTAATTTCGAAGATTATTTCCTGCGCTAAGTGGGGCGGCCATCTTGGCTCGGCATTCCGCGGGAATTGAAACGTAAATCGTTGGATTTGGGACAAATCGCGTTTATATCGGCTTTACTAAGCACATTCCCGTTGTCATGCTGGCCCAAGGCGAGTGTTTTGACGGTTCAAGGGACCGTTATGCCGAATTCTTTCGAGTTCTTTCCCAAGAGGGTCCACGAGGTCGTAAGTGGAGCGCTGCCTCTTGTGGGCGTCCTACAGTCCCAGATTTCGGGACTTTCTTGGGCTCATTGATGAATCGGTGATGCCGCTCTTTGATTTCTCCTTCCCTTTTTTGGGACCCTCCATGATTTCTGACATTTTGGGCACATATTCAAGAAGTCCCTGAAACACTGTAAACTTTTTAAAGCCGACCCCTGTTACCGAATTGCATTGTTCTTTATCGTACAAAGTCAAAGGCACTCGGTTTCACTGATGGGTTCTTGTTTCGAGCTCTGTCGGGGGTTTCGAAAATCCCTGGAAAAGTGAGATTCGCACCAACTCGGGAATCATGTCGGCGACCGTTTCCGGTCGTTTCTACCGGTCGAAGGAGGCCACGCGGTCAACCGGTGGCCGTCCATCCGATTCCGGGAGATGCCGCCGGCACCTTCGACCGGTTCCTATCACTCGAGATATGCTTCACCAAGGGCTGGGGAAAAAATCTTGGAAATCTGCATTTTCCGTCCATTCATTCCTATTCATTCAAGTGAAACCTATTTCCAAAATATTCATCCATTTTTTATTCTTCCTGCTTTTGCCCGATCGAGCGGAAGGGAGGGCTCCGATTGCCCGGAATTGGCTCCAACGGAAAGTCGAGGATTTGTTTACCAGCCGACCATGGCCTCGATTCCGCAAAACCTTCATATTTCTCGAGGTCGAGGATGCCACGCGGTCGGATAGGGTGCGGCCATTCCGCACCGGTTCGAAGCCGTGCTGGCCGTTTTCGCTTACGTTGCAATTACCATTACAACCCTGGAATCTCGTACGGACGTTACAGGGAGCCATAACGGAAGTTCCCCACTTATGGCGAGATAATTTCACCTGCAACCACCGTATCGATTAAGCCCACTTTCCGATAAGCGGCACATCGACAAATTTTTATAAAACGTAAATTTCTAAATTAATTATCCCTAGCCTACTTGCAGGAGTAATTACGGATTTCACTCCTGAATTAATTCATGGATTGATGGTTTAATTCGGGAGAAAGAAATTCACCGAAATCCAGATTTTATACAAAATAAATAATTATGGAAACGTGCAATTGAGACAATGTCGGGGTTAAAGGAGAACGGTACGGTTGTAACAAAATATATTTAAATAATCTGCATTTTTACAGTTTAGGACTTTAAGGTAACAAGATGTCAGGGAGCGAGAGGAGTCCCAAAATCGATCGATCGATCTTTGAATCTAGCTTTCGAAGACTTTCGATGTCCGCTTTCCATCGGGAGAGATCCGCGACGTCCTTAATTTGTGATCTTATTGCACCTCCATCGAATCCGAAAACTGAGTCGACCTTAAGGACACTTCTCTGACTTTGCTTCTTAGAATTGTTAGTAAAAATATTTATACTAATTTTAAGCCTCGCGTTAATCAACTATTTACAGTATCAACATCCTGAGTCTCTTCTCGTACGGTTTCATCTAAGTAGTCGGAGATGGAGAGTCCCGAAACCGATGATCCTTAATCGAGTCTCGGATCTAACTTTCGAAGACTTTCGATGTCCGCTTTCCCTCGGGAGAGATCCTCGAGAGTCCTCGATCCAGGATAAAAAATTTCCCAGGATGGCCTTGATCCGGACCCGGACCTAACCCAAGCTGGACCAAGAAGGATTTGAAATTCCAGATTCCATCATGATCTCCATGACGTGCCACAACATCCATCATCACCGTGACGCTTCCTATTATGTACGTCATTTACATTTGACGTCACTTTCGTATTATCTTGATACTCTTAGATATCGATTTTAATTTTGATTTTTCTCGAGGCCTCGTTTTAAGGTCATCGCCTTGATCGGTACTCCTTGTAGCCCTGATAGGCAAGGTCCTGTCCGTAGGACCCGGTGTCTCCAGGATAGCTCTCCGAATATCCTGGATAACTTCCACCATGATCTGGATAGACGTTCGCGTTCTCTTTGAACAAGACTTGTGGATATCCAACTCCACTCTGGGTGTACACCGGAGGCTGGTAATTGTTCAACGTCGGCTTATAGAGCTTGAAGAACCCGATAAGACCCGGGATGACAATCGCCATGAATGCCAGGAACTTCTTGAAGGACGCCAAGCCCAGGATGAGAGGAAGGAAGAGGAGCAGCTTCAGCTTGAACAGCTTCAGGACTATCAGCATTGGGATCAGCAGCTTCTTCAACTGATTGCGAGCTGCGAAGATAATGCAGATTTTTTTCGACCCCGGGATGTCTAACTTATCGAAACTCTCTTACAAATCCTGTAATTATACCCTGATAAAATAAATCCCATCGAACCAGAGAAATACTACTTTGGAAGATAATTCAAAGAATAATTCCTTGACTGAGATAAACTGGAATAAATTGGATGCAACGTTTCTTTGGAATAATAACAATTTATTTGAGTGAAATTCCTTGAATTAAAAATATTTTTCTCTGGGTCAATAAATTTTGTTCTCTCAGGGTACCATTACCGCATGTACTTACAGAACAGAGTATCCTTTTTATTTTCAATGGTGTCGATCTCGTCCGCAATTTCATCCAGAAATCTTGGAGCATAAACCTCATTTTGTCCCGTGACCCAGGAAGGAACTGCGACTTCGATGGCGACGGTCTTTACGAATTTCTCTGCTTTCCTGGCTGCGAATTTCCACAGCTGGTCCCACTCCGACTCCTCGGCTCTGGGGAAGTATAGGACCTCCATAATCGCGTGTCAGAGTTTCTAATTATTTTCTCCATCCAGTTTTATTAAGATTCTGACTTTTTGGTATAGATGTGTGACACTTACATAACGTCTTAATCGTTGCAGAAAATTTTTTTACCAACCTTGGTGCACCGGAATATTCGTACGGCTGACGATTGACTTCCCGGACCACGTCTCTGGACATTCGGACGACTTTGACATTCTCGTTAAGATTGTACTCGTTCAGGTCGAAAAATTCAGAAAAACTCTTCAGAGCTTGGGACTTGAAGCACTCCGCAAGTTCGCCACTCAGACAGGCTTGATTCGTTTTGGCTAAATATGGATCTACGTTTTTTCCGGTTCCAAATCCGATCCAATCGAACAAGTCCTTGCCCTGACGAGTGCCATTTCTGCTCCCTCGACCCTCATTTTGAAATGCAGATGGTTCATCTAAAAAAAAGTTTAAAAATAACTAAACACGTAATACATATTTTATGTGACAATAATATACTTTATAAACATATACACTTCCTTTTATTCTATAATCCTGAACGTTACCGACGGGATAAACGAGAGGACCTAACTAAACATACCGCTTGTAGGTAAAGTGCGACATAACCTAGAATGTCTGTTTGCAAAGAGCTGCTTGGTTGGAAATAATTTCTTATTCTTGCGGGAAACTCTTTGAAGCAAGTTTTTAGTAGTTGAAAGAAAAATCGGCAATTTTTCACGTACCTTGTTCTATGCGCGTTTCCGAATCCGAGTCTTGGAAAGTGACTCTGCCGCTCGATTGAGACTGCACTGTTACCAACAATAGAATCGACGTTACCAGCACGTGATAAAGCTGCATCCTGCACTTTCGACAAGTTCACCTGTCGAGACGGAAAATTAGAGCCCCGGTGATAATTGACAAACGACCTCGGTAAACATTTGAACGGCAATTGCTGTACCGGAGAAAGTCCGACGCTGTAAATCGCACGTTAACAATGGGCGTAAAAATCCGACAAGTCTCTCGTTAAATGTAATCCTACTTCATCGACACGCAAGAAAACTTCCTGACCGCCATGGGTGCTTCTCATTAATTCGAAATTCGACCTTCTTTCATGGAACAACCGCTACTTCGATCAACTCCTTTGTACAGTTACACATGTACCGAGAAATATACAAGTGAAACAAACGAAAAATGTATCCGCCATAAACGTGAGCCGAGAACCTCTTAAGCTAATACGACCTAAAATCAGTTAACGGTAAATTAAAAAATGTCCACCAGAAAATTATTTAATAGAAAATATTGTAACCTGACTACAAGTGGGTCCCAGTCGACGTCACGTCGAATAATCTCGATTTCCAATTCTTGACGTTCACTGACGTCATAAGATGCACTAAAGCCACGTGCTCACCGGTCTCCTCGAAAGCACATATCTCGAACGTTCTTTCTCCCTCAGGAGCACTAAACTCGAATCGAGGAATCGAGTTTCGATAGAGTCGATCGATACTCGAAGACTCGGTAGAAGGCGCGAGCTCTTCTCCGGCGCCTCGGTGGGACTCAAAATGGCGGCGAAGAGGTTCCGTTATTTCAACGGGCCAATGAGCGCTCGCTCGTCGAGGAACCGGCTCGTCCTCCTCGAGACAGTTAAAGATCTCGATTTTCCACAAGCGTGGACGTGACTTCGATCACGATTCCAACGGCGGTAAGAATTGAAATTCGCGTCCCGGGCGAAGCGGCGGTTTCCAAGATGGCGGCGCAGGGAGTATTCGGGAGTGCTCGAGAAACGTCTCCAAAAGGATGGAAAAAAAAATCCAATGGCATATTTTCGACCGTTTTACTCACCTGAGTTTCAATTCCAGTCCCAGAGGGCGTCGCGAGATCGAGTGACCATTGTCCAGCCATTTCTGCAGGATTTATACGAGTCATCTCCGGAGGAGAAATGCGTGGGTAGTCTGGAGAAAGAGAGCCAAATGCTCAGAAAAATCGAAAGTGAAAGGGGTCCAGGATGCTGGGCCGGAACTTGAGGTCCGATGACTCTTGGGGAGAGTTCAAGTCCACCGACCCCGGAGTTACATGTCATGTACTTGTATAAGCTTTCCTTATATGTGCGGTCATAAACGATGTGCGTCATTCGCTGTTTTGCACTTTTCTTTCCTGGCTCACGTTACATGTCCTCTTTCACATTTTTCCTTTCATATTTAAGGCGACGCGAAAGGGCCATTCTATATACCAAAGCATGAAATTATTTATAAAACTTATTTCCAAACCGGATACTGAAACTTACAAAAAAGTTACAATCATGTTATCACGATTTAAATAATAAACCGCACTACTTAAGTAACGAGGGTTTAACAATTGACAGCGTGATTAAGAAATGTTAAAATAGTTCATCGTGCACTCAGTTTATTTATGCACCTCTCTATACAGACTTAGTCGAGAACTTATGTTTAACACTCATTTACAAGCAAAATTATCGCAGCCGGAGCTGGATGCGACCATTATGCAAATTCCACCTGGGCTCGATCCCAAGGAGATAAATAAGGGAATAAATAAATAAATAAACACGGGAAGTCGTTCCCAGGCATTCGAGCATGCGCAATGGCCGCATTGTGGCGCGCGCCTAACCGCACTTCGGATGAACAAATGGAGAAGACAACGAGTAAATACGAAAAGGTAAGTAGAAGGCAGAGGGAGGAAGAAGAAGACAGAAAAGTTGACGGAGAGGAACATTCCCCGCAACTTGGACTCGATCCGACACTGATTATGTTCGAGTAAACGTTATCAATCGACCATATCACATCCACCGATCACTCGCTTCGAGTCTGACTCCATCTTGATCATCTTGACCATATTCCAAAATTCCAGGTCCATGGAAAAAAATAAAAGAACCAATTCTCTTGGACCACCAGGGTCCAGATCATCGTTCCAATGACCATTAACCAATTATCCCCTGGTCCATATCTTAAGGGGGTGCGAAAGAGGCATCTGATCAATGGTTCATGAAACTCATCCCATTCACGTTGTAAATATGTAAACTAATCGGTACACCGAGTTTGGAGTAAAAATTGATAAACTAGACCTCTTTGACGGCACTTCCGCATCCCCTTAAACCTCTGCTACCATTCCTCGTTAATACTCTTCCAGGCACAGCGATGAGCAAATTTATGAGCAAAAAAAGCTATTTGCACCATTTTGCTCCTCACTGCCTAGGTGCGTCTTCCAGCTTCTTCGGCAAGGACCCGAGGACGAGTTGTCAGGATCTCTTGAAACCTGCCCTGGTTCCCATGATCCTTGACCCTCGTCCTCCGTTTCACAGCTTCCTGGCGTGCACCAGCTTGTCGATGTCCTGGTAAGTAGCCAACATGGCCTGGTTCTGCCTAAAAGAGTGGTCCTCCCTGGGCAGGTCGCACCCACTGTACATGTCCTCGCAGTTGAGGCCATCCTGGCCATCCTTGGCGGCCTTCATGTACCTGAAGAACCGCAGGACGTCCGGGTTGTCCGAGCTGGGTTTCCGCAGCTCGTTCAGCTCCCTCGACAGCTGAGCCGAGACCAGGTTGGAGTACGGTGCGTACCTGGCAGGACTTCTGTACATCGCGCAAACGGCATACTCCCTGCAGGGCTCGGTGGTGTGTCCCAACCTGGAGAATACGGCATCCAGACGGGACAGAAGAGGCGAGTAGAAGGGGTCGTAGTTGGTCAGGAGCAACGAACTCGAGGGAATCTCGTGGAAAACCTGGAACCGATCGCGGATGTCAGTGTCACGCGATCCAGGACTTGGTCCAGGACCACTTGAGTCCTGGAGAGACCCGAAGAAGAGCCTTCGAGTCTCCTAGGCTTAATAAAAAGACATTAAGAGACTATTTGCTCGATGTCGATTTTCGTGTCAGACCATCGTATGTCTGGAAACTCGACTAAGTGCCCCCTTCCCGCCAGGCGGAATTACCGCAATGACAGTCTTCTCGGCGGATGCGTTTAGACGCGATCCTTCACGGGGAACAAACGGGGCAACTCCGCCTGTTTCAGCTCCGACAATTGTGCTTCTTTGTTCTCGACCGCGCGAGACACGTTCCGGCCTAGAGGAGGCGCCTTAAGGTTGTACGTGCACCGACTGAAACTCTTTTTTCCTCTTCGTCCAGTCTTTAGCGTCCGTTTAGCAGGGACTTCGAAAACTGGGTCCTCGAAAGTGGACATTCTTTGCATAGTACGTGAGCGGAAAGGGGACACCGGAGACCGGTATTTTAGACATGGACTTTCGAGCTCCCGTAGAGGTGGGCTTGGTCCCCGTTAACGAGGAGCCTCTTAAATTAATTACTATAGAATGTAGAAAAGGAAAATCGACGCTGGTCGTCGAGAAAAACGGTCTTCGTCTTGGCCTTCGCGGGATCGGAAAATAAAAGTGACATTTGTGGCGGAAGAGTTCATTCCTTGATTTTTCAGGAACCCTGAAGAGTACCTTGAAGTCCTGCTTCTTGGTGAAGCTGTGATGCATCGCCGAAGACGAGGGTCTGTTGTAGTACCGATCCGACAGTCCATTCATGTGAGAGATCCTGTGGTCGACGTAGCTCAGCCTGGACGCGATTTCTTGGTTCTTTTGATTGGAAGCCATTGTTTCGTCGTACATGGCCGCTGCCGGAAGAGTACCGAGAGGTTGTCGGGTCATGTAGTCCTCGTTGTACAGGTCGGAGTTGTCCTTGAACTCGAAGGTCTCTTCGGGCTGTGCCGTGACACCTTGCGAGGACTGCGCGAAAGAGCTGACACCTGAAGGGAATAATCCTTCTTGATTAACCGAGAAAATTCGCTTGATAAGGGATAAAAAAAATATGAAAACTTGACGTCACTCACTCTTGCCGACGATTTTACCGATGCTGCCGATGATGCTTGGGAGGAAAAGCGCGATGAGGACGCTCTTGATGATCTGGGCGCCGATGATCAGCGGCAACAGCAACTTCTTCAGGCCGAACGCTAGAAAACCAAGTCCGAACCCTGTTAAAAAGGTACTCTTTCCCTGAAAGACGGCTGAAAGCAAAAGTACCGGCCAATTAAAGCGCTGTTAGTCCTGGAAAGCCATGCCGTAGCTCCGCTCCTCGGAAGCTGCGAACCTGAAGAGCCTGACGTGAGCCTGGAGCGGAAAGTGTCGACTGGACCACGCAAAGGGCAAGTAAAAATGGAATTAAAAATGTCCTTGAATCTGCCCAGGCTCGAAATGTCCTGGGAAGAGTTCAGGTCTTCGCGAAAGCCAATAGGAGCGAGAAGCGTGAGCTTTTGGGGACTTTTGCAGATGCTGAAGTGCGGCCACCTCTTCGGGTGCTACCTTACCAAGTGGTACCGAGTTATGCAATGTCACCGGAAGTGGTAATAAGTGCTGGTACCAGATACTTCGTGCCCGGCAGGAATTTCAAGCCAATTAGGAAGAAGCGTTCTCGAAGAACCCCGACATCATGGTTCACCAGGTGATTCCAAGTCCAAGGGACAAAATGACAAATCCGTCTCCTCCAAGAACTCTTTTGGAATTTCCTTTTAAAAAATCACTCGGACCAGGTGAAGCATGCGTCGGGATCCCAGGACAAAAAATCAGTGTTTGGCAGCCAATTGTCGCGAAAAACCAATGGAAGCAATCCGAAGGCATTGTTAGCTCGTTTGCATTGTTAGATCGGGGACGACCCTGGTCGTCCTGGACCAGGTGGGTCCTGAAAACTCTGAGCGAAAAAAATTTCACTGTCGGGTGATTGTTGCTGAGCACTCCTTAAATATAAAAAAATAATTGATGCAACGATAAATCGATAGGCGAGGTCAGGGGGAAGCTCACCTCCGAAGGTCCTAGCCTTCCTGGGAGAGAGCAGCTCCTTCGGGATCTGTATCCTCAGGATGTGCTCCCTGGCATATCGTTCAACCTTGTCCAGAAAAGTTTCGGGACGATCCCCACCCTGAGTGCCGTTTCCTGTTTTCAGGATCTGCACGTATCCTGTCAGGTTGTACGTGTCCAGCTTTGCGAGCCCGTCGACCACCTCTTCGAAGTAGTCCTCGAGGCACTTCGAGGTGAAGTTGACCTCGCACCAGGAAGAGATGTCCTTGGAATCCTTCGGGGAGTCAGGGGCGATCGGGTGCTCCGTGGAGGGACTCTTCGCGTCCTCTTCGGAAGGACTCTTCGCGTCCACCTGGATCAGCTGGGTCGCGTCGAGGTCGAACCTCGAAGGCTTACCCTGAAGAGCGTGGGGATGGTCCTTCGAGTAATCGGTCTCGTTCGCCTGGAGAACCTCGTTCAGCTCCACCCTCTCGGCTTCTTCGGGGTCCTTGATCTCCCTCGTGACGACCTCGACCTTGGACCCCGCGGCTAGACTCGCGAGAGACAAAGTCAGGGCCAAGGTCACGGTCAGGAGCACTGCTCCTCCCACCTCTCTGGTCATCCTCGGTTCCCCTTTCTCTTCAGGGTCTCGTGCAGCTTCCTCGCCGCTCACTGAATCCACTCCTGCACCTTCCGCAGGTACATCGCGCTCCACCTGCTCGAGTCTGCCGCCTGGTACCTGAAGAGAATCCTTCAATTATCCATCTTATCGTCTTAGACTTTCGGTATCATCGATACATCGCGAATAGAAATGGAGGAAAAAAATTCTTTTCCAGCTAGACACCCATCGGATCAATTTTCATGGTCCAGCCTGGTACCTGAAGAGAATCTTAAACTGATGGAAGGATTTTCTGGTGGGTCCTATGGACCACGGGATGATCGGTCTTTCTCAGCCAAGAAAGACGGAATTCGTTCGGAGAACAGATTCGGCTCTCGATCTCGAAGGTGGACCAATTTTCGTGGTCCAGCCCGGCGCCTTTCACCGGGTAACCCATTCGTTCCTCCTCTCCTCTCTTTTATGGTCCACGAGGATCCTCAGGATTCCTCGAGATCAACGAACCCGGCTTTTACATCTATGAGATATTTAACACGACCCGAATAGCTCCTCCACATTTTGGCCAACTTTCATCGGCTCCTCTACATCATACACGGATTTTCTCCACGAAGTTCGTCAAACTCGTACGAAAAGAAATCTGGAATTTATGGAGAGGCAGGTTTTACGAGAATTTTACGTCGGGGAGGAAAAGGTGGTCGCTGGGATTCTCGATTTAGGAAGCTTCGATTAAACGGGTCGATCGAATATGTGTTAATATGTTAGTACATCCGGTATGGAGAACCGGTTGCCGAGCACCATGGAATTCCCGTAAATTGCGGGATAGCCATTGAAATCGCAAGAAACATTGTTCTTCCAGGGAGCTCCAAGTGGGACGGAAAGTCGGCTTTTTGCGCCTTTCAATTACGTTAATTAAATTAACCGCCATTTTTTATCCCGATATGAAATACCGGCTTCTCGTCACAGATCCTGAAAGATTCAGGTGCACGATTTCAAGGTTCCGTTTTCTCTTCCCGGAATTTGACTTTTCGAGATCGACCAACCTTGATGCCGAAGAGCAATTTTTTTTCTATCGCGTTAATCAACCACTATCTGATTTATACTTTGTCTAGTAATCAAAGGCGGTGCGTTTGACAACGGTACCAGTTGTCAATTTGAGAAATAATGGACTTTCATTAAGGATATCGACCGGTACATTGCCGGTGAAGGTACCAGCCTTGAAATCGTACCATTACCTCTTAGCAACTTCTTACTTTAACCAAAAAATATTCTACAAAGCCAAACAACTGCAAACACTTTCCCCAGGTCGTCTCCAAATAAAAATTTACAAGATGAAAATCTAGAAACTTAAGGCGGTTAAAAAATGGCGTCAAACTCTCGTTTCTGAAGCTTTTCTCTGAACTAGGTGCATCGAATCGTTTGAAATTTTACAACATGAATATAGAGGCTATAAGGAAGGTCACCCATGAAATTACCATTTCTAAAATATGCCTATATACATATTAAAAAATATTTAATAAAGGTTAAAATTTCATGAGTGCATCCACGTTCACTTTGCAAAGTTTAAACCGATTCGATGCACCCAGTTCGGGGCAATCGCATCCCCTTAATTATAAAGACGTCTAAAAATGTCCAATTCCCTTTTTCCCCATCTCCGGATACTCACGAGTGTCTCGAGTAGGTCTCATCAACGCGTCCTTCCGTGGTCCATTTATCCGGAAGACACGAGACCGAATCCAAGATGGCCGCCCTGGTCCCGCCGATCGTCCGGACCTCTAAAGAGAATCCAGCGAATCCTGGAATATCGAGGAATACTGGCGATGGAATCGATCCCGGCCTTCTAAAAGGAGGAAAGGCGACAGATCTCGAGGTCTGTTGGTCGTCTTCGGCGGACGACACGGTACTGGCCGATGGCGGCTTCGAATCGTCAGTGGAGGCGCCTATCTAGGTTAGGCGGCCATCCGACCAGGCGTGTATACGTTCCTTCCCTCGACGTTCGTTCCCTGTATAGCTCGGTCCAGGTTGCGACTCAAGTTCAGTCTGGTCTGACCGAGGACAGTTCTTGACACGCGTTGAAAGATGCATCTTTGGGTCTCCGAGTCCGTTTCCGGAAAAACGGTGCTTCGCCGTTCCGCCGATGACTTCCTGTTTGAGACGCCGTTCCAGAGACGAAAACTCCACGAGTCTTTTTTACGGTACCTAGTAACTGTGCAGGTGTTCGCGAGAAATGAAATCCAATGAAAATCCATAGAAAGTAAACACCAATGAACGATTCCTGCCCAAAAATCGAGTATAAACGTGGAATTACTGTTAATTTTCAGCAGTTTTTCAAGACGACGCGAGGGGGTCGTGATCCAAGATGGCGGCGCTCTCCTCCGCGTCCCTCGCTGAGATGGTTGAATGCTGGAATAGTAATGGGCGTAGCAATCCTCGAATGTGCGTTTATAGAAATCGCCGAGATAATGATATCTAATCTTGCCGCGGATAAGTGTATACATGTACGAGTTTACAAACTCTTCTTGTAATCGGAATACGCTTACATAAGTGAGAAACCCGGAATTCCAGCAATTAGGACTCTTTCCCTGGGAGATATCGTGCTAGCCCCTCGGGGAGAAGAAAAAAAGAGACCTGCGGAAAAAGAAGGAACACGAGTTGCGGACTTGCAAAGCGTACACCCATCCCCGACGCCATTGACTCGTCCCCGTTATGTTAATGCGACTTTTTCACTCACCTGACGTGTACGCGAGCTAACGGTCTCCTCGTGTGAGTGCCGGTTGCCGTATCGATGCACTCCGATTCCTACTGTTTTCCCTGATCATTGTAATTCAACGCGATCGCAGGAAATTGAGGCGCGCCGCCATCTTGGATTCATCCTGGCGTCCCCGACGCCGACGCTTCCCCTTCTTGGGGGCGTATTTCTCGATAACGGCTCTTCGGGACTTCGAAACTCACACCGAATGACCGTGGCCGAGAATGTGGGATGCTTTTTCGCGAACGGGGGCCTTTCGTTCGATGTATGTGCCCGGGAATATGCGAATGTATTTCGAAGTGACGCGCGAGGCGTTTCAAGATGGCGGCCGCTCGACTGGCGCGCGCCCAAATCTGTCAGTGGGTCAGTCGAGCGATGAGGCCGATGGACTTCTTTTCCAGATGCGACCTTGGCCCAGGAATCACCTCGTAAAAGCATTTTAAAGGGAAATCGAAACGATGCTGGAGAAAGAAATTTAAATAACTCGAAGGGGACGAGATACATAAATAAATCTCTTCGGGGTATTGTACTGTGATGATGAACTAATACTGAAAAATTAATTAAAAATGGACAAACAACGTATAATACACAGGATGCAGAAAGGAATATATGGCGTAACAATGTATTCGGTGATTTTCACGATAAGTTCGGCCGGATTAATTAATGATCACTATTTTTTATTTAAAAGATAGAAAGTGCTCACCGCGGGGGAATCGCGGTGGCGGCTGGTTCTTTGTTTTTTTCTTCTTCTTTCGTGAAAAATGGCAGAAAGTTTGTCATATTGCGTGATGTCACGTCGACGTTCGTTGTCGAGTTAAGGTAGACTGAAAGTAGATGGAAAATCCCGAGGTGTTATTATGTATTCATGTAATAGTGACAGAGAAATCAGTCCGCGTCTGACTCGAGTAGTCCCGAAAGAAAGTTCTCTGGAAAAAGAAATTCGAGGAGTAAGACTTCTCGAGACAGCAAAAACTATTCCCCCGAAGAGCGTCACGTCGAGACTTCTAATTCTAACTAACGTGTAAACGCAATGTACTAATTCTATCGGCACACAAAATATCGCCTTTCTCTCTTTACGCGCCTCCTGTTAACCATACTCTACTTATTAACGTAAAACCAAACTTTACAGAGTACAATCTAATATTTGGGATGCAAAACAACCTAAATTAGGAATAAATAAACCCTCGTCGTGATTAATCATCGTGATTACCACGAGAAATCCTGAAATTAATGGCGCCCTTGCGGTGGAATTTCGTGCGGTGGAAACTCGAAGACAATTCCAAGGTGTAGGGAAATTATTCGAAATTACGTTTCACTTAGGAATATCGTTATCTCTTCTGCGAGTGATATCAACCATAAGCTCCATGGCCATATCCGCCATAGCCTCCATAACCTTGAAATCCATGGTGGAAGGGATGACCTTGGTAGTCATTCTTGTGGTTCCATTCTTGCTCGTCATGGCCGTAACCTGAATCGGAGTAAAAAAATAATTATGCATTAAATATATACGCTGAGAAGCAATTCAATGAACCAGAGAAATATTTTCTTAATTAAAAGAATAAGTATTTCTCTGGCTCGATGAAATTCTTTTTTTTTGTGTGTACTTTAATATTTAACCTTTTTGTATATTTTTCACTGTTTTAAGAAATAACTCTCGACTCGCTTCCTTTTCCTAGAATTCTTCGCGATTTCTCCCGTAGGCATTCTTAAAGTCTCCTCACGAGAGACTTTAATGACCGGTCACGCACGTCGTGACAGAAACTGTAATCTATGCCGCCGAGAAAATTACCTAATAGGCTAATGCTTATATTGTTCGTCAACCGAGAGTTCGCCATTACCAATTAGAGGTATTACAGGTGCGAATCGTTTAAAGAAAATGACAAGGCTCCCTGTAACCTCCAACCGAAAAACCATCGCGTGATCCTTTTTCATCTCACTTTCCTCCCACCAAATTTAATACCATTGAAATTAAATTTCATATCAAGATGCACCGAGGGAAAAAATGCAACAACGTCATTTGCTAGCACTTTTAACTAGGAAGGAAGTAGAAAATTAAAGTACCTGTCGGGTAGTCAACAGGTGTATCCGCGGCGGTGCTCCACAGATGATGAGGTTGAGGATGAGGCGACCTGCAGATTTTCAGGTGTTTCAAAATGGAGGGCAGCAACAGCGAGCCGAAAACTAGGAACTTCTTGATGAAGTGCACCCCGAAGAGGATCGGCAGGATGAGTAACTTCAGTTTAAACAATTGAATCAGCACGAGGATCGGCAGGATCAAGGACTTCTTCTTCTTGAAGATCCGGTGCTGGTCGGCTGTAAAATAAATACACATAATTGCACGTCCAATTTCGTAACAAGCGTATTAACGTGACCGTTCTTTGCCAATTATTTCTTTTTATGTTTAAAATTACAAGCGTCGACCTTTCGACCGACTACTCGGCCAGGTCGATAATTGTCCGAGGTCTTGAAGTCAAACCAGTCACGGTTAGCCGTAAAGACGCTAATCATAGCCATAAGTGTCTGGAGAAAGCCAAAGTCAACTGCAAGTTACGTGCAAGCGACATCAAGGTGCACGCGACTATTCCTCGACCGAGAAACTCGGAAGTGAAGTTCAAGTGCAAGTAAAGTCGATTTACCGCGTTTTATCGCCATTGACATAAAAGTGCACCCTTTCGATAATATCAAAAAGTTTCAATTAACAAAATATTTCTTTGGTTCAATGAAATTTTTTTTCTCGGAGAGCATTAGCGTTTGTATGTCAGCGGCTAAACGAGTTTCGTAGGTAATCAATCTGAACATGTTAACATGCGAATGTCGCCGATTGAGTTTAAGACATGCAATTCTCCGACCCGTTGCACTTTGCGGTTCAGCGGCCTCCTTAAGCCGCGACTTCCTCAAAGCAGTTTCAACGATGAACGACCACGTCTCGTTAAGTTAATAGCGTATGAACAGCCTCGTATTAAGATGATGTAAACCTCCAAAGCAGTCGATTTAAAAAATTCACTAGAACGTTCCTTTAAAAAAATGTCTTTTTCGAATCGATTTTGGGGTTTCGCATCACCTTAACGTAGCTCCACCGGTACCCACTTTTCCAGCCCCTCTTCTGCAAGTCCCTGATCTCGTCTTCATCGACGACCGTCAAGCCCGTGAAGAAGCTCCTCGCTCCCGAAGAGTGATCCACGGTGTACACCAGTGCTCTCCTGGTGATCATCTCTTCGGCAACATCCCTGAAGAAGTTCAAGGTCTCCTCGACGCCGCTTCCACTCCCCCTTGACCTCTGCACCTTCGGTAGGAACGATTCGCCCGACAGGATGGGAATTTCTATGACCCTCACCGGTCCATATTGGAGGTCCTTAAAAAAAATAATAAAGCGGTATAAACTACACATTACCGCGCGATAATTGTCGGATGAATTATTGAGCTCTTCGGGGTATTTTTTTCACCTTTTCCCTGGCCACGTCGCGCAGCCAACGCACGACTCTGTGTTTCCCACAGGCCAAAGGAGTCCTATGAACCACACAGTCGATCCTGCATCGTTCCACGAAATCATCCTGAGGAAACCTCCCGATATCCGGAACCACGTGTCGGATGCACAGGAGAACCAGAGCCACCCTCTCCAGGAACCTCCCCATCTGGTTTGGAATAGATTTCCTGAAGAATATCCGAGAACAGCCGCACTTAGGACGGCATCGTCGTCGAAGACCTCTTAAACCGTCCCTACGTCTTCAAGAACTTGAAATCCCCGCTTATCTTCACGAAGTAACCATCAGCCCAGAATTCGTCCCCAGGAGTCCATAAACCTAGATTTGCCCTCTTCGGGGTCTTCACTCCATGCCAGAGTTCTCAGGAGTCATCTTGCAGACGCGGCCATTTTGGAGAACGCTGTTCAACCTCGGGGCGTGATCCAGCATCCGGAGCGGAAATATTTCCGCTTCTGGAAGCGTTTCCACCGGTAATCGAGAATCCGAAACGAAGAAGAGGACCTTGAAGCGAAGGTCGGGCGGAAGCGGTACCAAGGCTGCACCACGTGGTTTTGATCCAGGTTGAAGAATTCCGAGCCGGATGGAGATTGATGAACCGTTAAGATTAATTAAACCGAGTGCAGGCGGAATCCGCAGTTTCGGATTAGAAGACTAAGTTTGCGATCACCTTAGATCCCACTGGGCTGCGGGAAGGTGTCATGGCCATATATACGAGAGCCATATAGGTCGGTGGGGATGGACGCCGTTGCTTGGGTCCATCTTGGTGCTCCTTCGGCTGGTCTCCAGGTATTCTACAAGTATCTCACTCTATCTCCGTATAAGTGTATCACTAGGCCTGGACCAGTTTGATCAAGACCGCTGGGTGCACCGGTGCACCGATGCACCGATTCGCTGCAATGGGAGGAAACACCCAACTAGGTGCTTCCTGACCTAGGGGATGGCTCGATCTGCAAAGACCAACCTTTCGCATGATTAAAAGAATTCCATAAACAAAGCAGGGATTTCAACGTCTTCCTCAAGGTGGATCGCCCTGGAAATATCAATCCTATCTTCGTGTCACCATAAATTCGAGATATTTCAACCCCGGATGCTGAGGGCCCCATTTTGAAGAATCTCCACCATGGATTCATCTCCCTGATGTTCCTGGATTATTTTCGAGAGATGTTTTCGATTCGCGGTGCACCTGCAGAACGTCAATGGTCCGCTGGAAGGATAGCAATTTCACCGGTGGACATTTTTCCAGGGGAGCTTAAGATGTAGAATGTCGGCACGGACGTGGAGGATCCGATTGTCGCGGATGGAGATCGTCCCTGATCACGGGATGCTGGGATTCCATGGTAAAAACTGGCGGACTTGCAGCGTGGAGAGTCGCATAAGCGCGGCTAGGAGCAAAGAGCATTAAAACACTTAGGATGTAGCCTCTTTAGCGGGACCGGTTTTGCGTTAGACGAGGCGCCATTGGAATCCCATGGAACATGGTCCCATAGGACGATTATTCAACGGGATGTTACGTACCATTGCAGGCGAAAAGCCAGTTGAACCATGCCCCAAGACCCGATGGGACCTCCTTTCATAACCAATAATCATTCCTAGCCAGATCCGGGTGCACCACTGCAAGTGTCCCATTTTCTGCCAATCTCCCCTCTAAAAAATATTAATATTTTGCAACGTTTTTCATTCGCTTTTTAACACGTTTTCAAATAAAATACAAGACAAATGCAAACATTATACGATTTTAGTTGTTTCACAAATTTAAAAATTCATGATAAATATGGACATTGAGATGAAAATTCATCGAACCGAAGAAATATATTCTTAGTTCAAAGAATAATTATTTCACTTGAATAAACTCACGTGATGATGATAACGAAAAAACGTTCAAAATTGGAGAAAAAAATTCTTCGTCTTGATTCTTGGGTAGGACTTTTACTTTTACCCTAGAGGCCTTGAACAATGCAGCTCCGCAAAATGCATCTGCATCCTGATGCAGTCGGTATCTGGGAACGATCGGAGAACCGTGAGAAATTAATCGAGGAAACGGAGGATAATTATAGAGCGATCGTGGAAATGGAAGTTAATGGGTACCTGCGGTTTTCCGGCCGCGGAAAACGCACTCGTCCAGCAACCCATTAACCCTTTTCGCACAGTGCACTAATCGAGCGACATTAATCGATTATCGCATTGTACACTGCGGTCATGAGTGCCATTTCTGCGGACATGGTGCAATAAGAATAATAAAAGTCGATCATGATCGGCAAATGTGCCAATTTCGAAGACCTATGTATAAAACTGGCTGTCTTATCAAAACCGGTACACGGGAATCTAGGAAGTGCAGAATGCTCTATACATGTCTTACTAATCTCAATTATGCAAGCCTGAAGTGCATAAAGTCGGCCAGCCTGGTGTCCCATAAACTAATTTTTTTTTTTTCCCCCATATCCAACTGGCATTATAAATTACGTGAAACTCGGTTTATGACGAATCGACAGCCGGCATTTTTTTTTTCTCACGGGAACGTCTCTTTTCAACGAGAATCCGGTTTCAATTAAATGCAACCTGTACATGTTCAATCGAGGACAAACCGATCCGGTGAAATAACGTCCCATTAAGTCGATTTTTCCAGCTCAAGTCTGAGAAAAACCACAGAATTGAATGGAAGAATCTTTCTAATTAAAAAAAAAAGAGATTTTTCAATCCCACTCTTTATCATTTCAATTACTCATATCAACGATCTCCTAAGAGTATCCTGATCCAGATTATTAATCACTACCATCGGCGGAGTTAATAAATGCTGGATTCACCAAAATTATGAAACAATTCGGCATAATATATTATATGCATTTCTCTTCTTGCAGTTTCGTCCCTGGAAAATGTTTCGGTATTAAGGATGTGCAAAAAGCGTAATTCTCGGAGTAATTTCCAACGCGAGATGAGGAGCAGTTCATCGGATCGAGGTTTCTGCAATCGGAGCCATTTGGCAGCGTTACGGATGCATTATGATTCGCGAAATGCAACGGATGCACGCAGTCAGTAGTGCACGTCGTAAATAGAAACTGCCTCCATCTTCTGCATTCTGAATGTCGGCGTTCACGCCAATTTCGTCAGTTTCGTTTCACTATGTTTACCTCGCGATGCATATTACCCTACTAATGACGCCATTCTCCTGGAGCGGCGGTTTGCCCATCGAAAAATGAGAAAAGAATCGGCATTTCTTTTAAGGAAATCACCGTTACGCCTAATGAAGAGACCGGAAAAATGCGCCGCCATCTTGGAACTCCCAAAAGTCAAAGAATTCCATTTTTCCGCTTCCCTTCTCTAATATAAGAAATGGCATTAAATTGGCATTTATTTGAAATACTTTTTAAAAGAAACGTCGGGAATATATATCCGATCTCGGCCAAGTGACCGAGAAAAGTGCAAAGTGGGATTTGAAAAATTACGACCTTCGCGAGTTTCGTGTCCGGTCGATTTTATGGCGATTATATCGATTACGTGTGATTGCTGCGAGGAAGATCACAAATGAACATGTTCACTCTGGATCGAGCAACTTAAATTATAAGACTAACGATGGGATGGCAGGTGCTCGTTAGTATTTCTAGATCGACGTTAACGTAGCACATGTGACCTGTTTAATAAGATTGATAAAATAAGTACGTAAATAACGACAATACAAATTGATTCTAGTGTATTGAGCGAAGGATTTTGGTAGATCATTTATCAGTCAGCGGTGTCAGTGCGACCTAAATGGTAAAAAAAAAATGTGCACGTCGAGCAAAGTTCGGTAACGAGATTTCCACCATCTGTCGCGCAGAGAATGTCGGTTCTAGTATGAGGGGATTTATGGAAAAATGGCAAACAGGATGTCGGAGACCGGTCAAGCACCTTATTCTATCCATCACGATAACCTCCTGTTCGATCGAACTGTGTCGATGTCGGCAAATAAAAATTGTCCAGTCTCTTCGTTGAGGCGGCCATTTTGAAAGACACCCTCTTTCCCGCCTGAATTAGGCTGAGGGGTATCACGTGACAAGTGCCCGAGCCGCCCGCATTCTTCACCGAGGACAGGACTGAACGTGTTCACCCGACCCAGCCCGTGAAGAATCTCCCAACTCATCTTTGTCTGCTATTCTGAGTTTAACCTGTCGAAAATGACCACGAAAACTAGCTTATCGGCTGACTAATAATTTAAAAGGTTTGTAATGCGTCGAAATACTTTTATTTCCTCGAAGTTTCACATTTTTTCGACTAATGTACTGCGTAATTCGCCATGAGGTTTCGTCAATAAATTCGTCCCCATCCTAACCTCAAATCGTGTTATCTTCTCCTGAATACCAAAGACGTAATCGAGTTGCCAGTTTGTCCGCCAAATTGAAAAGTTGGTGTCGGTATGACGTGACTTAACTCGAAATCTGGAAGTATGTAACCTTATTTTGGACCAAGGATTTTGGAGTGCCAGATGTAAGAGATTTCTCGTAGACTTACGAGAGTTGAATTGTTGCTGCAGTTCGTCTTTAGTCCAGTTACATGATGTCAGGACAAGCAAGCCATCTCGTCCTAGAAGATCGTACATACTTTGGATATACCTTTCCTTTTTTTCCTTAGGATTATCGGGACTCAAGCTAACCGCGTCGTAAGTGCCCTTATCGTGAGCTATTTTAAAATCTGATTCCAATCGTATGCGGTCGCTCAAAATATCACACACTGTTAATTTAATGTCAGGGTATCCTTTATCATTGGTAACCTCTCGGGCCAAGTCGATAGCTTTTTTAGAATAGTCGATACCAGTCAGGTTCGTAAATCCAGCTTCTGCTAATTTAACCAGCATCATTCCGTTACCGCATCCCACGTCGATAATCTTGTCACTAGTTTGTAGAATTTCTGGACTCGAACTTACCCACCTGTTTGATGGAAAGAAATTTCTCCTCGTTATAACATATTTAAAGCGTTTCCTAAGAACCTGTTAAGAGCAATTTCAGAGTACTTCCCTAATGATACGTAAAGCGCTATCTTCCCCGAACCATATCTCTCCAACATCACCATGACTCTTAAAATTATCAATCTCCACAGAGTATGTTTTCTCCCAACTGTAAAATGCATAGAAGAGATAATCTTAAACATTTCTTTGAGGAGTAATTAGCGACATTTATGATGGTACTTACTATTCCTGAGTGCCCAAAACTGACGGATTTAATTCCCCTGTGCACTCTGTCATCATTAATTTATGATGATTTTAAATATCCGTAAATTTCCAAGAAATAATTCTTCCGAAAAATCTGTCGTTAATATCACGTGTTGAAACCGGTGTGAGAACGTACCTAGGTTATGTGACGGCGACTGCATTTCTAATCACGGAATAGATGCTAACCTAACCTCTTGCAATACCTGAGAATTAAATTGATTCAGTGTGTCATTGCGAATGATTTGACAAATCTGTGTCTCGAAACTAACATATTTTTTCTATCTGAATTGTTGCAATAGTTGCATTCGACTAACTCAGCATGAGGATTGCATATATTTCCAACTTACTCCTTTTTGGTAAGTGAAAAGAACAAATGCAAGTACTGTCATTAGATTATAAAATAATTGAAATGGTTAAATCAAAACGAAACTGGCTACTTTATCATAGGGGTGATAATTTTTTGTCAGAATGAAGAATGAATTGCCTTTACTTTATTTTTGTTGAAAAATTCTAAGTACTCTACAAAAATAATCATTTAAAGGTAAGCAATGTGCGAAAATACAAAATCGCAATGTTCGTCTTGTGGCGACGGCTGCCCAGGTTAAACGACAGGAAGACGTTAAGCCGAAGACAGCGATACTGATGTTGAACATGGGTGGCCCAATTAATATCACCAAAGTGCCTGAATACCTCTTACGTATTATGACCGATCGTGACATGATTCAACTTCCAATGCAAAGGTTTGTTTTATAACAAGTACCTCTGAGATAGATTTGCATCAGAATTATGTAAAGGGTGATTCTATTGACCTTAGTCAATTAGGACCATGGATTGCCAAAAGGCGAACAGCTGATGTACAGAAAAAGTACGAGGAGATCGGAGGTGGCTCACCTATTTTAAAGTGGACTAACAAGCAAGGCGAATTGTTGTGCAAACAGTTAGATAAAATTTCACCAGAAACGGCACCACACAAACACTACGTTGCTTTCCGATACACCGATCCTTTGACAGAAGATGCTCTCAGAGATGTAGAAGCGTAAGTAAGATTGAATATCACTATAAAAAATAAAATATTGGATTAATCTATGATTCTTTTTTAGGGACAACGTTGAACGTATCGTTGTATTCTCACAATATCCTCAGTATAGCTGTGCGACGACAGGATCGAGCTTTAATGTCATACATAATTATTATCAGAAATGGTATGATTTTGTATTTACGATTTTATTTCCTTTTGATACAATTATTTTAATTCTGGCTTATCGACTTTCCATTAGGCCAGTGCCACAAAATATGAAGTGGACTATAATTGACCGATGGGCCACGCATCCACTTCTTGTTGAGACTATTGCAGAGCGAATCAAAGCAGAATTAATTCAATTTCCCAGCAATATAAGAGATGATGTGATAATTCTCTTCTCAGCGCATTCCTTGCCATTAAAGGTTAGACATAAAATATTTTAACTGTTATCGTTAAGTGTCCAGTTTTTTACTTTTTTATCTACAATTTCAGGCAGTGAACAGAGGTGACCCATACCCATCGGAAGTTGGTGCGACGGTGCAACTAGTCATGGAAAAGTTGAAATATTGTAACCCCTACAGTTTAGTCTGGCAGTCGAAGGTAAATAACCAAATAGATTCAGTAAACAAATTTTTTCAATGTATTCAGAATGATTTAATAATTTATTGAACATCGAATAGGTAGGACCATTACCTTGGCTTGAACCATACACTGATGATGCTCTGAAAAATTACGTCAAGCAGGGGAAGAAGAATTTCATTTTAGTTCCCGTTGCTTTCGTAAATGAACACATCGAAACCCTTCACGAGATGGATATCGAATACTGCCATGACTTGGCAAAAGAAGTGAGTCGTTTAAAAATTGAGTGAATATTTTTTATGCTTCATGTATACGTTTTTACAATTTTTAATATTTTCAGCTCGGTATTGAAAACATCAGACGAGCAGCAGCACCGAACGATCATCCACTATTCATACAAGCGATGGCAGACATTGTAGTATCTCGTCTAAGGTCGAACCAACCTGTAAATCCAAAATTCCTCACCCGATGTCCACATTGCGTTAACAAAAACTGTGCAATTAGCAAATCCTGGTATGCGAAGATTTGCAACAAAGTGTAACACCTTTCATAACAAGTTAGGAGTGCGGCATCTATCTCCTATTTATAATAATCTTGCGAAGGTAAAGATTACTTAATGCAACGATTTACAAAAGCGAAGAGATCACAGCATTACATGACAACTTACCAATGACACGGTACCAATTGTTGCCAGCAGCAATCAACGTCAATCATTCTTAACAATTATGGGACGAAAAAGTGCCGTCAAGAGGGATGACGATATATTTTGCTGTGCCGAGTGGTCGGTCTAGAGGCACCTACTTTTTGAAGCATCGTAACCTTTCCTTGTATCATAATCCACAATTTACCACTTCCGTCAAGGAGGAGCGTCAACTGTAAATCATGGAGATGCGCAGAACTTATCGTTACAGATGGCGAGTCAGCTTGTGGTATTACTTCGAGGTTAGTATAATGTACCTTCCGTGCAATTTATGATATAGGAATAAACGCAGTTCATTTTTACCAGTTCCGATTACTGTATATTTCATACACTGAGATATCACTCCGACTCGTGTCAAGACACGAATTGAAATTGGTTAAGCGAACGACGTTTAAAAATTTTCCATTTTTTCCCAATCACATCCCAAATCGAAGCGCATGCTCGAGATCAGCTGCCGCAGCGAGAGGCGTCGCGACGCATCGGCGCTCGGTTTTCAGACGCCCGCCTTAGGTCAGGGCCGTCTCGACCGGGCGCCGGATTTTTATATCCGGCCTCCATTTAATCTTTTCACACGAAATCTTAAAATCTCCATAAAAACCGCGAAACAAAGCCCTACAATCCCTAAAATCCCTCATTCCAGTTCGCGATGCACAATTCTCCCTGTTAAAACGTTACTTTTTAACGAAACATCGAAAAACTATACGACTCGATGATTGCAAACACCCTGTTAAAAGAAATATTATAATCTTATAACATGTTGCAAGAAATTTAGTACATAAGTGTATTAACTCTCCCCGCGCAATTTCACAAAGTTTTAACACGATGTCAAAATTATTAGTCCATTTAGAAATTTCCAATATACGTATGGTAATTCGCTTTTAGGACATGCTTTAATTTTACTACGACCTTATGTACTAAAAGTTCATGATCTTCATGAATATTTCCATCAGGGCACGGTTGCCAATTCATCGAATTTGATAGGTTAGGTTAGTCAAAGTGTAGGAAATCCTGCAAGATGGTGATTTTTTTAATTTAGAATCTTTGGAGGACCAGGAGAGATGTCGAACGTCGGACGGTAGCTGTCAAAGTCAGCTGGTCGCCTAGAAGGAGGGCCGGGTGCGCGCGCATACGGCCCTGGCGGCGCCGCTGGCGCCTATATAACGGGGCCATGGCGGGTCGGGGCGCTCAGTATGTGTCATGCTTCGGTCGCGAGACGGTCTGTGATGGCGGCTCGCGTGCGCTTGAAGATGGGCCGCGGCGTTGCGGCTCTTCCCCTGGTGCTTCTGGTCGCCCTGTGCAGAGCCGGGGACACGGAGGGGGCCTTCGAGCGGCGTCACTGCAGCCACCAGCACCCACGGCCGCACGAGGTTAGTCGGAACAGTCGACGCGGCGACGGGCGAGAGCGAGACGGGACACGCACCCGAGAGAGGGTCTCCGCGCGACGGGCCGGCGACCCTAACCTCTCTACGAGTCGCGTCCCCTCGGGAGCGGCCAGTCGATAAACGCGCGTACCCGCGGCGAGGAGATCCCTTTTTTTCGACCCCCTCGTCCCCCGACCCCACGGTGCACCTGCAACCACCACGTGCTCCGGTCGGTCGACCTTGACAACCTCCAACCTCTCCGGTCGACCTTGCTTTCATTTTTTTTTTCTTTTCAATTTTTAAGGTCTAGGGATTTCGGACACCTCCAGGAACACCCGAAAATCCAGTTTATCCGATCGACTTTTGCAAGTGGCAGTTTTGTGTAGGACTTTTAAGTGTGAACCATAACGCGAGTTCGCGAGGATGCGACAAATTTTGGATGCGGAGAGAAATCCGGAAGAACTCAAGAATTGGGTCCCTGGAGCCACGTGGTCGGCGTCTCGTGGACCTGCGCCGGAGGATCGATGTTTTCGCTCTTGTATTTGCTTCTTTTCGGGGTTAAGGGGATTGCGCATTCCGTAGTTGTAATTTGCGAATCACTGCCTCGAAACCTTGGGTTGACCTGGGGGGGGAGGTGTTGCTCTCGAAATTAGGGAATTATGGAAAATGCCCTTATGGCTGGAACTCCGCTATTCTATAAATAATAGGGGCCGCAGTTTCGCGTCGCAAAGTCCGCTTCCCTAGGGACTAGTACCCCGGAGTTCCTAACGGGGTACCAGCCTTATGGCGCGAGTCGCCAATCTAACCTCAAAGTGCACCCTTCCGGGTAACCTCGCAAGTTTAACGCTCATGGCGCCCGCCCAGCGCCCGACTTCACGCCGCTCGTTTACCGTCCATAAACACCCCTCTGATATAATAAAACATTAACGCCAACGGGGGCAAACTTCACGCGGAATTCCCCTCCCCGGGGAGGGCCGGAGCGAAATCGGAGAAGAAGCGAGCGGGATATCGATGTCCTATTTTTTTAAAACCCTTTAGTCCCGGCCGAAGTCGGCACTTGTAAAACGAGGATATATCGTCGCCCGGCATTAAACGGGTTAAACCTCTTGAAAATCGACTTGAGCGGGAATTTCGAATATTTAAAAATTCACGAGAAACTTCCCGATCGGCGGATAACAATCAAGAGTAAATTGAGAATACTCGAAATGTATCGTACTAGGAGGCAGAAAATTTCTATCTCGTTTCGGGGACTTTGAGGTAATCGCAAGTGTAAATTCCGCTCGTGGCAAAGTTCGGAGGAAGTCGAATAGGCACGGAATTTGTCGCGACGTCTCGTTTTATGGATATCGAGGGATCATGGGAAGTGTAAACCTCCACTCGCGGTAAGAGGCCGATACTCGGAAGTAAGAGGGGTTCCGGAAGTAGGAGTGCCCCCCCCCCCCTCCCCGGGAAATGCACTTACTCGTGCCATATCGGCCACAAGGCTCGTATCCTAATATCAAAGTGCACTTCCTAGGGGAGGCAACTCCCTAGCTCGCCGGGCTTACGGCCATATTGGCCAGGCTTAAGTTTGTTTACGCCGGTTGTTTACGTCCTCGCGAAACAGGAGCGCGTCTTATCGGCCGCGGGGGGCATAATTCGGCTTAACGCGCTGGTGACTTTACCCTGATAAGGACGGACGGTGATAAGGGGTTACACCTCTCCCTTGCCATTCCCAAGTGAGCCTACCACCTGGACAAAGTCCCATCACCTAGAATAATTATTTTGAGAACTGTCAGGTGAGAAAGTTAGGATTTAAGCGAGAACAATTGGCATCGTCGAGGGTGGGGACCTTCCTTGTAGCTTGTATGGTAGCGTTGTAACGTTTGAGACGATTCGGTGTACTCGGTTTTTTTTTTTTCCATTTCGACATATGGCCGAAATTCGTCCGACCGTGCAGGCAATATTCGACCAAACGTCGGGACCTTTAGGCGCTCTTGGGAGCCAAAGGATTAATTTTTTAATCGCGTATATGTCGTGGGGTACGGAGCTCTTCGTCGACCGACAAGGCGCGCCTACTCCCGGGCGTACCTGGAGGCATTGGCCGACCCTGAGAAAAGAGAAGTCGGCAGCGAGTAGGGCAGCGGGTGCGCGCGCATAACGAGGCGCGTGCGCGACGTAATCGGCGACCGTGGCTTTCGCGGCGACCTTTATCGCTCTCGGCTGAAACGCTCGTTAAAGCGAAGCGGAGTCGCCGGTTTCCCCGCGGGACCCTCGAAAACTCCTTTTTGCCCCCGGGCTCGGTTTCGACACCGCTCGGCCGACTGTTTTCTCCTTTTTCCCCCGCGCGTTGGCGAAAAAACAAAATGGCCGCGCGAGAGGAAGAAAGGAAAGAGGAGAAGAAAAAAAAAATATTGAGCCGACCGCTCGCTTCTTTCAAACTCTCCCGTTGGTAAATTTCTGCCCCCGTTAACTCCCGCACGCGGGTGTATATAATTTTCGATCGAACCGCCTCCCCTCTTCCGATACGCAGCGGCGCTAAATGGTAATTAGCAATTAGCAATTAGCGATTACGAACGCACTCGCTTCGGGGGTTGCGCTCTCCAGTGCCATCCATCCGTTTCAATTTCCGAGTATTAATAGACGAGAGCCACTGCCAGCTCCGGACACTTCCGGAGACCTACGTGCACCTCTGCATCCCTCCACCTGTATGCACCTGCACTTGCGCATCCTCACATGCGCGAGCGTCCACTTTTCCTCGTTTGGGTTATGCACTTAATGATATACAATTGTATATTATTCGGGCGACTCGCCTTTTCTTTCTCCTCGGGGTGACTTACGCAATTTACGGGGAAATTATCGCGGCCCCGTTTCTCGGTTCTCCAAAATGGCGGAGAGAGAAGAAAAGGAGGAGGGCCCACTTTGCGTCGCTTACGCAAATTGCCCGGCTCGGATTTTTTCTTTCATCCGTTTCTAAAGTCTCGCGAAGAGTGTCTCGAAGCCGAGGCTTTCGTGGATTCGCGTTCTTTTTCGAAAATCCTCCGGGACGATTCTCGTTTTTCTCGAAATTTGAGCCCCCTCGAGGAGTGCTCTCGGTCCCTTTTTTTAATTTTTTTTTTTTACGGCTAAATTAAATATATGAAAAAGGGTGAATCTCGAGTTTCGAGTTACTTTTCGGTCCGGGTTTTCTTTCCGCGTTGGGCGATTCAATTTTAACTCGAGCTCGTCGAACGAGGACTCGCACGTTCGCCGGATTAATTGCGGATCGATCCCGCGGCTCGGATCTCTCTCTCGGTCCCGTGGATCGGCCCCTCGCTCCGTCTCGCTCGCACTCGTGGCGGCGCCTTCCGCTCGCCGACCCGCCCGAGAGGGCTCTCCCGAGAGTATATAATTAGTTCCCCGAAATGGAACTCGCGCAATTATACGCCTCCCGGCCCTGGGAGCGTAGTTATTGCACGGTGCAGATAGCAAAAACATCGTTGATGAAAATGATCGTTAATTAGCGCCGGCGTGTCTCCCGGTTAATTGCGGCGCGCTTTGGTCGAGATTCGGCCGCCCGGCCACGCGAATCTCGACCGAACCGCGCCTTTTAATTCCCCGCAGGGTAGGATTTAATCGTCGCGCCGAAATCTCCCGCTGAAAGGGGCGGCCGCGCTAATTACGAGGGCTGCATTCAGAAAAGAATATATAGAGTGGACGAGTAAGTTTACAATTTGGAAAGTCCTCCCGGGTACGATTAGGTCGAGTTTCGCGGGACCGGGCGAACGAATCTTGACCTAAGCGTTTCTACAATGGCACGGTGAATTTCCCGAAACATTGGGAAAATGTTTAACCCAGGTTGAAACTCGTAGTATCGAGTTTTCCAAAAGGAAAGAGAAGGGGAGGGAGGGGGGAAACAAAAACGTCTGAAAAAAATTCCCACCTTCACAGGGCGCTTTTCCAGGGGGGTGGAGAGGAATCTCGCGGAAACGGAGGAGAGAGTAAAGGAAAAAGCCGAAGAGCGAGTTTTTCCTGGCGATCCTCCGGCGTTTCCGCCCCCCCCCCCCCCGTCGACCCCGTTTCCGGTTCCCGGCCTTTAAATCGCGGAAAGTTGGTAGGACGCGAGAATTATCGGCGGTCCGTGCGGCTGCGGAATCGGGTGCGGAGGGACGGTGATTTCTTCCTCCCCTCTGTGTAGCTCCGGGTCGACGGAGGCGGCCCGACTTCCGGTTCCGATGGGACCCCGGAAGCGGAATGCGCATTAGGCGCCTCCACCCCGCCCACGCGGCTCCGGCTGTCAGGTGCATATTTCCGCCGATAATAATGTACGGAGCACCTGGGGCCCCCGCGGCCGTCGTAAAGTCGCATGATTCACGGTATGAAAAGAGCAGCGCCCGGAAAAAGGGAAATAAAGCCGGAACTGGGGGAGGGGGGGCAGGGAAAAGAAGAGCGAAGAGATACGTCCCCTCCGCGCGGGTCGGCTCGCCGATAGGATCCGTTTTACGGTGCCGTAAAACCTCTTGCTCTTCCGTGTTAACCGGGTTTTTCTTTATTTTTTTTTTTTTTTTTCTTTATATTTTAAACGCTATTCTTTAGTTCGCCCCCCACTGGGGTGGCGTCGATTTAAGGGAGGGTGGATTGGGGGATCTGTCGAATTATTCTCTTCCGTTTATTTTGGATTTTGTCGTATTTTTTAATTTTTTGTCGATTTTTTCGACGGCGAGGGACGCGGCTGCGTCTCGGACAAGTGCATAAGCCGAGCGCCGAGTCTCTTTACTACGGGCATGGCTCGGTCGGTTATTTCGTTTCGGTTAGATGACCAGTGCCGCGGTTAAGAGATTTTTGTACTCTTTTAAGGTACGTCGGGAGTTTTATTAGTTTATTCTCTGGTCATTTGAGACCGGGACGGGGGTAATTGGCTCGTGTGGCGGCGAGCGAATCGATTCGATTGGTCAGTCGGCGATCCCGAATTCCCCTTTATCAGCCGGATTACGGCGTGTACGACAATCTTGCTGACGATTACGCCTTCCTGGGCCCCGTTTCCGGGT